TGTTGAATTCAGGTAGTCTGGCTCCTTAACAACTGTATTGCTCATACTGAAGACACATCTAGTTGGACACTTACAGGGTGAAGAAGGGCAGCCGTGGCAGAAGATTCCTATCATGGTTACCCATACAGCATAAAAGTTTAATAATAATAACAACAGTAATATCAACGTATGTTTGATTTCTAGTTTATTCTACATTTACCGGTACATACTGCGGAAGGTACTGTGTTAGGTGCTGGGGATTCAGATGTGAATGTGACCTACAAGATTCCTACCCCAACAGGACTTACAGTCCCATGCAAGGTACACACAAGGGATTAGAATATAGAATATTGCAATACAGAATGACAGGTGCTCTTACAGGCAAGAGGAGCAGAAGATGTTGGGAACTGGGAAGGCACCTGACCCAAACTTAGAATAGCCTTTTGACACTTTATAAAGGATGTTTTCCCTGGATGTGATGCTTGAAAGGAGAAATAATCCGTATTTCAGGGGATTCAGATCTTCTTGTCTCCAGGACCGCAGCAACAACTTGGAATTCCTGGAAGGCCCCAGAATAGACTGGCTGCTGTGTGCTGTGGTCCTTCTCTTGGAGCTTCTCCTGCAGGAAGAGCAGGCTCTGCTCCTCCCCAGCCCCTGCCGCAGGCTTAGTGCAGATGCAGTAACACCCCCTTGACGGGGAGTCTCCACAACCATCAGCTGGCCCTTCGCTTCACCCTGGGCGTGGCAGGAACAGGAATGCTCCCCCAAGTCTCAAGTCTGCATTTCCAAATCCTGAGGCAGTCAGGTAGGACCATGTGACTAGTTCTAGCCAATGGGCTATGACCAGCAGTGATATGTATCATTTCTGAGACAAAGCTTTTAATTGCTGGGGCAAGATCCTCCAGGGCTCTCTTCCCTGCCACAGTGACTAAGACGGCCTCTTAGTCCAGGTGGTTCAGGTACAAAAATGTGAAGCCTCCATCAGCCTGAGTCCTGAGCAGAATTCTCTATGATAAGGAGCATGAGAGAAAAATGAACTTCTGTTGTGTTAAGCAACCAAGAGTTAGGGGTCATTGACCAATAAGTCTGACCCAAGGGAGTGCTTGACATTTGGTGCAAATAGCTCCAGAAAATGATGGTTCAGGAAGAAGAAATGAATTTATTCCTGCCGTTAGCAGCAACGCCAATGAAAAGAAGAAAAATTGACCTTTGCATAGTGTTTAGTGATTTTCAAGGCACTTTCATGAGCATGATATAGTAATTGCTGAAACAACGGTGAGACCTGGGTATACTTAGATCTGTTTTAATCATTTTTAAGGTGAGGCTAACCAGTTTTGAGGTGAGGCTGAGGGGTTTCACACCCCCTTCTTGAAGTCGTAACAGTGGCTTCCGCTCTTGTAACTGTCATCCTCGCAGGCGGCACATGATGCTCAAGAGAAAGGACTCTCAGAGGCAGCAGAAAGGACTTAACAGCTTCAAACACCTTCCCGAGAGCCAGCATAGGCGAGTTATGTAGGTCAGGCAGAACACACAGCCCCTCCCATTCCTCCGCCCAGGAGTCCTGCACTCCTGGAGTCTTGCCTGGCAGCAAGATATGACTTTTACATAAAATACAACAGTGTTTGTCCCTCGGCCCCGTGCTGTAATTATAAGAAAACATCTTCAAGTGCTATTTAGCTTACTCAGAGCAACCTTGCTGCCTCTGAATCATAGCTTTTCACACAGGCCATGTGGTATAAACTCAAGGTTATTTTTTAAGTAATTTGTTTTTGTGGTTACAAACATAATGAATGGTTATTATAGAAAACGTGTAAAATACAGGAGAGCACAAAGACAAAAATACATATTATTCATAAACCCCACAACCAGAGATATCCATTATTATAATATTAGCCTTGCCATATTTTATAGCCTTCTCTGTCAAAATCGGTATCATACAGCAATTACTGATATTTTGTAAACTGATTTTACTGTTATTGTTTTATGAACATATACCATGTTTTCAGTATTCTTATTTGACCTGATTTTAGCGGCTGCACTGGATTCTATTATATCTTTTCACCCTCCTGTTACTGGGCATTCATGTTGCTTTAAGTCATCTGCTGCACAATGTTGTGATAAAGCTCTTAGTGCATTCATCTTTATGCGTCTCTGTGTCTAAAAAAGAAAGAAAGAAAGAGAACCCTTGGCCAAGGGACTTGGACACCTTAAGACTTTTTCACACTGTTACCAATTTCCTCTTCGAGAGAATAGTGTAGGTGAGTCTCCATCTGCCACACCTCACTTTAATGGGATGGCACATCAGTCAGGCTCTGGTTAGTGTCTCAATGAAGAGAATTTAATGTGAGGGTTGGTGTGACAGGCATCGGCAGGCTGCAGGATAAAACGAGTACAGCAAGATAACTCAGAGAGACTAACTGCAGAAAGCGTGCCCCACCTCGACAGCTGCGGAAGCGAAGGAACAGAGTAGGGACTACAGGAACCTGCAGGACTGAAGCAGGGGGTCCCGCTGGAGCCGGAGCACAGGCCTCTGAGGAGGGGGTGCTGCCTGTTGCTGCTGGCACTGGAGGACTTCATACCAAAGTCCCTGCAGACCTGCGACTCAGACCTCTGAGGTGTTCCTAGCTGGTGTTGGTGCCTCTGAGGGGCATGATAAGGCTATGCCTGGATTTAGTTATGCAAAAATAACTAAATAATTAATTAACTTAACAAGATTAAAAAAATGCTAGAGTGTGGAACTAGCTGTTGCCACCAGAGTAAGGCACCCTTACTGAGAAGACCCTGACAGTATCCGCAAGCAAACCAACAGGATCAAGTCCTCCTTTCTCCAGCCTTGCAGCCTCCCTCCAGCGCCCCCTGCTGGCAGAGCCTAACATGGAGCCGGCTGACAAGGAATGAGATTTGCACAGTCCCAGGCCCAACCTCATAGAAAGGTCGATTTGGAGCTGAATGACAATAGCCTAATAACCAGACAGGCATCATCACATTCTAAATATTTTTAGGTAGTATTTTTAATATCAGTGATCCAGAGCAAATTAAGACATTGGTTAGTAAAATATTTTGATGATTTACAGTTTTATAATACATAGAGATCTGACTTCAGAGCAAACTGGGAATTCTATAAAAAACGAGATACCTAATTACTACCAAGTGATATTAATTTAAAGTGTTTTCTACGTGCCTAGTACTCAGCTCAGCAGGCAATGGAGGTGAGATTGGTACCGGCAGCCAGATGTCAGGGCCCAAGATCTTAGTCTTATCTCTGTACTGCACCTCCATCCCCTTCACCAATTAGGTGACACTCTGGTTCTTCCTATGGCCATACCATGAGGACCAACTCAACAATCTCGGACCCTTGCCAGAAATTTTTGTTTGTTTCATGCTTCAGGGCCTCTTGGTAGTTAAGACTGCTCGCACGTGAAGTTTTCAGCATTTTAGAAACCAAAGGCCTGACAGTGAACGCCAGAGTGGACTCAGCCCCATATTTTGATCTCGAGCAAGCAATCATAGCACACTGGAATCATAGAGCGGCATTAAAAACTATTTGAATCTCTCTGTAACATTCAGTAAAGAGTCGTTCAGACTGTATTTGAACACTTTTCATGACCTGTAATATACAATGGAGCCTCTATATTTTTCGATGGCTCTGATTAATTAAAAAAGTCCTTACTTGCAGAGTGTTAAGCTCTGTCACTCTACAAGCTCCACTTGAAGAGTTTTGATCTCTCTTGACAACACAGCTTTGCAAGTACCCTAGCGCAGCTGTCACATCAGCCTTTCCCTGATGTTGTTGTGAGGAGCACAGGTATTTTCCAAGGTAGCAAAATCTCAAACATGGCAGAGTGGATGGACAGAACTCAGATTTTTTTAATTGGGGAAGACCCACATAGAAGAAGTTTTCTTCATGGTTCAGAGCACAAGTTTTAAAATTAGACCAATCTGAATTCAAGTCCTACTTGAGACAATTTACTAGCTCTGTGGCCTTAAGCAGGTTGTTTAGTCAAATGGGAATGTTAGTACCTACCAGACAGCAGTGTTGTGAGGATTCGGTCCACTATGGCTTGTAGGTACTTGCCTTAGTCACAAAGGAGATGTTCAGCAAATGAGATTGATCGAGTGTATCGTGAATGTGATTAATTTTATTTGCACACAATGTTATGAAAATGTCTCAGTAATTCTCATCAAAAGATCATTCTATTTCATCCCAAAAGATCAATTTCTGAGTTATGCAACAACCTGTCAATCCACCGAAAAAACAGAGGTAGATAGCATGTGGAGTCTGAAGACATGAATTCAAGATCTTGTTCCACCCATTATTCTGTGATTTTGAGTAAATTGTCTGACTCTTGGTTTCTTACACTTATAAAATGCACTCACATAGCAAAAATGCCCACCATGAAGTAGTATGGAGCAATTAGAAGCAACCAATTAGAATACAGAGCAATGTGGATGGATCTGAAAACATAGTTTTGAAAGAAATAAGTGATCAGCAGGATGAGAAGTATAACAATGTCATTTATGTGAAATCAAAACAATCACACACAATATATTATCACACCCATGTAAATTACAGAAATCCAAAGTATTGCAATGATTGCCTATGAGAGGAAGAGAATGCAAGCAAGCTGGAAGACTTAAAGGGATAAAACAAAAGACAAGAGGGACCTCAACAAAAAAATAAATGAACAAACAAATAAATAAAATAGGAAAATGATGCTTCCCTACCTTTCTTACATGATTATTCTAATGATCTGATGAGATTATGCATAGAAAAACAAAAATTAATTTACTGTTTCCATTATGATCTCCCTATTAGACAAATGAACTGAGCAGAGGTAAAAATTCCCCATCCCTCTGCAGCAGGAAGAACATCTCCAGGCAGGGCCTGGGAAGCTTGCCTTGCTTCAGAGAAGCTGGTGGTGAGATGACATCAGAGTCTTCATGAAGGAGGAGCAGTCTCCCCCTCGCTTCTGGAGACACCACTCTTTGGCACAGCCAGAAGCAGAAGCAGCCTTCTTCCCATGGATTCGCTGCGAATGGTCCACTCGGGCCCTCGGAAGAAGAGGCCCAGGCAGACAGGAGCCTCGATGGCTCCCCCTCTTCATGACATCAAGTTCCGAGATTTGATCCTCTTCATTTTGGAGAAGAAAATGGGAACCACCCGGAGAGCCTTCCTCATGGAGCTGGCTCGAAGGAAAGGATTCAGGGTTGAGGAAGAGCTCAGGTAGGACACCGCTGGTTCCATTTGTGAATTGGTTTTGTGAACAGCTTCCCTGAAACCTGAGGAGCCTGTGTTTTCTCCCACGTAGAGAAGACGCCGTGTTCCCACTGGGAGAACAGGTTTGAAATCGAGGAACAAATCTGAGCCAATTTCTATGGGAAAGAAGCAAGTGGGGACTGAATACAATTATACAGAAACTAGTTAGCATTCAAAGATGAGGTAAAAAAAAAAGTTTGCCTTTCATTCACTTTTATGAGGTGAGGTATCTAAGGATGATAAACAGAGACCTAGTTGGCAAATTCAATGCTGAAACCACTCGATTTCATTCTTGACCAACTTGAACAAAATACCACTGAGTTCTATCAAAAATTTTTCAGCTACTTGGAAGAAGAAAGAATGCTTCAGTTGCTTGGCTCTTAAGCTAAACATCTGGCTGTGCTGAGGCGACCAGTGTCTGTGACAGGCTAGGATGAGTGACGGTAGCTGGCTCACTGTAGGCACCCAATGTGGCCTTGCTCTTGCTTTTTCCAAAAATTAGTCTGAGTGGAGATTGTAGAGAGAAGGATGCTAGTTAACGATTCAAGGACTATTCTGTCCCAGGGTGGCAGCTACCAGGCTGAGAGTGATAAGGTCCCTCGGGGAAACCCAGACAAGAAGGCAAGTGCAGCGCCCACTGGGGCTGCCTCGGCTGGTTCACTCAACACCCACCCACACCCCAGCAATTAGCCTGTGGCTTTTACTAACTGTTATGGCCGCTCTTCATTGGTCTCAAATAGAGAGAAGAGAAAACAAAACAAAATGCAGAAACAAATGGCATTGCAAGCTTGACATAAATAGTTCCAAACTGAGCAGGCAGGGGGCTTGCGGCGAATGAAGGATGGTGGTCAGGGCACCTGGCTGGCCGCGGTGGTCAAGCAACAGGTCCCATGGCATTTGTTTTCTTCAGGAAAAACTGTAAGAATTCTATGTGAAATTAAATTTGTATTTAAAAAATCGTCTTTATATTTAAAAATAAAGCTGACAAGCTTTCCCTGCTGAAAAAATGCCAGCTTCAAATTGCTTGAGAGACATATGTCAAAAGTCAATAATCAGACATGACCATTTTCACAAGAGCCATAATTCATATGAAAAGGCAAAGTCACAGAAACATTTTATTTTTTATACCAAAGTGCCACATTCAGAAATTCCTGAGTCTCCTGTGACCTCTCTCCCATCTGATGTCTCTTTATATGGTCTCCTTTGCCCCCTCTGCCTCTTCTCTTTAACCCCTATCTCATTTGTGATGTTAAACCCAAAATTCCATTAGATTTCATCTAATTGTTAAGTCTGCCTAATTTTATAGACTTACATAAAATGTTAACATTAAGAGGGGCAAGATGACATAGATGAAGAGGCCAAAAATCAGAAATTTAAAAAAAAAAATGGAAAGAAACAGAAATTAAAAGCCTTAGCAAACAGAACTGCTTTTTTTTTTTTTTTTTTTTTTTTTTGCGGTGAAGAAGTTTGGAAAGGGCCAGGCAGGAAGGTGGGAGTCAGAAGGCCAAGGAACCACTTACACAGAAAACTCTCTGTAGAACAGTCCATACTGCCAGCAAGGGCTGCCTAGTTTAGCTACAGACACAGCTACCAGTGTGCACTTGGGGGCTGAAGCAGGAACTGGGAGAGGTGATGGCAGGCAAGTTTCTTCCTTTGGCAAGAGAGCCCCAGGGGCAGCTCTGTGCCCCAGATGCCTGCGGCCAGGGACCAACCCCAGCTGCTCAAGTGACAGAGGAACCTGGTGCGTGGGGAGCAAGCTGCTGCTGTGCACGTGACGGCGGCAAAGTTCCCAGGCTGGCAGCTCAGCAGACACATTAAATACAAATGTGTTCTCTGGCATGGAAATAAACCACAGGAAGTAGGAGTCCTAGCTCTCAAACGGAATTTTTGTACTTAAACGTATAGACTTTAATTGGAAAGGACAATAGAAATCATTGTAAGGGGAAATCTCTAGACAAGAAATCTGGAGACCTCAAATTCTGGCTCTGACCCTTCCCAGACGTATCATGTGGGACAAGACCCACCCCCCACTCCTCGCTGACCTTGGTTTCCAGATAAATGGTTTGATCTGTCTGCTGTGATCACCAAATGTGATGATAGATGCCAATGTGCTTTGATAAATTAAAAGTTATGCAAATGTAAAATGTGAATGTTTTCTCGTTAATTAACTGGATCCACTGACCTTTACAGCAAACCCCCAAGGAGAGGGTACTGTCTCCATAATACAAATAAACTAGGTCAATAATATAAACAAATAGAACAAAGACAGGAAGGAAACCCATCAAAATGTTGTAAGTGGTTATTGTTTTCTGGGGGGAGCAGTAGAAAGCAATTATAGCTGCTTCTATTCTCTGTGTTTTCCAAATATTTTACATTATGCATATATTTTAGAAATGAAAATGAAAGCTGATTTTTTTAAAACAAGGGATGCTTCTCAATAGTAAAACCTAGCTATAACTGTCCTGTCTAGCAAATAGGATTCAGAGAAAGAGGAGCTAAGGGGGGTGGAGGAGTGGGGTATGTTCTGAAAATAGACAGTGATCTTCATAGTTCCTAGCACATTCTTTGGCTTCCAGGAGGATTAAATTTGAGGAAAAGTCTGATTCTTGCTTTACCTGGGCCTGGTCACACAGTTTAGAAATGATGTACCTGGGCGCACTGACCTGTCTGGAGCCACTTTACCCTCCAGCATGTGTGCCCCGTATCCTTACCTGGGGAAGCAGAAAGTGTTGTGGCTGGGAAGGGTGGTTCCCCAGGGCTATGGACCCCTGAACCCCTTCTTAGAGCAGTTGCTGTGAAATCCTTGCAAGTATAAAGCCCTTCTCTGCCTCTTTGAGATGTAAGTCTTCCAACCAGCCCAAACTGTCTTCTCAACGACCAGAGAGTCAGCTCTTTGAAAGGCAAACATCCAGGGAAAGAACTCTGTCCTGTTCTCTGTGGGAAGGGAAGGGCTCTAACTAGCACCTCCACCTCCTGTCAGAAGGACTCAAGAAATTTGTTTCTCCTCTGAACAAGCACCAATTAGCAAATCCAAGGGGTCTGGTCACGTGGGCCAACTCCCCTTAATGCCCCTAATGCCTTTCCTTTAACACATTAGAAAAAGATATATTTTCTTATTTACGCTATTACAGTTGTCCCAACTTTTCCCTTTGCCCCCTTCTTCCCAGCCCGCCCCACTCCCTCAGGCAGTCCCACGCCACTGTCCATGTCCATGGGGCACACGTATTTGTTCTTTGGCTAATACTTTCACCTTCTTTTCACTAGTCCCCACATGCCCCCTCCCCTCTGACAGCTGTCAGTCAGTTCCATATTTCTATGCCTCTGATTCTACTTTGCTCATTAGTTTATTTTGTTCATTAGATTCCACTTATAAATGAGATCATATGATATTTGTCTTTCTCTGACTGGTTTATTTCACTTCGCATAATAGTTTCCAGGTCCATCCATGCTGTTACAAAGGGTAAGCATTCCATTTTTACTACTGTGTAGTATTCTATTGCATCCACTCCTCTACTGATGAGCACTTGGGCTGTCTCCAGATCGTGGCTATTGTAAATAACGCTGCTATGAAATAGGGGTGCATGCATTCTCTTGAATTGGTGTTTTGGGATTCTTAGGATATATTCCCAGAACACAGCCCAGCCTTTAAAAGGTCTCCTGCCTTGTGTTTCCTTGAAATTGAACTCTAATCATGCTGGACCCTCTTCCCTATTATAATAGTTATTACTAAATAAAATCTATCCTTACAGCTTTAACTAGTGTCCAGCTTTGTTTATCTTTGGCAATGTCCCATCGCTTCAAATTCATGGTGTCTGAAATCAAAATATTAAAAGTTATTGTTTGCAAAATAAACTGAACACCAGATGAAAAAGATACCACCAGCTCTAGAACATGTGATGTTGAACTAGTCCACCTCTGGGCCCCTTCCAGGTCCAATGTCCAAACACATTTTCACTGGTTCCTCTCTCTATTTTTTTTCTCACTTTTCCCCCCTGACCTTGAACCGTTTTCTCCCCATACCTCTCTCTAAGACCTAAGAGCCCCAGACACCCACTTAGGGGACAGAACGTCCTCCCCGAAGCACAGTGTGATCCATGGCCTCGCACCTGGCTTTGCTCCTCAGCTCACCCAGCCGCCCCTCCCCAGCTCCCGCAGGCCAGGGCACCATCAGGGCTGGTGAGCGCCGCACCCCCAGGCCTCTGCCAGTTGTCTTACACACAGTAGGGCTTCAGGAAATATTTGCTCCACGGAATGATTTATCTGGTGAGTGTGGCACCAGCCAGGGGAACTTGTAATTTTTAATTTTTGTAATTAAAATATTTTTCTATAATGCACCAGTATTACTTTTGTAACCAGCAACATGATGAAGACTTTATTTTTATATATTCAAGAGCATGCACTGTAAATTTTAGCCTTGCTCTGGTCCAAATACTTTGTGTTTCAAAATTTATGGAATTTAAATTAATGGAAATGCTCATAATACCATTTAAGATAGGCCAAAAAAATGAAGGCAAACCTTCCCAATCTTAAGTCTATTAGGGCAGGAAATAGAAACCTGTCTTTACTGCTTCAATTTTTTTCTGTTTTAGGGATTCTTAAATGGATCGGTTGCTAAGGGAAATTGGCAGGGAGGGTTTTTAAACTGTAAACTGCTCAGCTTAGCTGTAGATTAGTATTTAAAGTCATTGCTTACAAAATAAGCCTTACATCACATGGGAAGAATCAGCAATGACCTTTCCAGGGAAAGAAAACCATTTTCAAGGCAAAGATAAAAGTAGGCGAGCACCCATGAAAACTGGAGAAGTTGAACTGGGGTCAACCTGTCTCCAAGCAAAAAGGATGCTGCCTCTTTCTTCATGGGGAGTTTTTCTAATAACACTGAGAGGCGGCACTAGCCAGGAAAAAAATGACAGGACCCAGGTATCAGAGAAAATAATTCAGAACTAAGATTGATGAGTTAATTCTATACCTCAGAGCTTTCCAGACATCTGAGTGCCACATTTAGGGTTCTTATGTCTTTTACTGCATGTGTTATATACTTAATGTATTTCTTTTAATTGTTCCTAAACTGAGTTCTTAAAAATAATTTATCTTAAGGAATAATATAAAAGCTATGAAACCCATTAAAACCATATTTGATAGGCATAAGATAAAAATGTGGATATAAATAAACACATATGCTTTTTAAATGTTTGATTGTGTGCCTGATAAAAGTATCTGATGTACTTGCAGAGAAATGAATGCCACGTTGGGAAATATTGCTGTAATTAAGCCCAGCATCCAGTGTGGGGCAGTTAAAGAAAGATCTTGCTTTACAGCAGTGTTGCTCAAAGTTGCCTTCTAGGGCTGTGAGTGGGTTTTAAAATATGGGTGCTCCCACGGAGAAGCAGCTGGGTCTATTTTCCCTTTCATTGCATCTCAGAAGGCGTGTGACTGCTTCAACCAACAGAGTAACACTATGTGACTTTTGAGGCTGGGTCATAAAAGGCCCTGTGGCTTCTGCGGGTCCCTGGATCTCAGAACCTCATGTAAGGAGTCTGAGTCCCATCTGAGACAGGCCACGCAAAGGTGTTCAGGTTGATAGACGCACTGAAACCCCGCCTCCCAGCCATCTTCACCCAGGTCTCAGACGTGCAGGGCCATCTGGAACATCAGCACCTCCCTCTGGACCACACCAACAGAGGGATCACCAGCCAAGCTGCCTGAATTCCTGACCCACACACTTGCAGATATAGTAAAATTATTACTTTTTTTTAAGCCATTACATTTTGGGGCTATTGGATGTACAAATAGATAACTAGGACTGACTATGTCAGAATCACCAAGGGAATTTGTCAAAATGCATGTTCCTGGGGTCTCAGTAAGATTTACTGAATCTGAATCCCTGGTACCAGGGCCCAGGAGTCTGCATTTGAACCCAGCCTCAGTGCATTTATTCATTCTACCAATGGTCTTCCTATTGGCCATTACTATGAATCTGGCAGTGTGCTCCAGGGCACCAGGTATGATTATAATCCAGATTGTAACCATGCAGATTAGATCATTGTCCCTGCCCTTGGGGACACCAATGAGGACAAGGAGTGCATTTCAGTTCAGCGCTGGATTCAGGAGAAGACCCTGCATGTTTGTTCTGTGGGAAGTTAAGGGACAAGTTCTATTTCAGAATTGCTTTAATTGGTTCAAGACATCCCAAACCTAGTCCAAGATATTAATTAGTCAAGGCTAAGAAAGTAGGTGTATTTAAGAAATCAAATCCACTGATACTTCAGGAACAGCCATCTCAGCAGTGCCTTGGGGTCTTTGAAGGTTGGGGTTGACTGTGTAAGCCTGTCTACCTTTTATTATAAGAAGAAAGCCTAGGCCCTGGCCACATGACTCAGCTGGTTGGAGCATAGTCCCGTGCTCTGAAAGGTCACTAGTTAGATTCCTGGTTGCGTGTACGATCCCCAGTTGGGGTGTCCCTGGGAGGCAACCTATCCTCTCTCACGTCAATGTTTCTCTCTCTCCCTCTCCCTCCTCTCTCCCCAAAAATCAATGGAAACATGTCATTGGGTGAGAATTAAAAAGAAGGAGAGGAATGAGGGAAAGAAAGAGCCCAGGCCTCTGAGGGCAAGGCAGATGCTACCTCAGCCCCAGCCCCAGGTTTTTGGTGTTTTTTTTCTTTTTGACCTTAAAAATGACACTCATGTATGTTATTTCTCCTAAGTAGAAATATGATGATAGATCGTTCATGACAGAAAACACAAAAAAATACCAAAACAAACAAAACCTCACTCAGGGGTCTAACCACAGTCTAGAAGAACGTTAAGAGATTGCTTGAGTCATGCACACCTGGCTTTGAATCCTGGCTTCATGTAACCTCCGCGAGCTTTGGTTTTCTCATCTAAATTTATATTGCTCACCTCCTAAGAATATACAGCTGTATCTGCTGGCTCCCTATCCACAGATTCAACCCATCAGAAATGGAAAATAACTTTAAAATTCCAGAAAGTTGATTCCTAAACAATACAGTATAACAATTATTTACATAGCATTTACCTTGTATTAGGTGCTACAAGTAACCTAAAGATTAATATATGGGAGGATGTACGTAGGTTATATGTAAATATGCCATTTTATATAAGGCACTAGAGCACCTGAGGACTGGTGTCTATGGGGTCCTGGCACCTACTCCCTGTGGATACCAAGTGACAACTGTACACATGTGGGTGCATATATGTGTGTAACTGTTATTGTTTTTTCTAACAGCCTGTTGTATTTCTCTTTAGCCTTTTTCTTTGCATATGCCCGTGTGTCTTACCCTTTCCCTGACTTTCCCAGGCACACCGGGTGTCTCTGTTAGAGGCAGGGCTGTGTTCAGAGATACGCCAGGTGAGGAGGTAGTGGCAGTGGAGCAGGCATGGCGAGAGCAGATGTTGAGGGGCCTGAATTTGGAAGACGAGCCCCAGGGCTCCTTCGCAGCAAACCGGCCTCCCTCCCCGGTTTAGGTGAAGCCCTGGGCTCAGCGAGCCTGGCTGCCTCCCTGTGGCTTCTCCATCTTGGTGTGTAGCTATGGCAACTGTTCTTTCAGAGTTTCTGGGACGATTATACATGTCTTGCAGTCTTATTGTAGCTCAGACGATATTGGACATAAAATACCAAAACATAAATTCATTGTGGTAGAAGCAGAGACAGTGGGCTAATGGCATTATTAATAAGTATTATGGTATCTCTATTGCTGATCTTTGGAGGGAAACGGGGTTTTTAATAATTATGATACTCATCCAGGTGTTGTTCCTTCTGCAGGAAGGAGCGGCTGTCTCCACAGCCATGGAGTAGGCACAAAGTCACAGAAGGGCAGCTCAACTTTGTCCAGCATACAAGCTTTGGATTCAAATAGAACTAGGATCAAAGCCCTGCTCCTCTGGTCACTAGTCGGGTGGATTTTTACATCTCCAAAGACCTCTTTTCTCATGTTTAGATGGGTGTGATAATACCTGTCTCATAGAGGTGTTGACAATAAAATAGGTAATGTATGGAATGGGCTTACAATAGCATCCGGCACATAGTAATTTTCCGATATTATTAACATTTTCAGTATTGGAGTACTTACAGCAGGGAGAAAACCAGCAAATAGACAAAGAGCTGCCACAACACAGCACTAAGAAATTGTTAGCAGAATACACTAGAGGCAGTGGCTCTCCCTCCCCTCTGAGGTTTAGATGAAACCCTAACAATTATAATAATAATAGGTATTATATTAAATATTATTATGTTACATCAAATGTTATTTAATGTAATATAGTATTTATTATAATAATAAAGGGCAGAAACAAAAACTGGATATGTAGCTCTATTAATCCTTTTGTTGTCATCTTAAAGTCTTCACACGAACAACCTTTCAAGAAGTTTATTATAAATAAATGTTGGAATTATGTGGGCCTAAAATAGGAAAGCCATCTCCCCTCAACGTTCATAAAGTGTTGTTTTACCACAGCTTACCTGTGGTGGGGCCTGTGGCACGTTGCCATCCAGATGGTCTCAGCTCTGACACCAGCCCCCACCTCTCTGCCAGTGCCGGCCTCAGATTCCAACTGTCAGCCGAAAGGTCGCACTGGTTCTATTCCCTGTCAGAGCAGACAATTGGGTTGCGGGTTAGGTCGCCACTCAGGGTGCATAGGAGAGGCAACTGATCGATGTTTCTCTCTCACGTTGATGTGTCTCTCCCTCTCTTTCTCTCTCCCTTCCCCGCTCTAAAAAATAAATAAATAAATAAAATCTTTTTAAAAAATACTGGAAATAACATACATGGCCCAGGAAAGATCATCAAAAAGGATAAATACTGTTTACTAGTTGTGTGACCTTCAGGATGTCACGTAACCTCTCTGTTCTTCAGTTTTCTCATTTTGGGTATGGATGACATACCATTTACTTGAGGAGCTATACATGAATATTAAATGAGATGATGTGTGTAAAGTTCTTGGACAGTGCGGAAACATGGTATGTGCTCAGTAGTTATTAGGGAAAATATCCTGGCCCATCTTACATGGCAGAAAAACATGTCAAGCAATATTTCCTACAGGCTGGTCACCACCTATTAATGGGCTATGTGATCAATGTAGTGGAAAGTTACAAGCATATCCACTTGTATATCTATTTCTATTTTGGGTCATAATATAAAATCTATTTCTCACGTGGCTCACAGCGAATCTGAAAGGCACTGGATTAAAACCCTCTACAAATAAAAATGAAATGGCACGCCAAAGACATAAGCAGAGTGCGAGGTGCTACGTCAGAAACAATTTCATCTTCCACATTCTCTGGACCTTGACTTTTCATTGACACCACAATCTTGCTAATGTTTTCTTAATTTTTCTTGCACCTGCCACGTAACATAGACCGCAGTTGCTCCACTAATTGAAATAGAGAGAATTCCTCTGTACAGTGGCCTAACTTCTCCCTGCCTGTGGTCAGGTGTAGTATGTGTCTTGCTCCATCATATGGGATGCTCTGAACACCTTGGGGAAAGAGGAGAGCTTCTGATTCTGAAAGCCCCATCAGCTGGTAATTTTGTCTTGCATTCTGCAGTGATTCCGTCACCCACATTGTGGCAGAAAACAACTCTGGTTCAGAGGTCCTGGAGTGGCTTCAGGTACAGAATGTAAAAGCCAGCCCACACCTAGAACTCGTCGATGTCTCCTGGCTCATAGAATGTATGAGAGCAGGGAAACCAGTGGAGATGACAGGAAAACACCAGCTTGTCGTAAGTGGCATGGTTGTGATTTCCATTACTCTTTGCTTGATGGTTACGGACATCGGCTACAGAATCAACAGACCTGGGTTCTCTGCCCACTCCTTGCATGACCTTGGGCAAGTCAGCTTTTCTGAGCTTCAGTTTCCTTCTCTATAATATGAGATAACAATAGTGCCTACGTTATAGGATGGTTTTGAGGGTTAAAATAATATAGAAAGGCACTTAACACAAAGTCTGACCAATGCATAGTGAGCACTTAAGAAACAGTAGCTATCTTATGATGAGGTCTATACACAAATACTTCAAAATATTGACACCTTCATATTTCTGGCAACCAGAGAAGTAGAGGGTTCCTATTTTTTTTCCTACTATAACCATTCATTAAAAAAAATTCAGGCAGTTAAGATCTTAATTCAAAACCCTTCACCAATGTGCTAGAACCCTCAGGAAGAAGGTTCAGACCGTAACTACCTAAATTCATGGGAAAGGAAAATGGTATTTAATCAATGGTCCTTTCTGTGGAGGATTTTTTCTGATTGCAAAAATAACACATGTTAATTATAGCAGATTCAAATATTAGAGATTCATATAACATGAAACTGGACTCTCCTGTAATTTTATCCTCTTTCCAAAGATAATGGTCACCAAGCTGCCCCCAATTTTTCTTCAAATGTATCTATTATTATTACCACTGATGGTTATTAAAAATGGATGCTTCTGTATTTGTTTAGGTGAGCAAAGGCTTTTCAGATAGCCCCAACCCAGAGCCCCGGGAGACCCCACCACTTGATGTAAAGATCTCTCCGTATGCGTGTCAGAGAAGAACCACTTTAAACAACTGTAACCACAGATTCACGGTAATGGGGCTTCATAAGACCAGAGCGAATGAAGGGCTTGCAACTCCTTTCTATGGATCTACAAATTAGGAATTTTTCTGAAAAGCTAGGAGAGTTTTCCCCACACTCACCCACCCACCCCCAAAGCCTGATCTCTGTTTTTTCTTTCTGTCAAGACTGGGTCTGTTTCTCTCGTGGAAATGGACCATATATTTGGATTATATTCTTTAGGGATGGTAGGTTACTATTTATTGAGAGTTGTCATTATTGGGCAGAACACTTGTCAAAGGCAAATATTCTGAAAAATCAAATACTGCAATTAGTCCAAAACATAGCAAGAGCAAATTACATAGAAATAGCAATAATGCAGAAACAGTTTTTGCTGGGAAACCAAAAGACTGAGAGACAACAGACCTCGCTTCTCTTTTGGGGAAGTCACTTCCTCTCTCGGGGCTTCGGTTTCTCTTCTGCTCAATTAGAAATTAGCTAGATTACCTCTAAAGTTCCACCCAGCCCTGAAGTTGGGCAGCTGCATTTCAAATGAGTCTAACAAGCCCACCACTGCTTATCCCCCAGTGCAGAGTCAGTCATCAAGTGGATAAAACATGCTATGTATACTGAATACAACCTTCTCATCTCCAGCTTTCTAGCCCCACATGTGCAAGAAGACCAGGAATTTGCAGCTAGTGGGCAACATGAGCACAATGCCACACAGCTGCAGCTACTTCCTCCTCAGCTAGAAGTGCAAACATGCCCTACCTTAAATAACCCCCGCCTTGGGTCTGTGCCACCTGATTACACCCGTCACTCAACAAGCCTGTTAAGTGCTGACTGTGTGGGTTTTTGTTGCTGTCATTGTTGTTATTGTTTTATGTACAAGCTAAGAGATGGGGATACCCAGTGATCAAGGCAGAATCCTGGCCCCAGGCTGGTGGGAGGGTCAGCAAGCAAAGAGGAAAGGATCGGCAATGCTGAGTGATGACATACAATAGCATGCAGTGAGCATGAGATCACACTTTAGTTAAGTCATTTATGCATATCTAATGGCAGTGATCTCAAAGTTTCCTTACAAAGCACTCTGTGGCCTGTCTTTTCAATTCAACTGCACTTGCCTAGCAAGGGAGGGATGCAAAGGTACTGGAGACCCAATCCTGACCTTCAAGGAAAAGGTGAAGCAGCGTGCCAATACTTAAAGGAGAGCAAGAGACACTTGCAAAGGACCACTAGCTCAGGGGCCAGGAAATAGACTGTGTTTTACTCACTGGGTTTTATTCTTCAGGATGCCTTTGATGTACTGGCTGAAAACTATGAGTTTAGAGAAAATGAAGGCTCCTGTGTGGTATTTATGAGAGCAGCTTCGGTACTTAAATCTCTGCCATTCACAATCATCAGTATGAAGGACCTAGAAGGACTTCCCTGCTTGGGAGACAAGGTGAAGAATATCATAGAGGTAAGGGTGACATGTGATTTGTCATGCCTCCTAATAGGAAGGTAGGTGGGCATGTAGGGATAGAGAGTGAAAGAGAGAGAGAGAGAATAGGTTTTTCTGTCAATTATGTAGATGTATTCATGACTTATTTTACTTTCTCTTGATAGATTAGATAGAAATAGAAAGATGATGGATGATGGATGAATTGATAAATAGATATAGATAGATAAGATAGAGAGATGATAAATGAATGTAATCCATATCCAATATTATGACAGCTGGAGTTACAGCGGACTAGCTAAGTGGAAAAAGAACTCTCCTGCATTATTATTAATCACAGTGAAGGACTCAGGTGACCTATAATCTCAACAGCAGGGGGTGGTCTGGCTTCAGACACAGGATGGGTGAAGGGCCCCAGTTCCATCCGGGAATGTCACCCTCCAGAATGGTGGTGGGTGTAAGAGGCAGTGGAGCTGATTCTGTATTTCTGCATATATGTTTCAAGTAGAGAGCCAAGGGTGGGTGTTTATTTATTTACTGATGTTGAAGGATTCCCCAGCAAAGCAAGTTGGTCAACCAGGAGTATGTTTCAGCATAGTCAAGTACAAGATCACTTAATCAAGAAAAACAATCCTAACCCTATGTAGAGAGTTAGCCAGATAGCATAACTCTGAGCCAGACATCACAAGGCCTTGAAATTTGGATTGGCTTTTCAATGAGTCCAAAATTAATTCACTCAGATTAAAAGTCTTTTTTGTTCCAGCAGGTTCATATTCATTGAGAAAATTATCACAAATATTTAGACACACTTTGGTCAATAAAGATTCTGGTTTGGTGTTCTGGTTCTGTAGATTTGGACCCAAATCATTCGGCACCTTTGTTCCTGAGGATTACAAAGTAATCCTTGGAAATATAATGATCTGGGATTTTCAAAATTATGGGGAAATGTCTTGTTTTCTCCAGATAAGCTAGAGAAACATCGTCCACACAATGGATGTCCATTTTATGAAAAGCCAAGCTATTACATCTATGAATGTATCTTGGACTATGACTGTCCAACCTCACTAATTTAAAATATTTTCCAACTTCTGTCTCTGTAGGAAATTATTGAAGATGGAGAAAGTTCTGAAGTTAAAGCTGTGTTAAATGATGAACGATATCAGTCCTTCAAAGTAAGAGATTTTACATATATTTATTGAAAATGGTTTTTCAGTTAATCTCATTACTTATTCTAGGTGGCAGTATTAGTCAGTTTGGACTGCCCTCACAGGATGCCATGGGCCACTCAAGTAACATATATTTCTTTTCTCACAGCTCTGGAGACTGGGATTCTGAGATCAGGGTGCCAGCATGGTTGGGTTCTGGGGAGGGCTCTCTTCCTGGCTTGCAGGTGGAGTCCTTCTCAATGTGTCCTCATATGACAGAGAGAGAGAACAGCTCTCTGGTGTCTCTTCTAATCCCATCATTATAGCTCCATCCTCAGGATTTCATCTAAAGCTAATTACCTACCAAAGGCCCCATCTTCAAATATCATCACAATAGGGGGTAGGACTTCAGCATATTAATTGGGTAGGGGTGGGGAGTAATTCATTCCATAGCAGTGATCTAGGGAGCAGATGCCTGAATAAGTATGGGTGCTGGAGCTTATTGCCTTACTATGATGAAATACAAGTTACCTTACCTTCCAGGATCTCACACGAAGTGCAGACAGATGAGGTTGGAGTCTGGGCTCTGCCACTTACCAGCTGTATGATGGTGGAGAATTCATACAACCTATATGCAAACCCCTCTTTAGATGGTGAAGATAAATATGCAAAGCATGCATGTGTGTAAGGGACCTTTGGCCAAGAGAAGTGTCCAATAGGGGTAGCTGCTGTCAATGTTGAAAGTGCGGGCCATTCCATGATCAAATTACAGAGATGTCCTGTGCAGATGCCAGAACCTGCCTCCTCATGTCTGTTTCATTTATCAAGAAAAGACTCTCCTGAAACAAATATGTCTCTAAAAAATTACTATCACCCACCCACCTGTTACATTCAGGAGAAACAAGGGTCAGAGATTTGTTTACACTTTTTCTTAATCCTTTGACCTTGAAAAGTATCACTTCATTGTCATGGTTATTTTAGGACTGAAAGCGTGCCTTTACTTCCATTTCAGCTTTTTACTTCTGTATTTGGAGTGGGATTGAAGACATCTGAGAAATGGTTCAGGATGGGTTTCAGAACCCTGAGTAAAATAAGGTCAGACAAAACCCTGAAGTTCACACGAATGCAGAAAGCAGGTAAATTGTGTCTTCTAAAAATCTCTGACTGTTCCCATGGGGCAGGCAGGTCCTCACAGAGCTTTAAGTCAGTTGAATTTCAACTCTAATGTCTGTGAGCTGAGTTGCTTGTTTGGGCTCTTTTCATGCTCTGGTTAAAAGCAAATGCTTTTGGAATCAGACAGCCCTGGATCCAAATCCTGGCTTCAGCATTCTCCACCCATGTGATCTTGAGTAAGTCTGTTAAAATCTTTGAACCTAAGTCATTTCATCTATAAAAGCAAGGTAACATTGGTACGTAAGTGGGAAATAAATCAAATAACGCGGGCAAAGTGCTTAGCGTTGTGGCTGGCACAGAGCAAATATGCTCTTTGTAGAGGATGTTGTCATTCCTTTACGTCCAGATGTCAAACCAGGTTGCGCTGTTGATCTGCTTCTTACTGAACTGACCCTTCTACCCTTTGGGTTCTGGTTGGGTAAGGGGTGTGAGTGTGGAGTCAAGAGTAGAAGGTTGACATGGAGGATTGGTAAGTCAAGAACATTTGAAGAAACTAGAGTTGTTGCCTGGCACAGATATGGATCTGTTTTAGAAACTGTAGAACACCAGGATATAGAAGGGAAATAGTGGAAATCCAGACACAGGCTGATCAGCCCAGCTGGCCTCGTTAACCTGAGAAGAGAAGACTGTGTTGACTGAGGCATCCTGAGAGCCTGGTGAGGCCTCCCGGAGGTTGAAAATGGCTGGGTCACTTCAATTCAGGAAGGGTCCTGGTGAACTCTTTTTAAATGAAGAAATGCTAATACGCAGTAAAAACTATATCGTACATGTCTTAAATGTTTACTTTTAACACACAATAGGAATGCAGTTTAATTGGGATTTAAAAGGGCATCACATCCAATTGTGAGCCCTATGGATCCTGAGTTACAAAGGATGATGAAGGGATCAACATTTTAAATATGAAAGTAAGGGGATCTTCTACAAGAAAAGACTAGAAATAAAAAGAAAACAGCCATCCTCTGTTTCGGTGATGAAAAGAAACAAGCAACAGGAGAGGAAACAAATCATATCTTGGTGGTTCACATCAATGCTGATATAGACAACCCCTACTCTTCTCTCATCGAGTTGCTAACCTCTGAGAGATTGCTAATACGCTTTGTAAGATGCCACATAGGAAATAAAAGAGTCTAAGGGGAAAAAAAGACCAAGTATTTATATTCTGGGCTCCTGAAAGTACACATTTAATAAGACTGATGTACATCAACCAGCTTTAGAGATGACATTAAAAAGAAATTTACATAAATATTAAACAGAAGTAATAGGTGTCTTGGAATGATAGTAAGGACTCTTAACATAGAAATTTTGGGGTGTCAGTGTAGTGTTTGACTTAGATAAAAACCCTTATCAGATGACACCAAAGGCTCTCAGGATCCAAATTACTATTCAGCAGCTTTGCAAGCTGGAATTTTTTCTCCCTACCAGGCTCTTCCAGCCCAATGAATGAAGCAGCTATTATTCACTTAATCAGTTAGTGATAGCTGTCAGACTGTTTAATACTCTTGCTTTATGTAAAACTCTAGGAATGACTTTCATGCTTATAGCTGAAAACCCCTGCCTATATGTATTCCTTTAGCAGCATAACAATGAATGGAATTGTCAATGGGAATAGTTTAGAACACTGCAAAGGTAAGCTAAATGAACTCATTAAACATGTTGAAGGTATGCCCCATAGATCCAATGGAAAACCTGATTCAGTTTTATAATTGCACTTGGTTTTATTTCCCTAAGGCTTGAGGATTCACATGCCACATCGGCCTTGAACAGTCAATGTCTGAAATATAATGGCACACATATAACATTACTCAGTGTATTGTTTCTTGTAATAAGTTAACCTCCCCAACCATATCAAAAAGGAAAGCAAGAAAGCTACTAAAGTTGCCTTCCTGGGCATCAACAAATTATTAATACTCATAGTCTCTCCAATTTCATTCCTAATATCCACAAGTGTCCTTATACTGTTGTTAATCATGACTTTTGGTTTATGAACATCCTGAATAAGCCTAGTTTTATGGTTACCAAGTGAGTTGCAGTTTGAATATCAGCCATGATGAAAAATTTTGTATTGATACAAAGGCTAATGGAACACTGCTTTTTTATTTTTTTATATTAATAAATTCTGTATTCAGTTTTTTTAATTGATTTTTTTTTATTGTGGTAAGGGCACTTAACATGAGATCTACCCTCTTAAGTGATCTTTTTCCCTTAGTATCAAAACTTATTTATCCATTTCCTGTTTGTGCACATATGAGTTATTTCCAGTTTTCAGTTATTATGAAAAAAAAGTGTTCTATGAACATTTTGTACCTGTGGATATATGTCCTAATTCCTCTTGTGCATAGACCTAGGAGCGAAATTGCTAAGTCAGAGCATAGATAGCTATTGATTTAGCTCTAGTAGATACTGCCCGATAGTTTTCCAAAGTGGTTGAACCACTTTACACTCCCACTAGCACTGTCTGAGATTTTCAATTGTTCTATATCCTCACCTACACTTGCTATTGTCAACCTTTTCTGTTTTGTCTGTCTTGGTGGTGAGTAGTGCCATTTTATTGTAGTTTTAGTTTGCATTTAGTTTGCATTTCCCTGATGACCTTTTCAAGTGCTTTTAGGCCAATTGCTCTTCCAAGAGGTGCCTGTTGAAGCCTTTTTACCTTTTAAAAGCAGGTTGTTTAGTCTTGTTGATTTGTAGGAGTTAGCTAATGTTCTGGATGTAAGTTCTTGGTCAGATATACGAAATGCAAATATCTTTTCACATTCTGCAGAATGCTTCTTCACTTGCTCAACAATGTCCTCTGATGGGTGTTAAGTTCCTATATTTAATAAAATCCAAATTATTGATCTTTTCATTATAGTTAGTGGGATTTTTTTCACTCTGTTTCAGAGATACTTGTTGACCCTAAGCATCATGAAGAAATTTCCTGTTTTCCTTCAGAAGCCCTAATGGACGTGATGTGGATCATAGACTTTTGCAGTTAGGTCTGTGATCCACATCACATTCCTTAACAAATTTTTAAATGCACAATAGAGTGTTGTTAACTGCAGACACAATGATATAGAGCAGATCTCTAGAACGTATTTGTCTTACGTAACAAACTTTGGACCCATTGAACAGCAACTTCCCTGAAGAATAGTTTTTTAGATCAAACTCCCAATGGACAAAAATGTGCATATTGCAATAAAAAATGTGGCTTAAATTTTTTTTTAATGAGAGGAAGTTTTTGGACTGATATCAAAAACAACAGTATTCCACAAGCATGTAGTTTGGTGTTGGTCACAATAATAGAGGTATCAGTGTGAACATCACCTTCTCTTTGTCCTGCTGTCACATTTATGCAACTGTCCTCGTTTAGAGATAACATGTGATATTTGGATTTGAGAGTTTTGTGACCATGATGTTTAAACCAAATGAATTCCCTGCCTCCACCCACCCACGATCCTGGAGGTAAGAACAAGGACCAATAGATTTGTCCCGTACCTTTCCTGAGGTCCAGTGATGGGTGAAACTGCAAGGAAGTAGACTTAATCTCAACAGAAGCAAGAACTTCCGATGCCCCCCCATTTTTGAAGGGGGTTGAGAAGAATTAAGACCTACTATGTTAGCAAATTTTAAGTATACCACACAGCATTGTTCACTATAGTTGCCATGCTATCTGGTAGACCTCCAGAACTCATCAACCTGCATATCTGAAACTTTGTACCCCATGATGAATATATTCTCTCTCTCTCTCTCCCCCTCTTTTTAGAAATAAATGATAAAGGGTCTTAGGGTTTGCAAATGGAAAACACAACAAGTCAATGTCCATAGTTTTCCAAAGAAGAAAGAAAACCTGAGGGGGTTTTTGGAAGTGAAAAGTACATTCTCGAGAAGGGTCAGTCCCGCAATGTTAGCCTGCTCCGAAATGGAAATCTAGATGACTGGTGGTCTGGATGCATGAACATCCTTTCCTTAGTCCTTCAGGGGGTATCAGAGGGTTATCTGAAACCTTGATGCATACCCAGGCATTGATGCAGGGCTGGAAAATTCAAAAGTTTAGGTTCCCAGACCAGTTAGAACAAGAATAGAATTGTTTCCCCATACCTCAACCTACTTGATTTCTATCTTTTTAAATTCTTGTTTATTTTATGACAGCTGTTCCAATTTTTATCACTTTGCCCTCTTCCGTCCAACCCACCCATGACTCCCACAGTCTATGCCTACACCATTGTCCATGTCCATGGGTCACTGACATGTGATGAACTTCTCTCTGTTTCCTCCAACCCCCAGCCCCTACACTACTTCTAAGAGTTAGACTTTTTCAGTTCCCCATACAAGTGAGATCATGCAATATTGGTCTTTCTGTGTGATTTATTTCATTTAGCATACTCTCCTCATCCATGTTGTTGCAAATGACAAAATGTCCTTCTTTAAAAAGCTGTATAATATTCCATTGTATGCTAATTAGCTTGATTCTGGCAATCATTTCACAATATATGTATATCAAAACACCACATTGGAAATCTTAAATATATGCAGTTTTTATTTGTCAATTATATCTCAGTGTAATTGGGGAAAAAACTGTCTAAACAGACTTTACAGTTAGGCGATGGGTTGCCTCTGGAGATAGCACGGCCTCCCACTATTAGAAAGATCCAAGCAGCGTTTGAATGACTCCATCTTGGGGGTCCTAGATGAGATGGCCATGCCTTGTATTGAAGCGTAATTAGTTGTCCTCAGGATCTCCCCTGCACTTCTGCTTCCCTCTCCTCCAATACTTACTTCGTCCCAAATCTTGGAGATAAGGTTTCCATTTCTGTTACTCCTTCGCTCCACACTGCCCTCCATGGGTCTGCAGGAATAATCGTCATTATAAAACTCTTCATCACAACAATCATGTCTGAGCTTTCATTTATTCATCATGGTCAGCCAAGGAAACAACGAGCCGCACCACCAAAGACATTTTATACCTCAGATGCAGATTTACCCTCTTCCTATTCTTGACTTTAACTTTCTAATTCGCCTGTCACCTTCCAACCCTGAGCCTACCCATCCCAAATCTTCATGCATTGTCTTCTTTAAACAATAGGGTGCAGCTGATTGATCAAGAAGACCGGTTCTTCAATAGGAAGTCAGATTTGAAATGCTTGGTTTCTGCAGGGATACGCAATACTGTCTCTTTCTTAGTCAGGAAATTGTGAGCCTCTCAGTCAAAAAGCAAAAAGCCGTTGTTACCAGAAAAAATTCACAACCAAGAGAGCAGAAGCAACTGGTCTGTGCAGAACAGGCTGGCGCCGTTGTCTGTAGCCACGTTAGCCATATGTGGGGGCTGAGGACTGGTTGTTTCACATGAGACACGTCACTCTCTCCATTGACTGTCCCCTGGCCTCCCAGGATTCCTCTATTATGAAGACCTTGTCAGCTGTGTCACCAAGGCGGAAGCAGAGGCTGTCAGCGTGCTGGTTAAAGAGGCCGTCTGGGCATTTCTTCCCGATGCCTTTGTCACCATGACAGGAGGGTTCCGGAGGTAAAAAATGAGGGTTGCTTTTGCCTCCCCTGCTCTATCACCTTGAGTGGCTCCCTGTGTCCTGAAATTCAGGCTTCTGAGCATGGCACACAAGATCTTTGGCCTCTCTCTGCAGCCTTGTTTCCTACACCCCATGTTTTATTCCAGTGACCCCAAGGGCTCGTCATTCTCTGCACACACAGGGCTGTCTGTTGCCACTTGCACTGCCTTTCTTCAAATCATCACCTGGCTGCTTTCTTCTCATCCTTTAAGAGTCCATTCAGATGCCTTCTCCTCCAGAAAGCCCTCCTTGACTCCCTCCTTCCCAGGTATGGGGTAGGCACCCCTCTTCTGTGCTTGGACAACTGCGAAGTAATTTGTGTGTATGCATCCTTTCCCCACTAAGCTTTTAGAGCTTAGTGCTCAGTGAGAACCAGTGCCTGGTACCTGATGCCAAGTGGACCCTCAGAAATATTGGTTGAGTCAATGAATGAATGAATGAACGAACGCACTCTCCACAGAGACGTGTGCAGTTGTTGGATCCTGAAGCCTCCATCTTCAGGAAGAGATTCTTTCCTCCTCACACCTTCCCCTTACTCCCCTTTGGGCTTTCTTACCGGGTGCTGTTGGCTGCTCTGGCCAGCTGGGTTTGAGGTGAGAGAAGAAGTGGAAAGACAAGATCAGTCCAAGAAAAGGCCCTTCGTCAAGTCATAATTCCAAGAGCCCTATCTTATATTATGTGAATATAGTTCTTGGTTTGCTTGTTGCCATGCTTGTCTCTGTGAATTGGGGGTGGGGTGCATGTCAGAGTGTGCAGAAGAAATAATCTTCTTTGCCATTTTTTATCCACATACACATGATCAAATATACATAGTTTTATTTTTGTGTGTGTGTCCTAAATTTACTTTGCAAGGTATGGAGTTGTGCAACCAAGGATATTTTGTTTTACACATACATATGTGGATTCATTTATAATTCAATAAACATTTCTTGAGGAATTATGGTGAGCTAAGAAGTGTTCTGTGAAGGAAGTATAAAATAGCAAATAAGATTTTTTAAAAAAGGTCCTTTTTTCACGATACATTTTAATAAAAAATAATGCCATGTTTATAAGTGAATCTGAGATGATCTGGGAAAAGGCACACCAAAGTTTTAACAATACATACTTAATCCAAGCCTGAGATGGGTAATTGAGAAAAAGGTAAGGACTATTTTTATAGTTCATACTTTATATTTTTGTATAAAGTCTTTAAATGTTCTAACAGTCAACATATAATAATTTTGTGTTAAAAATTAAACCTTTTAGCCCTGAAAAAAGAAAGGATATTTTATTTTTAAAAAATGTCAGGAGCACTTTGTGTTGCAAACCTTAAGCATAGGCATAAAAACAAAGGTGGCTATTAAAAATTGAGAGCTAAAAATCTAATTAATTTCCATTTTGTACTGTCTTTTAATCAGGGGTAAGAAGATTGGGCATGATGTCGATTTTTTAATTACCAGCCCAGGATCCACAGAAGACGAACAGCAGCAACTTTTACCTAAAGTGGTAAACTTATGGGAAAGGAAGGTAAGAAGAAAAACCAAAACTGGATGTTTGGGCACTTGAGCGTTGCATTGATGCCACTGAGTGTTGCACACTATCTCACAATCACATAGTGACTAATCGCTTCTCAATTATTTGCAACAGCCAACACAATGCCACACGACATGCCATGAGACATACCCACACTGGGTCCTAGAGTCCATGCTATGAACATGTATCTTGTTTATACACCCTTGTCCTATTACCAAAGGAGCCAAGGCGGCTATGTCTCTGTGTTGGACATGCAGAGTCAGTCAACCCCCGAACAAATGAAGAGCATGCTCAGTGAAGACCTGGGAGGTGTGAGCAGAGGCAGAACAAGCATAGGGACTAGACAGGGCTGCAAAGACCGGGATAAAGTCTGTCTAAGAGGTGTCGCTGGCACCTTGAACTCCGTTCTGGTCAATGACCACCTTGACTTTGTGCTGAGATGGGAAGAAGGAAACTAACGAGGGTGAGCTGGCCCAGCAGAAGCCTCAGCTCAGGAGCTCCCACCCCTGAGGGGCCGGGCTTGCCACAGACTGCCTGTAGCCCACTGGAGGGAGCACAGGATGGCCCTGCAGCCAGAGCCACCTGCAAGGCCCTGACTCCCGCCAGGCTCCAGTGAGAGCTCCGCTTGCCAAAGAGACAGAGCCCTGGCCAGGGACCTGGAGGGGGCCGGGGCACAGCTCCATCCTTCCTGAGTGGTCTGGCCTCTGCTGGGGGTGGAGCAAGGTCCCTGCTATGCCAGAGAGAGAAGCCCTCAGATAAAGTGAAAAGGAGAGTTAGGAACAACCAACCCCGAAGCCGGGATCACTGCAAGTGAAGACCCAGCGTGGGAACCAGGTCCCACCTCACCTGTGAGTCCGTCCGTAACCTTCTCCCCCACTCTGAGGAGAGTGGACCCAGGTGGCCAGGGGCCCTGAGAGCGAATGGAATAGACCAAGCCAGGGGAAGGCAGGAGGAGGAAGAGCTGGCGGCACCTGGGCGGGCCGGCCTGCTCTGCTCAGCAGGAGAGATGAAAGGTTTTCACGGATACAGAGCACAAGTCATGGACCCTGCTGGCCGAGGCCTGGTGCAGAGGGGGCTGCCTGGCCCCCCACCCCAGCACCCCTGAAAGGCCGTGGTTTGACCTTGGTTTATAGGTACCACCCTCCCCGCGCTCTGACACTATCCCAGCCCGAGACTGGGATGGGGAGGGGACATGGTGACAAGAAGCATCCCCTCTCCTTGGTCTTTTCTCAGTTTCAAGGCAGTCACACTGCTGGCCACTGAGCAAAGAGACAGGCAGGCACCCGCAGAGACTGACACTGAGCACATGGCATTGAGCCATTTACTGACTGTGTGACCTGGGACGCTTTACTTACTCTTTCCAAGCTTCTCTTTCCTCGTCCATAGAAGAGGGGTCACGAACCTCTCTCGTGGCATTCATGGGGAGCATTAACTGAGAGAATTAGATACAGCACTTGGCACAGTGCCTGATAAATGGCTAATAAATGGCGGCTGTCATCTCGAGCTCTCCTGCACAGGCCGCTGGTGAACTCTGCCAGATGGCCAGGCCCTGTGCCCGGGGAGGGGACCCGGGAGAGAGCAGGCACAGCCCCTCAGCCTCTCTCGTTGACAAACAGGACCTCGGGGGAGGGGGGCGTCGTGGGGCAGTGGGTGTCTCAGCTCTGTCTGCACCCCAGCAGCCCCACGCCTGCCCCCCACACCTCGGCTGTGAAACCAGCGCACCAGCTCTTCACGTTTAACCTCCACCTCATCCTCTCTCCTCATCCTGCCGCTCTTACCCTGAATGGCGCTTTCCAGATCATAACAAGTATAGCCCACGCAGGCACACAGGTGCACCTATCACACAACCTGCTGTATACACACCCAGGGTTTTATACGACCTGCGGGGCATAATGAACAGCCAAAGGGTATTGGTTGGAGCTGCCTATCAGGTGAATCTAAACATGATCCTTGAGGAGACCCCTCAATCAGGGGGTGGGAGAAAGAGGAAGAGAAGCTTGGAAATATTAATCTTTGGGGGACGTCTCCATCCCAAAGGCTCCATTACTCTGAATCTCACTGGCCACCAGCAGTTCAACCCAAAACGGGCAGGGCTGAGGGTAGTTTGGGTTCACACCGGTGAGTGGACCTTGGCACAGGGCCCCTAATTGTTTCCTGTGGCCACTCCCCGAGGCCGTGAATCTGCTGAGAGATCGACAGTGTTAACAATCACTATAGTAAGGGATGTATTCATTTTAAGAAACTGACTAGACTTGGCATAGGGGGCGCTGAATCTCATGAGAAGGGGTTGGGGGGAACTGAAACCACAGAGCAGATAGACTCTAACCATCAAATCGGCCCCAAGCTGGAGCCTCGCCATCCTCCCTGCTCGGTGCGGGAGGCTGGGGCCGAATGCTCGGCAACAGAGCCTCCATCTCTGTGAGGGGGGAGCTGAGAGCCGAGCACACCTCTCCTGCCCTGTCATCTACCTGGAGAGCAGGCTGCTCTGTCCCCTGGCTGAGGGGAGTGAGAGGCAGGGAAATGCCTCCCTTCTTGTCCGGAGTCCCTCAGCTTCCAGGAAAGAAAAGGAATGGGCTGATGTGAAATCCATTCCACCTGTGGGTTTTGATGGGCCAGCCGGAGCCCAAACCATCAAGGGAGTTTTCAAAACAGGAGAGAAGTTACCTAAAGAAAATGGGGGATGGGGAGGACATGGAAGGAATTACTGCAGGAAGTAGAGAAGCTCGGGACAGAGAGTGGGAGGCGACATCAGGGTCGTGTGGGTGTTGACAACTGTGCCCCGTGCAGATGGAACTGCCTGGGTGTGCAGACAGGACCGTGTCATTCAAGGGATGCGTCCCAAACGCCATGCAAAACTCAAAGCAAAGCCCTTCCAAGGAGCACCCATCATCCATTCAAGGCCACGTGTAACTGCCACGTGGTGATGGTGCGGACAGTTGGCAAGTATGAGGAAGCCAGCTTTGTGGATTTAAAAAAAAATGGGGGTGGGGTTGTTATTGCAAATTTGGCTCCAAAGTGAGACTTTTTAATATTTTAATATTAAATTATGTATACTTTTCTAATGTACATAATTTAAACTTACAAAAAATGCTGCTATACCACACTAACTTTCATAAGTTTCATAAAAAAAAGGAACTGTCTTTCCCCAAGCTGGTTATTAGATGTATCAATGGCAAGATTTGTCGCTTCCCCCAAGGCTCTTCCTGATATCAGTGCTGCCCCACCCCACCCCCCACCTTCAAATGGTGGTTCTCTTCTTAATACTTTTCCTTGGGAGGCACTGAAGAGCAAAGGCGAAGAATTCCTGAAGTGTTCCCTTTTTTGAGATCAGCAAAAGGGAAAGTGTCCACTCCTCAAAGCATTCGGTCAAATTGAAACAATGTCTCTTGGGGGTTTTGCAGAAGAAATGTGAATTTCTAATAATAATGAATCAACTGAGTCAATGATGCTCCAAGTGTGGTCCTTGGACCAGCAGCATCAGCATCCCCTGGGAACTTGTTAGAGGTGCACATTCTGCCCCCCTTCCCCCCGCTGAACCACTCTGGAGACAGGGCCCTGCAAACAACTGTAACAAACCTTCCAAATGCTCCTGATGATGGAATTTGAGAACATCGGAACTAAAGAATGCCTGGTAAATCACGCCCCCCAATAACTATGACTGGATTATTTTGAGGTTATTTGTTCTTTTAGTTGCCACTCAGATTCAGCAGTTAATTGCAAGATTCAGCCCCTCTCCCCACCCCAATCTGCCCTGTGCCACAAGGAATTCCATGGAGCAGCTAAACTGGAGAATGACGATCAGAAGTTGGGAGTAGATTCCCTGGCAGCTCCGCCATGAAGTGGCCTTGGCTGGGCCTCCCTAATTGCCGACTTCCTCTGCAGCAGAGGGAGGGTAAGGCACCCACGCTTTAGTTCCTCTCGGGGTGTGGCCAGGCAGCTCACAATGCAAGGACAAAACACACCCACGTTCTGCTCAAATTGGAAAAGCTTTCATTTAGACCATTCATTAAGAGGCTGGTGTAAAATCGTGGACCTTGTCCATCGGGGACTCTTCCTGATGTCTTTGTTTGTTTTTAGGGATTACTTTTATACTATGACCTTGTGGAGTCGACGTTTGAAAAGTTCAAGTTGCCTAGCAGGAAGGTGGATGCTTTAGATCATTTCCAAAAATGCTTTCTGATTTTGAAATTGCACCATCAGAGAGTAGACGGTGGCAAGTACAGCCAGCAGGAAGGAAAGACCTGGAAGGCCATCCGTGTGGACCTGGTCATGTGCCCCTATGAGCGCCGAGCCTTCGCTCTGCTGGGCTGGACTGGCTCCCGGGTAAGACCTACCTGGATCCGTGAGACAGTGGCCCAGAGGACTGACAATGGCAGTGGAGGGGGGAAGCCCTGTGATAGGAGGGGGCAGTGCCTAGAAACTGCTCACTCGGGCATTCCAACTGCATATGGTCAAGAGAAGATTAATTTAGAACAGTTATTCTCAAAGTGTGGTCCCTTGCCCAGCAGCATCAGCCTTACCTGGAAACAGGTTAGACATGTACAGTAAATTCTCCACATTGACGACTTGATAGTAACCTGTTGCATTGATCTCTTCTCCAGCAGTTTGAGAGAGACCTCCGGCGCTATGCCACGCACGAGCGGAAGATGATGCTAGACAACCACGCTTTGTATGACAAGACCAAGGTAGGGATGTCTCCCTGGCATGGGCTACTCTGACCCTCATCCCCAAGGCTGGTCCCCCCAGCACTTTTCCTGAGCTGATGTTAGCGTCCAGTTTTGGTTTCCTTTGCCTGGATTGTTCTGTGCCCACAGATCACAGCCAAGGGCAGCTGGAAAGATCCTAATGAGAACACAGCCCCCGACCTGGCCCAGAATGCACTGAGCTCAGGGGCACTGGGCTCAAAGATGATGAGCTCGTAGGGTCCCCAGAACCAGCTGGGCAGTGAACATTAATTGAGCTTAGTATATCCTTGGTGTTTGCAATGAGTAGCTCCAAAGAAAACCAAGGCGTCCCCCAAGTCACAATCGCCGCTCAAGTACTCCTTGAACGCAGTAGGCAGCAGCACTGTGAGTGACCTCTTAGGTCAGTAATGAGGGTCCCTGCAAGGCGGGGAGCACCCGAGCTGCCCTTTGCTGTGGCTGAGCCGTCAGTGAGGCTCACTCACCAGCATGTCGTTCACTTGGCCCGCTAGCTTTGCGGTGGTCACAGTTCAAGTTCATGCGTCAGCAAAACAGTAAATTACTCTGTCGATTATGAAGAGTTAAATATTCAACTGCTAAATTGACAAGTGCCAAGATCTACCATTCTTAGTGATCAAGGATACTAAACTAAGCTCTGGGGGGACAGAAGTCATAAAATAACTAAAAGTAATAGGCTTTGCCCTCCAGGAGCTTATAGTCTAAATAAGGTGTATTTAATTAAAGCTGTCTCAGTTACAAGTGTCAGACGCCCAATCCAAAATGGCACAGGCACAAAAGAGAAATTTGGCTCATATACTGCAGCATCCAGGCAATATTGACTTCAGGTGTGACTACATCCAGGTGCTCAGGCAGGTTTCCCTCTGGGTCAGATTCATTCTTGGTCAGGGTTTTCCCATGAGCCCCATCTGTCCAGCGTGGCTACCCCAACAAAGAAGAGCCTCTTTCCTGGTAGTTCCAGCAAGAGCCCTAGTTGATGCTCACGGGCCAGACCTGGGCCATGTGCCCATCCTGAACCCATTACTGTGGCTCTGGTTGGTCAGGCTTGGACTGTGTGCCCATTTTCGGAGGTGAGATCAGCCCCACCTGACCCTCATGGACTGAGAGTCGGGGGCTGGGGTTCCCAAAGAAAAATCAAGGTGCCTTTGTCAGAAGAGAGGGCCGTAGATGCTGGCAGGAAGTGGAACATGTGAGTGGAGGCAGATTCATATAACCCCGTTTAGGAATACTTACAAATTGACGTTCAACATTATCGAGTGTCTCCTATGCACCCAACACTATGCGATGGAGGAGAAGTGGTGTTTGGTCCTAAAGAGGTTGTGGGGCGGGAGCCTGGTAGGAGCGAGGGCAGGTGTGGAAGGCCAGGAAGAGAACCGAACACATACAAGTATCCAGATCTTGCTACTCTTCATTACCTGGAGCAGTAATGAGTTTTGGCTTCACATTAGAATTTACTGGAGCTTCCAAACAGATTCATGACAAGAACTCTCCTGAGATTCTGATTTCATTAGACTGGAGTATAGCTCAAGCTCCAATATGTTTTTTAAAGACTTCTTCAGGTGTTTCTAATGAACAACTGTGGTTAAGAACTACAGATCCATGGGAAAAATACTAAGTGCCTTTAGCTGAGTATGCGAGGCTATCACGATTTTACCTTAATTTATTAAGTGCCATACTTTTGGGTGGGAAAATATAAAAATTACAGAAGTCAACTAAGAGGATTTTTAATGCTCAGAAGCAGGGAATTATGTTTTGTCAATAATTCATTTTGACCAGTTTTAACAAGTAAAACGTTCACTATGTTAGCCCTGAGATGCTTAACCAAAATATCTGAATGCACATGTTCCTTGTTATGATTTCAGAGGATATTTCTTGAAGCAGAAAGTGAAGAAGAAATATTTGCCCACCTGGGATTGGATTACATTGATCCATGTGAAAGAAATGCTTAGAAAAATTTGTCAACATTTCTGTTTTACAAATTTCAGGTTAAATAAATATGCTTCATATTGTAGTGGAAGATGCCTCAGGAGAGTTGGGGAGTCTGTAAGTCTCACTGAAATGCACATTGCTTCTAGAAGTAAATAGCTTTGGACACCTGATAAGGCACTGCCTGGTAACGAGTTATGCTGATAGGCCATTTGTGCACCTGTTGCTTGGAATTCCCTGTGCATTTTGCCATAGAAACAGAGTTGTAATTGGTGGTTCCTCTCCAGAGAAGTTCATCAAGCCTGCTGTGCCCACAGTGTAGTTGAAATACTGGACACTTCCAATAAAGATAGGATGACACCAGGTGGTGGAGTCTTCTTTTTTCAAATACAAAACATTTTTAAACACAAATACAAAATGAAAGAATAAAGAATTTAAGATTTATCTCGAGGGAGAAACGTGTTTCATTAGATCAGACATTCCCAGGTAGAAATCATGGAACAAGGAGATCAGGGCTTGTTGCCCTAAGTCCAGGTCTTTCCTTCATTATATCAACCTCTCTCCGAGAGAGGTCTGGAATGACAATGCCCGCGAAAAAGGGCCGATCAACACGACGTAAGAGGGCTGCCACCTGGCGGGGGAGATGGACATTACAGGCTTAGAAACAGGAGAACGCCCTGTGGGCCGCGAGGCCAGTCTTCATGGAGGGACCCCAGTAGGTTTGAAATAATGGGAGGATTTGGATCCACACAGTTTTTGTTTTGTTTTGTTTTGTTTTGTTTGTTTTTTGCTAGAACAAAATTTTATCAATTAGGACGATGACTAGTGGAATGCAGGCATCCTTGGTGCCTCATTGGTTGGGGCAGAGCGCCCTCTGGTGGCGAACAGAAGCAGCCTTGGAGGCTAGTACCTGGCAGATCAAGAAAGAAGCCCAAGAATATTGACCAGGGCCCTGGAGATCTTGTAGTCCCTGCCCCTCGTTCTACAGAGAAAAACCCAGATCTGAAGAGAGGCACTGGCCTGTCCAACATCGCAGTTAATACAAGAGCTTTTGCTGATTCAGCAGAGGATATGCACACATGTTTGTGTGACCTTGGACAACTTACCTAACCTCTCCAAGCTTCTTCCATAGCCTCTTTTCTAAAATCAAGATGTTAATAGTTCCTCCACTTACATCTGTTGGAGGATTAAGTGAGATAATACTGTAAAGTGCTTGCATCTGGGATCCTTTGGATTGGGAAGGATCAAGGAATAAGTTAATAATGACCTGGGGAGAAGGGACATTTAAGTATACTGCCAATACTTTACTTCTAGGCTTCCTCCACTGGTAAGTACCTATTTCCTGAAGCCGTAACAGGACATAGTGAAGATTAGGACCAGTGTCCTGGCTCGTGGGCTCCCAGACTCGAGGCTGCCTGGACCTGGCCAGCACCAGCTGCACCGGCTTAAACTCTCTAGGCACCAGGCTGAGGGCAACAGAAGGCAAAGGCCCAGTACCGTAGGTCCAGAGTTTCTTGGAAGCCAAGGGCTACTTTATGGGGACTTTAGGTACTTCCTGACCTTTTTCTCCTCGGGACAGATGGGAGCCATAGTGGGAGTCATTTTTATCTGTTTTGAGTACACTTTAAAAAATTTTTTTTATTGTTGACATATGACAGATGTCCCCCATTTCCCCTTTTTTCCCCCTCCAACAAGCCACCTCCCAGCCTTTACCACATTGTTGTCTGTGTCCATGGGCTCTGCATATACACATATATGTTCTTTGTCTAATCTCTTCCAGGCCCCTTCCCCTCTGATAGCTCTCAGTCTGTTCCATGTATCCATGCCTCTGGTTATATTTTGTTTATCAGTTTATTCTGTTCATTAAATTCCACATATGAGAGAGAGCATGTGATGATTGCATTTTTATCAATCAATTCACGTTACTGTAGGTATTTCAAACTCTCCCCTCCAGCATGTATACCAAAGGACCCCCTAAAAGTACAGAAACCCTCCCCAATTATCGATTAAACTCATTATTCTTAACCCTTCATTTCCTACAAACTTAAATCATCCCTCAGAGTAATTTGCTTCTCGCTCTCCAGGACCAATAACAGCGCCTGTGTAGAGCCTGAGTTTCCCGACCTGTGAAATGAGAATAGCAGCACCCACACCCAAGGGCGAGCCTGTTTCGTGTCTTTGAGCCCAGAAGGAAAGCACTCGATGGAAGCTTTCCTGATAGTGTTTCCTTGAGTGGATAGGAGATTCCATGTTCTTTTGGGTGGAGAGACATTTCCAGAAAACCCAGTGGCCTCCAGCTTTCTTAATATGTGCCTCCTATCATAACAAGACCTGGCAGATCGTCTGACATATGAGGGAAGCCGTGCGTATTTGTTAAACTAACACACGCATTGATCGAGAAACCTCACTAGAAGGGTGGCAGTGCAGAGGCTGTATGGAGAGTCCGTGCTTCAAAAGTTATTCATTGATCATTTTTTTAATCTTCAGTTGGCATGACATTACAGTGATGAATGCCAGAAGAAAAGCTACATAAAGCTATCGTTAATTGGCAGAATGCAAGGGAAGTAAGTCTCTCTCTCCACCTGCAAAGACAAGAACTCTGAGAAAGGCCTCGGTGGATGCAGAAATCTGAGCAGGGCAGCAGAAGGGGAAGGCTTACTTTGTGGGCTTTGGAAAAAATAAATGTAGAATGTTCGAGTTGGGGAGGTGTAACCTTCCGAGCCAGTCCCCAACCAGATGATAAGTGAAAAAAATGAGATCAAAACACATTGTGCAACTGGCCTCAGGTCATCCCCCAGCGAGCAGTGGGTTGGAGAGCCAGGGCTTCCGACTTCTGATCTGGCACCTTCCTCAGAGCACAGACTGCCCCCTGGGAGGGGCCAAACGGCCATCGTCAGCCCAGCAGAGGGAGTGCCAGCACCAGCAATACCCCTGGGGTAGCCTTAATTCCAACCTCAGGGCCGACACCGTGTACTTTAATACAGGCAAAGAAAAACCACGCACGTGTTATAGGTCCATAAAAACAACCGTTTTACATTTCATTTTATTCCAAAATAACTTTTTGTGCATTGTAGCAGAAAAAAAAAAATTAGAAATAATGAGCCTTGCTAGTTTGGTAGAAGCAATTTGAAGTACAGATCTTAAGCAATGGATTGTAAGTGGAATTAAAATAAATGATCCAAAAGGGAAGTCACCCCTCATTTTATAGACAAAATGACCGAATCTGCCTGTCAAGGTGACTGGACCCAGGAGACTTAGAGTAAAACTGAATTTCACAAGGGCTTTGTGAGGCATGGAGAGGCATGTGGCCGTGACTGGGTTTGTAGAACCTGGACTTGGTTATTCAAAAGAGAGGGGTGTGCTTCTGAGCAGCTGGGGGCCCTGTGCGAGGTCGGAGTGTTCCCACAGCACATCGAGATGGTTCGTGGAGCTGGTGGAAGGGCTCGGAGGTATCCCGGGCCCAAGTTTTCCCCTCAGGAGACCCAGCCCACCCCCGAGCAGTGGCCCTGTGGGGGCAGCCAGGGTTCCTGGGAGCCTCCCCAGAGAGGCGGCGGTGAAGGCCTGGCCCCTGCCAGCTGTCCCTGTCCACCGGCTTCCCTCAGATGGCAGCCACATTGCTGCTCGGCCCACCCCTTCGGTACGGTGTTCATGTGCTCAGAGTCCTCTGGGTCTCTCTTCTTGACAATGAGTTTTTCCCCACAAAAGTCCATGGACTTTGGCTTTTCTCTCTACTTCCACGATGTAGATATAGCCTCATTTCCAATAATCGTTTGAAACATCTTCTGCCTTCCCTCCACACTGTTCACCCTGAACACACACATAGAACCCATTGCCAAATTGTCTTCCTTGAATAATGTCTGACCACACACTCGAGTGGGAGCAATGGATGGTCCAGCCATGTGCTGCCCCTTGAGGTCAGGGCATGTGCGTGGTCAGGGCATGTGTGGCTCCACATGATTTCTACCTTGAGATATTCAGGAATAAAGGACTGCTTCCCCTCATACATCCCGCTTAAACTTCACTTATACACCATGCTGGCCTCGGCCAACCCTCCCATGGAAGCTGGTCTGATGGCATTTTGAGAAATGGGATGTGAAAAAAGATGAAAAGGCAAGACACTCAGATCTCAAGCCTCTTTCCCAAAATCAGACACACACACACACATACACACATACGCGCGCGTGCAAATTCCCACTGGGATCAGGAACAGGACCCAAGGGCTCCTTCTGGATGCCCAGAGACCTCCCTTGGTGCTTCATTGCTTATTAAACCACGAGATCTGAGAATTGGAAGGAACCTTGTCAGATCTGTCCCCTAAAGAGACAAATCATCCAAAAGTTTTCCAGATCTGTCAATGAAATCTGGATTGCTTAAGAAGCAGTTTAGCATCTCTCCTCAGTCCAAGCACAAATCCCTGGGCTTCCAGCTCTGTTCCAGCTCCAGTGCTGCCTTTGAGCCACATCATTCCAGGCTCAGTCGGGGTATGAGCCACCACAGTCCCCTCCTTCTCTCCGTTTCTACCGCAGGACGGTAAGTGTCACGCATGGGCTCCTCACTTCCTGCTACAGTCCTCACGTATATGTGAGCTTCTTCTGCTCCCGTTGTATTCTCATGTGGCGGTGCTCTCCTAGGATTCTTGAGGAGACAAACAGGTTTTTTAAAAAATGTAGCAAAGACTTCTGCTTCTGGTCAAGTTGAAGGAACAACAGCCAGATTTACCTTCCCACCTACAGCAACCAAACTTCAGACAAACCATCTAAAACAGTAGTTTTTAAGACACTGGAAATCATGCCAGGAAGGACAGTGATTCTTGCGAGACAAAACACAAGTAAGTACAGGTCTGCAGTTGCCGGAGCTCGCTGCCTTGGGAGGTTTTCTGGCCACGCAACATTCTTTTGCTTAGTGTAGCATGGTATCTGGTTTTTTTTATCCTTTTATTTTTAATCTGCTAGTGTCTTTATATTTAAAGTGAGTTTTAGTAGGCAATGTATAGTTGTATCTGGACTTTATAGCCAGTCTGAAGATCTCTGCCTTTTAATTGAGGTATTTATACCAACTACATTTAATGGGATATTGACATGATTGGATTTAAATTTACCATCTTGCTACTTGTTTTCTATTCCATCTGTTCATTGTTACTTTTTAAATCTTTTTTTCTGCCTTCCCCCAAATAGATTTTAGAAGTACCTTATTAAGTTCCATGAAAACAAATCTGTTGGGATTTATATTGAAATTACATTTATTATGTAGACCAATTTTAGGTTGTTCAACATCTTTATGCTATTGAGTTTTCCTACCAGAGAGCATGGTATATATGAATATTCCCATTATTTAGGTCTTATTTAATATCTTTTACTAAAGTTTTATTTTTCTCCATAAAGGGATTACATGTTTTTGTTAGATTTACTCCTCAACATTATATATATAATATAATATAATATATAGTATATATATTTTTTTATTGCCCCTACAAAATGGTATTTTTAAAAATCACTTTGATTGTTATTGATTTTTAGAAGTGAAAATTACTTTTGTATACTGATTTCTATATCCAGTAAACTTATTAAAATCACTGGATAATGCTAACAATTCATCTGTAGAAAATCATATCATCTGAAAATAATGAAACTTTTGTTTTCCTCTTTTCAGTCCTACACTTCCTGCTTCTTTTTCTTACCCTACTGCATTGACTAGGACCTAAAGTTAAATATTGACTAGGTGGTACTAGAGAGCGCCCTTGGTTTTTTTCTATTAAAGAGAATTCATTAACAATTTACCCTTAGGTACAATGTTTGATGTAAATTTTAAAAAAGATATCTCCATTCAATTTAAGAAAGTTCCTACACCACAAAATGGCTGTTACATTTTTTTGAAGTCTTTTTTTTCCTATTGAGATGGTCACATGATTTTTCTCTTTTAGTTTGTCAGTAAAAGAAATTCTATTAAATTGATTTTTTAATATTAAATCAACCTTGAATTCCAGTCCAGCCAATAAAAATACTGAGAACCCGCCTGTGTCTGAGCTTCCCTCAGTCCTCTCTTTCCCCCGTGCGCCCACACTGTACTTCTCTTATGACGAAAACAACTTTAACACCCTTGTTTTACTAGGTTTATTCACTGTATGATGATATATAGTGATTAAAACCAAGAGTTCTTACCTCAGCTATCTTGGGATTGTCATCAATTTCTGAAATTTCATATGGCCTCTCACTTTCCTAAGTTGGAAAGAAAGAAATAAAGGGAGGGAGGGAGGGAGGGAGAGAGGGTCCTAGAATTGGCCCATGACAATGACTACAACCAGTGGTGCTTACACTTAGGTTTACAATCACAGTGCGATCACCAGAGAACTTCGAAAACAAAGCAAAATAAGCAAACAAATAATAAGTCTCTCCTCCCAAAACATGAATAAGTAATACCATTGTGAATTACTTCAAAATAATCCAGGGTGGGTAGGGTGAAGAAGGGGGTGGGAGCAGAGATGAAATGCAATTGGCTATAAATTGATAGTTAGGTTTATTATATTAGTCTCTGTATTTCAGTATATGTTTAAAATTATTTACAATAAAAAGTTGTGTTTTTTAAAGACCAATGCCACAACTCTATTATCCAATGATACTGATTTAATTGGTTTTGGTGACTGGTATTTTTGTAACCTCCTGGATGATTTTAAAATGCACTGAAGGTTGAGAAACTACTGCCTAAATAAAAATACCACCAGCAACCACATACTTCTTAATGGTAAAAGTTTACAGCTTGTCAACACATCTTTACATCCATGATCTCGTTTCATCCTTGCACATTTGCCTCCCTCCTAAAATAGGAAAGATAGCTTTTGTGACTCCTATTAAGTTGACCTAATCAAGGCACAGAAAGGGTTAAGTCACTTATCCAGGATCATGTAAAGGATAAAGTGGCAGGGCCAGGGTTGGAGCCTCGGGTTTGCTACCTCCTGGGATGCTTACTGCTGTAAGCACACCAGGAAAGTTCATAAGCAGAGGACGGCAGCAGAACCCAGAGCCCACGTGACAGAGTGCAGCACACTCCCGGAACCTCGTGGGATGTGGGTCTGGGCAGACTTTGAACCCTGACGTGGTTCCCAGAGCCATCTGGCATTTGGAAGGGGTGGGGTTGGCAGATTCCTTGTGACTGATGTGTGTTCAGATATGGAAAAGGGCAAAGAGAAGCAGAGCCACATACTCTGGACATATACCTACCTCAGCACCTGTGTGTCTCCTGCCTTTCCCAAGATCACCTCCGCCCTCTCTGCGAAGCTTGTGCCCTTCTGTTTCTCAGCCTGAGCAAACACATCCACCATATAGACATGTGTTTGCCATGGCCACTAACGTCCCTCTTCACTGCTACTCTCTGCCACTCCAAATATCCTTGTGGCCGCCTGACAAACCAGCTCCGCCTGGGGCGTAATGGCAAGACTCTGAGAAATTGAGGTGCAGGGACATCCACCATCTTGTCCTCAGAAAACAGACACAAGTCCTGACACACTTTGCCCAAAAGCCATTCACTGAAATACCTATTCCTGCCAACATGCCCAGCCCCGGGAAGCTGCTCGTCACCTCGGTGGATTTGCTGCTGCTTCTACGTCGCTGAATCACCATAAACAGGAGCGCCACTAGCAGGGCCGAGGCCACCAGCGACGGGATGCCCGCGGCCAGTCCGAGCGAAGGCCCGCAGTCCTGGCACGGAGAGAGAAGCAGGGTCAGCTTCTCGGGAGTCAAGGAAAAGGCCAGTTGATGAAAAAGAAACCACCCCCAAAACCTCAGGGACCCTACATGTTATACAAAATCCAAAGGGAAGTGAAATATTGTGAAAAATGTTTGCAGTCTGCATGACAAATGAGTCATTTTCATAGGACTTAATTTACATAATTTACATCAATTAGAAAAGGGTTATAATCCAGTAGAAAAATGGGCAACAAATACAGACAAGACATTCCTAGGAACAGAAATACAGATTTCTCAACATGGGAAAAAGCTGAGATACAACTCAAAGCAACAATTAGATACCATTTTTACCTATCAGTTTGGCAAAAAGTGAAAGCTTTTCTTATACCCCACACCATTTGACATGAATGTTTTAAATTTATTTACACTAAATTCATTAACCAATTAATTTTCAAATTCCCACTTTGTTTTGATATAAGTGGAAATAGCTGCATAAGTTTTCAGATTTGTAGATTATCTGGAAATATCAAAGATAATCTGCAGAATCTATATAAATACAGGATTCTTATATATAACATAAATACAGGAAAGTATATAAATCATAAATATATAGCTTGATGACTTTTCACATGATGAACCCACCCATGTAACCAACATTCAGACTAAAAAAACAATATTACCAATGCCCCAGAAGCCCCTTCACGCTTCCTTCCAGTCAGCCCATGTATAAGACTATTTCGAAATCTATCACCATAGGTTAGATTTGTCTTTTTTCAACATCATCTAGATGCACAGAGAAAGTATGTACAGTAAGTCCTCATGTAACATCCTGGATGGGTTCTTGGAAGGTGGTGAAACAAAGTACAATGAAACCAATTTTATCAGGGACTGATTAATACAAACAGGAGTTAAGTTTCTACAGCATCTCACCAGTGTTATTGTGAACCAAATGTTATTCCAGAACCTGTGTGCCTAACTTCTTTTGCTCAACGCATTGTGAAATCCATCTGTGATTTGCGCACTCTCCCTCATTTCTGAGCTGAGTTGATTATAACAGTCGAGCCAGATTCTGTGCTTGGTAATAGTTCACATATCAAATTTATCTACTTCTCAAAACAAATTCACAAGATGGGGAGAGCATTATATCCCTGTTTTATAAATGACCAAACCAAGCCTCCAAAATTTAGGTGGCATACTTACTCCTTCTTTCCCACCTGTAACAGCTGGAGAGGAAGTCTGTGTGGGAAAAGAACATATAGCTTAAGAAAACAAATCTGCAGAACGAATGCTATATAAGACAGTCTGTCGAAGGTGAAGCTCTAATGCCTAAAGTTCACCCTTTGCTAAACATTCTATTAAAAACAGTAAATGACACTGTTGCAGGAGATAGCATAGGAAGAGCTCTGAGGCTGCGCTGCTGTTCCTGGCCAGTGGCTAGCGTCCTGGTTACCAGGCAACACCTTTTAGCACTTAGGTAGCAGCTAGGAGTGAGCAGCCAGAGGGGGAACTAAAGGCAGGGCTCTCACCATTGCAATCTAACAAAGAACTTAATACAGAAGGCCAAAAGCAAAGGAAGACATGTCTCACCCATTGACCCAGTTGTTCTGAGCCTGGTTCGATAAGACCGCCAGGCATTCCGAACAACATGAGCAAACGATGGTAGCGCAGGGAGGGGGAGCCCTGAAAGTCTGCGTGTATCATCTCTGCTAGCTGGGAAAGAGGAAACCTGGAGATGTGTATTCATTCCAAGACCTGGGAGGAGAGGGGCATGTAGTGTCCAGAGAAAAAGCCCATGAAACAGCTTTGGTTAACTGCCGGCCCCTTTTCCAGATGCAGAATGAACAAACAGAGTCTAGAGCCAGATAAGGATTCGTGCTAACAGACCTCCACACAATACCTGCGTCACACCCGCCCCCCAGAAAGCTGGCACCACCTTCACCCATCAATCAATATGTAACTCCCTCACCCCCATCCCGCCAACTATATAGGTTGCCAGAACAAAGGACTCACTCTTCTCTTGGCTCTTTTTGCCACATGGAGCGGTGGTGGCACCCTGGCCATTTGGCCTCTGGCCAGGGGGTCCCTGGTCACCTAGGTGCTGGCCACCTGGCTTCTGGCGACCCTGCTTTTGCCACCCTTGCTTTTGCTTTCCCATTAGGACTTAGTACTAATAAACTTCACATGCACGCCAATAGGCTCGTTGGTCTGTACTTCTTTACTGCATCGGCAAGAAGAACCAGGGTTTCTCTGGTAATACCATGGCTGCCAAACAGAACCTTACTTGATTGCTTCCCAGGTAGAAGAAATGGAATTCTTTTACAAGGAGAGAGAATTCAGAAATTCAGGTAAGTTCTTTGTTATTTACTCACATGGATTTGCCATAACACCCTTTTACAACTCAAAATAAGACTTTCTCTTGTCCCAAGTCCCCATATCCTTCCACTTTGGGTTTACCTGTCCCCATTGCTAGAGGTAAAATGATAAAGTCTGGTAGAAGACAGGCTCTTTAAGGGTGGCTTATTGTTTTCAAACATGCAACGGAGCAAATGGCTTGGGGGGGATCTGAATGTGTGAACGGTCCATGTTCCTGGGGTAATTCCACGTTGAATGAATACCTTGCAGGTTGTCAGTTCACACCTCTATTCAAGGAGAGGCGCTGGATCTCACTTTGTTATGAGTTATTTCAGGTAATAGTCTTACCTGGATCAGCAAGTCTCAGGGAACCAAGCTCTACATTAACGTGACCCATGTACCGCATGCTAAGTGGTGCTCTGTGGGGTTAAGAGCGTGGGTCCTGAGCTCCCTGCCTGGAGTGGAATGGCAATGTCTCCGGTCACAGGCTAAGGGATCTCCTTTCTCCCTCTGTGAAATAGGACTGTTAGGACCTACCTCTAGAGTTGTGATGGGCACCGAAGTGTAAGGTTTTATCATTTCTTTAAAACCGGCAAAGCTCTGGTCAGACCTGTTATTTAATATTCTCACAAACCTCAGGAATACATTGGAGTTCCTGAGGTTGGGGCTTTGACAATTTTTGTCTCTATTTCACAAAAAATGAACTAGATCTCAGAGAAGTTATGGGATTTTGTCCAAGGTACCACAGGTAACCGTAAATCTAACCTGAACGTGGGTGTTTGAGTTCCATGCCTAGGTCTCTGGTCCAGACAGTTCCCACCCAAAGAGGAACGTGATAAAGGAGGCATTGATGTTTGGTACTTCCATGCTTAGAGCTTTACCTAAACACAGGCTCCCACTCACCCCCAAATTACCTTCATGCCGCATTTGCCCAAAGCATTCCATTTCTCTGGGTTGTGGTAAGAGTCAAATACCATTTCCGGTAGGTATTCTATCTTCAGGTTACAGATATTCATTTGGGCTGGCTTTGGTCCCTCCAAGGGAGTTAACTCTCAGGAGTCAGGGGCACTTCATGGAACCCCAAAACAGTGGGATTCTGGCTTCTCCAGGGATTGAGGGACTGGGAATTTGTCAGGACCAACGCCGTCCCTCCCCCTGGACATGTGGCCCTCTCCACTCTCTGGGCATGTGGCCTTTCCCCGTGCTCTTCCCTGTTTGCTTCCTTCTTCTCTCTGCAGATGAACCTTCCTGCCCCGGCGAACACCTGCCAATCACACCAGCTGAGGCCTATGGAGTACTCACTATGCGGCAGGCTGTTCGCCTGCCGCTCCCGCATCTGCTCATTTGTGCCTCACGACAGCCAGTGAGGCAGGACTACGGTGATCCCCGCTTTACAGGGGAGAAGAGTGAGACACAGAGAAATGAAGTAAGTTGTGTGAGGTCACACAGCGCTGAGAGGCAGACGCCGAGTCGTCTGGCCCCAGTCCAAGCTCTCAACCACGGCTGCAGCGCCCCAACTCACTTTCTGTACTTGACAGTTCAGTGTGGCCCAACCGGGACCAACTTGCCTAGGTGGCCCTGTTCCCAACTCCCTGCAAAGGCTCTTCTGAGCCAGGTATCTACCTCTCCCCCCTTCCCAGGGCGCTGGCACTCAGCTGCACCAAAAAGGAAGGGTCACATGGCGGACATAACTGCCAGGCAGGGTGACCAACTGTCCTGGTTTTCCAGAGAGGTTGCCTAGGTCATAGGACATTCAGTGTTAAAACCAGATGGACCCAGGTGAACCAGGATGGTTGCTCACCTTACACAGGTTCAAAGGGAGGAGGGAACACTTCTCAGAGAAATGGGTTGTTAACCAAGAAGGCTCTCCAAAAGGTGACAACAAGTGTCATAAGGACCTCCCTCTCACCTCTCACCTCTCACCTCTCCCACCCTGCGCAATGGCTTCTTGCTTCCCTGAGTTACCTTCCTAGGGTGGGCCACTCCAGGGTAAGACAGATCCCGGGGTTTCTACAGACCTGCTGAGTTTAAGCAGCAAGGGGGAAAGGTCCAGCGGTGACTCTATTAAAAGGTTTTGACAGCAAACAACAAGCAGAGGCTGAAGCAGGGAGCTGAGCAACTCAGGGAGGCTCAGAAGGCAGGGCCCCGCCGGAGAGTGCGGCAGGTGCTGGGGCGGGGGTGTGGGGGACAGACCCCCAGAGCAGCCCGCGCGGGGCACCAGGAGGCCCACAGTGAGCAACAAGGCTCTGCCTTCCTGGGACTGTCCAGACCGGTGCCCTCATGTTATAGGAGACTGAGCCCTGGCTCCGGTGTCCTTTTACCAGGTAGATTCAGTTTATTCTCTTCCAATAACCATGTGACTTACCAGAAACATTTGGCACAGCCAAACCCACTAATGACTGGGCCAGAGAAACGCCTCACTCGGTCACAACAGGACTACTGCTTGGAAGACAGCCCTGGCCGGGTTATCTCCACATGGCATGAGAACAGAAGCGGAAGATCAGCTCTGGGTGGAAGCTGTGCGCCACCACCCACTGAAATTGTTATTTTGACTTGCAGCTCAATGTCATGATCAAGAGCAATAAAATGTTCAGACTTGTTGATCCCCAAATTCCCCTTCTAGACTATCTATGAAAGAAGTCATCTTAAGTGCAGATGGGGAATTATCTACACCTATGTTTAGTAGAAAACTACTTTTAATTGTGATTAAGTAATTCAGGAAATAGTTTTCTTGAAGAAATATTATGTGGCCACCCTCTGTTATGGTTATAAAGGCTGATGGAAAACATTTATATAAAATTATATGTAGAGTAAGAACACAGTAGTATGAAGACAACAGAAGTCAACATTTCCCGAGAGTCAAGTAGGGCTGGAAGGAGTGCCATATTCTGCTGATGGGATCACAGGTGAGGGTTCTTTCTTCTTTGCTGTTTTCCTTTTCAAACTGTGTATTTATAATTTCCAGTGTTGAAAACATTTCCCGCGGCAGCCCCCAGCTCCTCCCGAGTGCCTTTGAAGAACTGGACTCCTCGCCGTGCCTGGAGTTCCTGTGGCAGGCTCTGGGGGCCCCGGTCGGCGCTGCACTGGTGTTTGGGGAACAAACAGGGGCTGCTGTACTTACCGTGTTGGCTGGCAACGTGAAGTTCAGTGGAAAACTCTGCAAAGGAGAACAAAACTCTAAAGCTCCCGGGAATGGTGAGCCAGGCTCTCGACCTTTCCACCCAACGCCACGGACCCTGGCCGATTCTAAGAGCACTTGCTGATCCCTTATTCTCAGTCAGCCCATGTGCCTTCCCAACCTTGGCCCAAAAAGAGGGCAGATGAGCAGACGAGCCTGAGGCCACGGGTTCCGCCCTCAGCATCGGGGCAGCCTTGTTTCCCCTTGCCTCCCAGGTCCTCGGCCAGGGCTAGACTAAGGGGCCAGGCCGCAGGGCTGCTGCCTGAGGAACCCCAACCCACAGGGGCAATACAAGCATTGCTAGGCATTCAGCAAAGCGCTGACAATTAGTTTTCTCCCCGCCTAGAATTCTTCTCAGGGAGGGAAATGTGTGAATTTAGAAACACTTGGTCCTTGCTGCTTGGGTTAGGAAGTAAGACCCCCACGCAGGGACATGTTCCAACAAGAACACCTGCTCCTTAAACCCCCTTCCCCAGGTGAGAGAATGAGGGAAAGACAAGTTTTGCTGAGTTCAAAGCATAGTCTCCGGACTGCAGCTGAGCTGGTCAGGACGACAGAGAGAAGCTCACCCTTCTCCACCCTCCCCTCTCTCCCCCTAACGTGGAGTCCATATTTAAAGTTCATGGGCTCAACAGGGTACCAAACTGTTAGCCTGCCCAGTGCCCACTCTCTGGGTCAGGCCCTGCTAAGGGCCTCCGCTGGCCCCTTCCTCCTCTCGTCTTCACCTTCTGTCCCCATAGTTTGGGCTCACCTATACCAGTCTTCCCAGGCTACTCTTTCCCGAAACCAAGATAGATATTATTCTAGGACATTAGAGCAAGAGGGACATCTGGGCCACCATCGATTTCAGGGTCTTCTTGCTCAAGGGACCAAAACACTGCCATTGCTGCTAACGCCAACCCTGCCGACAGATGCCGCAAGGACGCTGGCCGCGGCACTGAGCACAGCTGCCCAGGGCCTTATCTCATCCGTGAGTGCCGGGCACTGACGTCAGCAGGCCCAAGACAAAGCTTCCTTTGGGGGCCCAGCAGACGGGAGGAGCAGCAACAAGCAAGCCATTGCATGTGCTCTTCATCAATATTTGGATGACGAAGGTTTTGGCCAGTTTCAGAGAGGCATTCATGTTTTGTAAAAACACACTACAGTGCTCTCACGGAGAGAAAAACATCACGTACATTTGGGTGGAGAAGAATATGTTCTTTAGAGAAGCAGCTGGGTGGGGTGAGGCAGCTCTGGGTTTGGAGTCACCTCATCTGGATCTGTGTCTAGACTCAGCTGCTTAGTGGCTGTGTGGCCTTGGAAAAGTGACTCAAACTCTCTGGTCTCCGTTTCCACACAACAGATCTGTTCTCCCAAGTTCAGGTACTCCATCCTCAAAACGGAGAGATGATTAACTGGCCCTGCCCACCTCACAGGATAAGTCCAAAGGACATAACACCTGGGCAGCTCCGTCCAAGCTGTAGACCACTCTAGGTGTGCGAGGGGTCACGGGGGCCCATATTCTTCAGGGCCGGGCCTGCACCGAGCAAGGCACAAGAAAGCCACGTGGGAAGTTCTTTTCTGGATGGAATCCCATACATGGATTAACAATATTCAAAGTGCTGGAATTTGGTACAATATACTTATAGCTCAAATACACTTAGTGTTAGTCTAAGCATAACATAATATCTACACGATGGTTCTGAAGGCACTTTAGGATCTCAGCAGCTGAGTAGCACTCGTTGTAAGTTTGCTGTTTTCCAGGGGAAGAGGGACAATTACTCACTGCTATGGAGGATGTGCTACATGTCAGACACCTGCGAAGGGCGTGCATTCAAGCTGCTAAGTGGTAGAGGCTGGGTTAGATTATATATCCTCCAAACTCCAAAGCCTGAACTCCACTCCTTTTCATAATCTCTTTTATAAATAATCTCAGAAGCCTCTCCTCTTTTCCCCCTTAGCAAACCTCATTTGATTGAGTCACAACCAAATATGTATTGCAAGTCAATTAAAAAAAAAAGGTGGAAAGTTTCTGATGCAACAGATGAATATCTATGTTGCTGAGCAGGTAGCAGAAGGCAGACTGAACAATAAAGGATAAAGGCATGGATCGGACCCATTGCTTCAACTGGGAAATGAATGTAGCTGAAACATCTCCTTTGTACCCTTGCTGTGTGTGTGTGGGGGGGGGGGTGTTACAAACAAGGCCAAAATATTAAAATAAAAGATGAGATTGGCAAATGGTGAGAATTTTACCAAAAATTAGTATTTTGCACATAGGAAAATAATTTAAAACCAAGTCCCTTGGCTTTATTGTACCAAGGACAAAGGCGTATTAGAGTTAGAGACATGAGTTTTAAAAGCCTGAGAATTGTTTTTATTGAGAGAGAATGAGGTTAGGCTGAGCTGAAGATGCTGCCGTCACTTACCATTCTGACAGCCTCCCGAGAACCTTCTCTACGCGCTGTCCTCGGCAAGCTCCTTTCTCTCTGGAGCTATTGGCTTGTGTCTCGCATTTGTAGGGACATTCAGCTGGGCGAGCAAGGGTGACAGAGCGAGAAGTGGCTCTAAGAGAGCCCTGGCCAAGCCATTTATGGTCAGGGGAGTAGCCAAGTCCTCGGCCCATCCCTCAGGGAAGCTGGTCTCCTGCCCCACAGCCACCGTGTGCAGCCAGGGTTACCCATCCTCTTTGCCTTTATATCCTATCCTTCTCACTTGTCAGGTCCCTTCCTTGATGACACCTCCAGCTCAGCAAAGAACCCACAGCTGGCCCGAGAGCTCGGAAGCTTCTGCAGCTGGGAGCTCTTTAGAACAATGGGTGGCACAGGCAGAGGTGGGCCCCAGCGGCCGGGCAGCGGCATCCCAGCCATGGTGGAGTCGGCACATTACTGGTATCCCTGCAGGGGACGCCTGTGGGGCACGGGGTGGGGACCCGCTCTGTGTGTGCGGCAGGTCTGTGGCTGCCACAGGGAACATACTCCCCGGTCAGTGAGCTGCCTGCTGGGGAGTTTGGCCTCACCCTTTCCTGTTCTCACACTTTGGCGGGGACCCTCCTAGAGCTGGGGGAGGCTGTGGACATGGGCTGCTTTTATTTCTTATGAGCTCTCTGCTAGGAGTTTGCGTTTTTGAAACAATGAAGGAGTTGGAGTCACGTGCCAGCAACACAATGGAGTTCGGACCAGTAAATGTGATCATTTAAATGAGTACATTTCTTCATCTAGTTAACACATCTTTTTAATACCTTCTATTATTCTGGGCACTGCTCTCAGAAATGGTGAAGACAAATGCGGCCCCCACTTGCAGGGACTGTAGGTCCCAGCAGGGACAGGCAGAGAGCAGTCACTGTGGAGGAGCAAGTGGGCTGGAAGGGAGGAGCGAGCAGTGACCCAGAGGCAGTTCCCTTGGAAAGGCCAAGAGACGGCATTCAAGCTGCGTGTCAGAGATGAGAAGAGGGCCCCCCAGGCAGAGGGATCAGCAAAGGCAAAACCCCTGCGCTGAAGCAGGTGTGGCACCCTCGCAGACCGAAAGGTGGCCCCCGTACCTGCAGACACAGAAACCTCGAGGGACCCCGGAAGGAGTTACAGACACAGTAACTCAGGGACCTATGGTGTGAGCATGCTAGGGCAGGTAAGAGTTCCATTGTGGAGCGATGGGAAGCCTTTCAAGGGTTTTAAGTGGGAAGGGAGCCTGAACTAATTGATGTTGACAAAGATCAGCTGGCCTCTCTGTGGAGCCTGGATTACAGGGGACACGGGTGTGAACCTGGACACTGGCTCGCAGAGTCCAAGTGAGCGGTGAGGGCGGCTGCCTGGGGTTGGGGCAATGGGCATGGAGAGCAGTCTGTGGGTTTGTGACTTATTGTGGAGGCAGAGGCAACGGGATTTAATGATGGGAAAAAATGTGGGCAGGGGAGGGGGAGAAGGTGAGGGAAAGAGCAGAGTAAAGCCGGCTGCTGGCTTTGGGGCTTGACTAACAGAGGCGGCAGAGGCCCCATTTGTGTAGTCTGGCCAGGCTGGCGAGCCAGACCTGGGGAATGGGATCCAGGCAGTGGGATACTGACCTGAACAAGAACAACGGTCTGCTTCAGGGGGTTTCCAGTCCCCAGGGCAATGGCTCAACTGAGTCTCTCGGCACCGGGGTGCCACGGAGACACTGCAGAGAAGCTGCACCGAAAGCCTTAGCCGCCCTTGTGGAAGCGGCGCGGTCCTAGGCAAGTGAGGTACCTCCTTCCAGTCTCGCTCCCCAGCTGTGAAGTGGGGATGATTCTGTTGACAGTGACTGGCCTACTTATATCAGCACCGCTGCACAAATTATGCTCCTAACTGCCTCGGTGGGCCTAGAACCGTGCCTGCCCCAGAGAGCTGGACGCAGGAACTTCAGTTCATGGCCCCAGTGCCCTCTGGCAAGGCTGTTGTGGATGGGCAAGGCCAGTGAGGTCCTTTTGTGACTCTTTTTGTTGGCTAGGCATCTTCTGATCACCAACTCTCCCTCCAACGAACATGTTAGTTTCTTTCAGAAGAATTGCTATGAATTCTAGTCAGCGGAGCCCTGGACTAAGTGTCTGGGTGGGTCGTGATTCCCTGGTCACAAGCATCAAAACAGACTCTGATGAACTTAAGAGGAAGGGGATTACATGGGTGGGTGTAGTGGAGCTCAGGCCAGGGAACCAGGCTCTGGGAAGACAATGCTAGGTGGCCCCTGAGGCTTCAGCAGCAGGGACTCTGAGACGGCCCTTGCTGGATATCCCCCCAGGGAAACGAGCTCCAAACTATTTCAGCCCCTTTCCCCTTGATCAAGTCCAATTCCGGGAAGAGGATCTGATGGTCTGGCTTGGGTCTTGTGCCCAAAGAGGACCTGCCACCTGACCGACGGTCTGCCCAAATCAAGTCCCCCCAATGGGAGAAGAGGTGGCTCTGCAAAAGGAACTTGGCACCGTCACTCGAAGAAGGGGCCTGGGGGGAGCGAGCGGGCTGTCCTGCTCCGGAAGTACTGGGCCTGAGAGACTGTCTCCTGAGAGACTGCAGAAGGAATGCCCTGAAGGGGAGAGGGGTTAGGCCACCAACTCTGAGATTCTCTGATCATTTCTATTTGCCACCGTTTAAATTTGTACTGATGACTTGTTTGCCAGGTGGTCCGTTTAAACTGGTCAGTTTAAAATGTTGGTCCATTCCTCCCTGGCCAGTATGGCTCTATTGGATGGAGCATCATCCCATAGACTGAGAGGTTGCAGTTTGATTCCCAGTCAGGGCACATACCCAGGTTGCAGGTTTGATCCCTGGTTGGGGCATGTAAGAGAGGCAACCAACTGGTGCTTCTCTCTCATCAATGTTTCTCCTCTCTCTATCTCTCTCTCTCAAAACAATGAAAAAATGTCCTCAGGTGAGGATTTAAACAAATAAAAATCTAAAAATTAAAAGCCAGTCCATTCTAAATGATAGGGTGACCTTATTCTAACTGCTAAAACCTTTATCTAAAATGTCAGTAAGGAAGTAGTGATGAAGTAAAATGTTAAACAGCAGGATGATTCTGGTCATTTCCCTATCTCTGAATGCCACAGGGGAGAGTCATGGGGGGGGGGGTCCACCAGGTATTGCTAGCTCCTGTCGCTCTTCACCTGAAGTTAAGACCAGCCGTGTGAGTTGCGCCGGCCAATGACACGCGAGCAGCAGCGATACGCCACATGCGGGCATTGTGAGAACCAGCGTGTGGCTCTTCACGCCCGCTTTCCCTCTGACACAGGAATCAGCAACGGCCCGTCAGCCCAGCCCAGCCCTGACTGAGGATGACGTGGAAGAGCTGCCAGATACTAGATATGACTATGCCGTTGAAACAAGAAATAAACCTTTTTATGCAAAGCCCCTGACGTTTGGGGGTTGTTTGAGTGCCACATAAGCTGCCCTGACTGATGCATCAAGCAGTTGTACCCTTGCAGCCCTGGGGCTCGTCCTTTAGGTACCAGTTACCACAAAAGGTAGAAAAGTCATAAAACCTCGACACGCTACAGATAGCACAAAACTGGCATGTGGTGTTAGTTTCACATTAATTCTTAGTCCCTCATTACCCTTCCCTGATGGGACCCATAAAACCCCAAGCATACCTGAAGTTCTCTTCATCTGGTCAACCGACAAAGACTGTTGTCGATTAGATGGAGTCTCTGTCCTTGAGTTAGAAATGACCTTCTATCTGTCAGGGTCCCCACAGAAAATGAATGATATACTCAATGTGCTGTATTTGGGAGTGGGGGTGGGAGGCTTATTAAAAAGGACTATTTATAAAGATCCCCTATGGGGGACAAATAATGCAGTACCACAGGGTTAGGCCAATGGAGTATCATTACCACCCTTAGACCTGGGGTGGGGGGGCAGGTGGAAGGAGTGACTGCCAGAGCCCAGAGAGAAAAGGCCACCTAAGAGGAGCCATGACCTTCTGTTCTAATGTCATATGTGGTCCTCAGGCACAAAACTGCGTGGAGATGAGTGGAGAGCGCTGCTGAGGGACAAACGGGAGATGCCGACCACATCGACACCCTTGTACGAGCACCCATGTCCATAAAAATTATGTTGTCAAATTTCCAACCGATTCGGGTCCAAGAAAGGGGGCACCTTTGAAGCCACCTTCAGCTTTGCTCAGGACTTCCTGGGTCCAAAGGGGAGTGCTGTCCTGGAGTCAGGCACTGGGTGCTTGCCAGAGAGTAGAAGGCCATAGGGAAGACCCCCTTTTTCTATGCTCCCCAAGTTCTTGTGGTGTTGGGGAAAATTATCACCACGGGGACCAGTCTTGTCTGAACTGGTAGTATATACCCAGGACACATCAATCAATGCGCATTCTTTAATGAAACCATTCTTTCTAAACAGAGACACGTTAGCTTCTCTCCACTTTCTTTTTGATACTGACAACACTTCATGAAATGGAAAATTACACAAAATAAAAAATACAATATATTTATAGATAACACTCTAAACAGTTTTCCATTTTTCTTTTTTTACAGAAAACTTTTCGGCATGTGGGGTTATCTTTCCGAAGTTCAGCCTACAGCGGAAAGTGGAAAGACATCTGCTGGAGACCTGGGAAGACTTGTTCACACTGAACAATGACAGGCCCGGGAATTATCTGCAACTTAGCAAAGGGACCAGATCAACGGCAAATCCCCATGTGAACTTGCCAGTTAACAAGATTTTACAAAGGCTTTAAACAAGTTGAACATTTCATGAGTAATAGGACACTTCACTTTAGAAGAAAATAAAGTTACGGCACAGGCTCATTGTCTCTGTTGGGAGAAACTCTGCAGACTGATGTGAATTCCGGACCCCAACCCTGCCCGTGGTCCAGGTTCTAGCTTCTGTGAGACCACGTTACACTAGCATGGGACCAGACTGAAGGCCCTGACCCTAAACGTTCCATCAGGTCGTCAAGATAAGTCTCTGAACTGAAGCTCGTCTTGGAGCTCTGTGACATCCCCAAGGCATGGCACCCAATGAAAGGACAAAGCTGGCTGGAGCAATGTCTCCGGGCTCCTTCCTCTCCATCCAGGGGTGCGTGCAGGAAGGTCCCTGAGCATTTGGAAGGACCAGGGCAGGGGGCCTGGATCTTTCTGCTGAAGGGGCTTTTCTGCACGAAGCCAGCTGTGCAAAGCCTTGCCAAACGTACTTCATGCCCAAGTCCCCAGCGTGGCGTGTGAGCTCCTGGGGCAGCCGGGGCGGCGGGGCCAGGGCGGGGCGGGGCGGGGGGGGGCAATCTGGCCAGCCCCAGCTGAATCAGAGCTTGTCTCTGCGGGGACTATGTCACTCCCAGGAGGCCTCACTAAAGGTTTTCACAAGAGTCCCATTGTTTCAAATTGGCCATAGGTTGGTAAGTGTTGAAGTTGTGTGTTTTTTATAATACCCACACTAAAGAGATAAAAATGAGTCCCATTGTTTCACAGCTCGGGAGTGAGGGAAGGGCATATACCAAGGCAAAGCTGACTGTTGCCAACTCCCTCGCGCATTTCCAGGGAATTCATTAGTCTTTTCTAGACCTCAACAGGTTGAAACTACACAATTTTCATGTCTCTGGAGAGAGACCTTTAACAGCCCCCTTACGTATCCTGATTTCAATTTTAACTTGGACAGATAAGCTGAGACAAAAATAAAACCCCAGAAAAATACAAAATCAGAGAAACAGAATTCACCCTCACAGGGAGGTGAGGCTTGGACCTGGAGCCAAGCTACTCCAATGCTGAATCAAAGATTCCCCGGGGCAGGGTCTGCGTCACAACAGGAGAACAGAGGCCGAGCCTCCCTCCAGGGTCCAGGGAGGCCCAGAGGGCGCTGCCTAACAGGAGACGGGTCCAGGGAGGCCCAGAGGGCGCTGCCTAACAGGAGACGGGTGAATGGCAGGGCTGGTCCAGCAGGGCCTGCTCTGTAAAGCTCCGGCAGTGGGTCGGCAGGGGTCGCACTGCACTGATTTAAGGCTCTGACAGCTGGTCCTTCACACACATACATATATACAGACATATATTATTATTCATAATAATAGTTTGATTTTTTTGTTATAAGGGAAAATATTTCCATGCATTTTCCACCTTTGTTTCTATTATTCTTTTTCTTTTTCTTTCTTTCTTTCTTTTTACTCCCAGCACTATTTTAGACACAGTCAGTCCTCTGGGGGCATATTCTGATCTTTAAAAAATATAACCTTTAACCTTTTGCAAAGACTTTGTTTAAAATAATGCTGATTCAGCCCAAAGGAATTCTGGTGCTTGGGAGCTGTCTACGCTCTCACTGAAAACACTCTGGTGCTCTGTCCTGTGTTCAATACCAGCCAAACAGGACTTGCGGCTATGTAAACATTACTTAAAATTATCCCGACATAAATACTCTTTTAAAGCTACATACCACAGCTTTTAGCTCATAATGCCCATAGATGCCTTAATGAAATGCCATTCAAAACTACCTCACTATTTAAAGTTTACCGGGAGGTTCTAAAAGTATGTAAACAACATCCTCTACACTTCTCTAGAACAAGTGCCAAGTATGGTGAATTCCGATTGCAAGCTGGTGAATGGATACCAGTTCGTCTGAGCACAGTCACCATGCACTTTTTAACCTGATCGGTTACAGGAAGCTTGACAAGGTTAACTTGTTCCACAAGGTGTTGATTCTTACATAACTTATAATTAACCAGTTTTCAACAGCGTTCATCCCACAAGGGACCTAAACTGGGCCCTCATAAGATGTCTTTGCACATCTTGCAAATGTGGTTTGAACTGGTTGTCAAAGAGTCAAGGTCAGCCACACCGTTCTCTCTACGGCTGGAGGGTGGCAGGTTCTTCTAAGCCCGTGGAGCCCACAGTGCTCAGGGGGAGTCTTCTCAAAGTCGGTGAGCAAAGCAGTGTCCAAGGGAGCCAGGACGTTTTCTTCTCGGCAAATCAGGGGCCCTCCCCAGCAAATGTCCTGAGGGGATTTGCAGCAGATGCCTTAGCCCTCTGATGTAGTTCGGGATAAGGGGAAAAACAGGGGGCAGGGAGAGCCGATGACACAAAGGCCTGAGGCCTCCTAACTTTGTGACAACGGTTCTCCTACTCAGGCTCCCTCTGCGTGCTGCGTACTGCGATGCCTGTTTCTGCCCTGATGTCCATATTCTCAGGTTCCCTGCTTAACGTGTCTCCAGGCAACGCTCCGGGTAGCAAACCAGCCGTGGCCAAGCTTTCATCCTTGTCGCCCAGTGTGGACGGAAGACAGCCCGAGTCTCCAGGACATGGTCACATTACTGGCACCTGTGGAAGCATGTCCAGAAATGGAGGAATGACCAACCTAAGGGCTGGCCTTTTGCCCCAAAGGAGCAAGAGACAAGGACTATGGGAAATAACAGGCATAGCTTGAATGATCAGTGACTTCAAACCTTAATCTTCTTTAAAAGTCCACAATGGATAATATTGCAGCTGGAATCAAAGGAATATCTTCTCTCTTCCTTGTTGGCCAAACATTATCAAATACACACCTCCAAGATTAGATTTTGAGGTTTTGTTTGAGAAAAATACTGTACACTGTTTTAGGGCAGATTCACAAGGTGCTATTTTTATTAAAAACCTTCTCAGTCCCTGTCTTTTCAGACCATCAATGTTATTTTTTCATGTGCAGGGCATCCTGGAACTTGGTGCTGGTGTACCGGGCCTGGAAGCCTTTCTTGTTGATGGTATCGTCCGTGTGGAACCGAATCATCAGAGAATCCCCTGCGGAGTAGATTTCTTCCAATGGCTGAAGGAAGGAGAGAGGAAAAGGAGGGGACTTTAAGCCGGTTGGTTGTGGTTGGAGTTTAAATTAAGGATGAGACAGAACCTCGTACAAAGACACAGGATGGCTGATGCTGCCATGAGGCATCCCTGGCACCAGGGACTCTGAAGCGCATCAAAACAAGCTCATTTTTGAAGGAAAACATTGCAAATTCTGCTCCAAAGAGCTCCCAGGGTCCTGGTTTCCAAAGACAACCCTAGACACACGGCTCATATAAAATTTATCCAGCGCATAGAAGGGCCAGGCAGTGGTCTACACGCCTTTGGATCTTATCTCATGTAAATGTTACTAAACTCTCCAAAGTAGGTGCTATCTCTCCATTTTTCGCTTGGGGAAACTGAGACTCCAGTTCCCACGATAGGCAGGACCAAGCTCAGGCGCTTTCTGATGATAAAGTGTGTACTAAGAATCACGCTGCTCTGGGGGCACCCTTGTGATGTGTCTCCCAGGACACCTAAAACAAAAGGCATTTTTAGGCCGTGTCCTGTCCAAGGACACAAGGTGAGATGGAGCCACTGCATTTGTCAGAAAGGCTCTGCCAGGTGGTCCATGAACAGGAGCCGGGCCCCGAGGCTGCTCCCAGCCAGATTCTAGTGAAACCAAACTGGACTTCCCAGAGATTTCACTGCCCAGGACACCGCCAGGTCTTCCTTGGCGTGTGGGCCTACAGTCTGAAAGACGCTGTCTGTTGAAGGCACTGTGCTGGTTACATCATACGCTCTTTTGGGGAGGGCGCAGGAAGATGAAACTATTCAGACATATAAATGCCAGTTTGAGGTTCTGATTAGCACGAGGAGCACTAGTGACTCCAAAGTGATTGGCTGTGCATCCAGCCAATAGCAAAGAAGCTTGAGTGAGGCGCCCTGGGGGCGAGATAAGGAGAGGGCTGCGCGGGCCTGGCGTGGGCAGCGCCTGGCGTGGGGCAGCCAGAGTGGGACCGGGAGGCGTACTGCCAGCCCACGCTCCTTCACCGAGCACCAGCTGTTTGGCAGGCCCTGTGTCAGGTGCTGCGGAAACAGGGAACAAAAAGGGCTCTGGCCCAGGAGGGAGGTGACAGTGAGAAAAATGATGATGAGCATCAGCATAACTGTTGTCTTTATTATAAGATGGTGATGCATAATTTTCATAAGCATCTGGTTATGCTTGGGGAGAGAACTGTACAGATACGGGATATAAGAAAGTATAATTTAAAAAAATTTAAAGCCTAAAAAGCCAACAAAAATGGGGAGGAAGGGAAGAGCATTTTGCAAAAATAGGAAGCAAGTCCTAAACGGAAAACGCTCTTTAGTTGCTGACCTCAGTCTGAGGCCTCGTATGAATTGGTCCCTGCTTCCCGCCCATTCCCCTCTCTGACTAGTCTCCCAATTTTCCACTTTGTTCCAGGAGAACAGGCCTCCCCGCTAGTGTCCATAAGTGGCAGGGGAGCTAGGGCTCACACCCAGGTGGTCTGACTCCACCACTGAGGCTCGGAACGATCACGCTTTGTCCCCAGGGCCCAGCAACGCTGGGACTCACCCCAGAGCCACAGAAGCGGCCGAGCCTGGGCGCGGTGCTGTCGTAGCCGTCATAGGCCTCCATGTAGTCGTAGCCACAGTCGGCCTCCTCCTCGACCTCAAACGTCCGGAATATCAGCTCCACGCCGTAGCCGTCCTCCGCCACAATCACCCAGTCACAGCTGGCCTGACTCGGGTAGTTGTTGTCCCCAAACTGGGCATGGGAATAGAGCTCTTTGGTCTGCACTTCGGCCTTCAGCCTGCCCCCGCACTCTGGAGCAGAGAGAGAACCACGATGCTCCCTCCGAATAGAGAACCCGTGGGCTGCCCCGCCCCCACTCCCCAGTCTGGGGCTTCTTTCTCACACCCTTGTCACAGGCCAGCTCTCTCGGCAAAGTCTGCCGGTGCCCCGTGGTAGAAGCTGGTCGAGCCCCATCAGCATCCCATTTTACAGAGGCCCACGGCTCTGGGCTTCAGGGCTCACTGCGGGATCCAAATTGGCCCTTACCAGCCAAGGTCCCATGTTCCCTGGTTGAGCCAAATAAGGCCTCCGGGAATATCTGAGGATACTGCTAAAGCTTTTTAAAAAACAATCCAAAAACAAAAACCTGGCTGCCTGGATCTTGACCACTGAACTCCCTGGAAATGCTAGAAGCATCTGCAAGGGCTCACAGCAGCCCAACCGACTTACTGTAATTTGTGATTTTTGCCAACAGAGGGCACCCAAAGCACATCAGAACCCCCGGCAAAATCTGATACCTAGGAACCTCAGAATACACCTGCGGGTTCCCGCTGACCACAGGCCACCCTGAAGCGCCTGTGCATGTCACTTTTGAGCTGTGCCTCATACTGTGTATTCTCTAGCCCTGGTTTCTGGTGGTTTTTTTTTTTTTTACTAGAACAGTAACTCTGGTTGGTACCATGCTATCTTGTGCGTAGGCTACTAGAGGCCACAAAATATAAATGGATAAATGACAGAGATCAGAGATTACAAAGCGCCAGAAACTTTGGGAGCAAATTCCTCACTGTCTGTCCTTGGGTGTTCCACACCCCCGACAGGCCTGGATCTCCCCAGAGTGTGGCTTCTGCACTGTCCAGGCCCAGTTGGCTTAGAATTTCTTCTCGTTGTGAGCTGCCTTTGAAAAATCTCAGCCCTCTGAGATGCTGATGGCAGCAGCACCGGCCCAGAGCAGGTCAGGGTGACTTCTCTCCCTGCCGCCAGCTCGCCTCTCCACTCTCAGGACACAGGCCTCTAGGTCGCCATGGGTGGGCGCCTGGCCCTCTGCCTCCCGTTGGGTCCAGCCACAGGGAGCACCCGCAGCCCAGGGGAGGGAGCAGAGAGAGGCCAGGGTCTTTAGTCCCAGCCTCCTTCCCTGCCTGGTCACCAAGGCTATGTTCTCCAACTAAAGGTCACTGCTCCTGTCCACGGGTCCTTTGCTTGTCCCTCTCTGTCTCCAGGCTCCAGACTCTATTCCCTCACCCAGGCCTGGGGGCAGTAACAGCCCTACAGTTCCTAGTCCTGGTTGCCGCACTATCCTTTGTGGGGGTCCCCACACCCTGCCCACCTCTTTGTCAACAGTCCCTTATTAAATTCTCCTCAAATAACAACTCTCTCTGAGAACACCCTCATTTCCTACCAGGACCCTGACCCCCCTCAAGCACCTGTGCTCTCTTTGTAGGTACAAGAGGGTAAAGTCACTAGTCAATGGCTTTTAAATTTCCCTCTGGGAAGCAGAACCCACTCAGGAGATGACAGGGTGCAGACCATGAAATGTTTTCTGCTAGGCAAGAACAGCTAAGCCGCCTGTGGGCGCTGGTTGTCATTTTGTTTTACCTGATTCATATTTTCTGGCTTGGGGGCAGGGAGGAAGCTGGGGGAAACGCTGTTAAAGGGATCAGAGAACCTCACAGTGTCCCTGATCATGCTCTCAGACTCTGAGTGGGCCATGGGCAGCCACCACCTGGCCGGAGAGCCACAGCCTAAGGCCAGAATCAAAGAGTCGAAGTTGCAAACATGGACTCTAGTCCCAGGTGGTAACATTTTAATGGCTAAAGAGCAGAGCCAATATTCTTATTGACATTTTTCTATTGAACAAAGCAGATACGTCAGTTAGTAAGCATATATATTTCCTCCAAAGGACCGAATAAAGCTACTTATGATTTAAGTGAAGGATAAATAATGGGGAACAGAAATATTTTTCATTTCCCAGAACTCGTCCTTAGAAAGGGCTGCTCTCCAGCACTCAGCTCCCAGACTTTTGGATTTCACAGACCAGCAAATTTCAAATACATTTTTAAAAAAGAGGATGGGGTTAGGGGGAAAGAAGGAGGGGAGGAAATATGGCACCAACAAGATGTTGCCCACTTTAAACGTTGTTAAAGACATTAAAAGAAAACAACCCTTTCCCCTGTTGTTGCCCATGTTTCATTTTAAAAGGGACATGCCATCACAGCTTCCTCCCCAGTCAGAATAAAAGGCGGTCCTTTCCCAGCCTTTATCCCCCACCCACCTCCAGCCACAGGGCCGGGGGCCCGCGCACCTGTGCTGTGCTCGGCCTGGAAGCCTCTCCTCTGCACCGAGGCATCTGAATAAAACCTCAGAAACAAGCTGCTGCCCGAAGCCACCACGGGGTCTGGCTTCTTGCTGCCACAGAAGCGGCCAAGGATGGGGGCCAGGCTGTCGGGTCCGTCGTACACTTCCAGGTGGTCGTAGGCACATTCCTGGTGCTGCTCGATCTCAAACTCATTAAACGTCTGGAGATGGAAAAGCACAAAGTGAGGCAAGGGCCTGGCGTCCAGCCAGGGTGGGGGCTGCTTCCCCAGGGGTGGGAGAGGATGGGGTGAGGCAGGACACATGTCCGCCCAGCCAGCTGCACAGGGGGCGCAGAGCCATGGTGGCCATGGTGACATCTGTAGAGAGGGCCTGGACTTGGCTCCTCCTTTAGTCTCCAAAACAACCCTAGGAAGTAATTACATGAGCTATTGCTACTGTGACCACTTTGTGGATGAGACGGCGGGTTCGGATGGTTTATACGCTTGCCGACATCTGTGCTCCTTCCACCGCATCACAAAGCTTCTCCATCACTTAATCAGATCAGCAGTGACCAGGTGCTCACAGCGGCCAGGAGCAGCTGTAAATGCTTTACAAGTGTTAATCCTTGCGACTCTGTGACGTGCCTACCTTTGGAAACCCCACTTTATGGACAGGGAAACCAAGGCACAGAGTTGTCAGGTGACTTGCTCAAGGCCCCGAATAGCAGAGTTGGGTCATGACCAGGAGGTCTGGCCCCAGAGCCCGTGTCCTTAACCTCTGCCCTGTACTGTGCAATCCTTCAGTGTAAATGATGTGGATGAGGCTTTATGAAGTACACTCTGCCCCGAGTTGTCATCCTCATGATGGATGACATCAGTTGAATGTTTTAAGTTTTTTTCCCATGCAGAGCCATGAATTTTCTCACTTAATTCTGATGATGCTAGGAGGGAAGGGCTATTATTACTCCCAGTGTGTAGAAAGGGGCACTGAGTCTTAGAGAAGTTAAGTGGCTTGACCAGGCTTACACAGCTAGAGGATGGCATTGGAGTTGACCTTCTACTAGCCCAACTCCAGCCTACACTTCTAACCATCACCAGGCTATACTGCCTCCCTTCTCCCTGTCCCCCTCCAAGACTGTCCCCTGAAGCAGCCAGGGGAGCCCAATTCCAGGTCATATACCAAGCTTTGTAGCTCAAAGAGTAGGACTTCGGTGTTCGGCAGATGACCAACTGATGAGGGACATGGGACAGGTGAGAGGATACAGTGTTTAACAAAGACTTGGAGCAAAAGCCAGGGTAGGTAGAGAAGACATTAGTTGGCGAGGGGGTCTCGATTCACAAGAAGGGGGCCGGGTGGCAGGGCGGGGATGGTGGGAGAGAGGGGCCATTAGCAGTGTGGGCTTTCACAGGAATGACAAAACACTTAAAGTGAGCAAAGCTCTTCACATCGTATAGAAAGGGAATGGGGGCCAGAGAGAGGGGTAGGTACCATGGGCAGGAGCAGGAAGGGGAAACTAGCGGCACCAGGGGGTGATGCCCCGGAAGGGAGGCCGTGAGCCAGAGAGGGGGGGCTCCCCAAAGGTCCACGGGACACCCTGCTGCTGTCCCAGTGCAGTGTAACACCAGCTACTCGAAAGTGTCCAACTCACATTCTACGGTAGGGGAAACAAACAAACAAACAAACAAACAAAAAAGGAACATGATCAATAAAGCCACCATCCACTCTCCAAGGAAGTTTTTTTGTTTTGTTTTGTTTTTCAAACTAGTACATATATATGTATGAACCTCAGATAAATTTGAGGTGTGGCCTAACTGAGACCACTATGGTCAGTTAGTTCAGTTCCTTAGTAACTTAAGGAACAGGAAAAGGTGTTTGCGACAACTATAATCTTGTGGCCCCTCGACAAGACAAGAAGCTCGGCGTCCGGTTGTGTAGGTTTTGAGCTCCTAACCCCAGGGGGACACCGTGACCCATCCCACCTCCCACCCCCATCACTGCGATCAGGTCGTTGTTGCCATTGTGACCATTTTCCAGCAGATGGCGGTCTTGGGGAAGAAGTGCCTTTCTCTAAGGGGCCCTCTGTCATTCACCCTCACCCAGATTCAAGGCTGTTCTGAACCACTCAGGACAGCAGCACCCGAAAGCATTTCCCACAAGGCACCCGTGCATATAAGGTGCCCACTGGGCGCACCCTGTGGTCAGGGGCCCTGCTTTCTCCACCCCTTGATGCCCCAGACCTGGCGCAGAGAGACACCAGCACCCACGCTCCAGCCGGGGAGCCCCTTCAGCCACCTGTCTTCACTGCCCTTGCCAATCAACACCCCAGCAAGCCCCGGGCCATGCCTCTTTATCATCATGTTGTCGTTTGTTCCTTCCCATTCTCCCTGCATCACTGTCCATAATTCAGAATGACATCCACATGCCTTTTGAAGAGCTCACTCATCCCCAGAGTCTGAACAACCCATTCAAAAACTGTTTGTCTCAAGTACAGCGACCTCTCAGCTGGCAAGAGAGTTTGTTTTACACTCCAGGACCTGGGAGTCCCTGGGGGCTGAGAAAGAGGCTTGTGGAAAAGACTCGTTCATCTTTGAAACAACCGAGCGCGGTGTGCAGACCACAGACCTGTGTTTGGATGGGAATTTAAAGAAAGGCTTGGAAGACATATTTTTTAAATTCAAGAGCGAATTCACATAAGTAACTTAATTTGCTGTCTTTAATTAAAAACCTGGAAGTCGTAGAAGAGTATGAATAATAAGGGTCCATTTGAGAAGTTTGGGCAAGAAGAATATACATATATTCATTTTCCCAGGAATGTACACATGGGATTGTATGTGCACAGAAAATGTCTGGGGGATCCACCCAAACATGTTCAGAGAGGTCAATTCTAGAGTGGCACAAGGGACCTGGAAATTTTTGATTTTTCGCTTTCCAGCCCTCTGTGCTGATTACTTTTTTAAACCTTGAGAATGTACCGATCTGTAAAAATAATTAAAACAGGGAACAATGAAATCTCAAATAGCGCCGTGTGGCAGGTCCTGCCTCAGCGCGGCGCCACAGAGAACAGGCGCCGCCTACAGAGCCGTCTCCCCCGCGCCCCGTGCTGAGGGCTTCCTCGAATCCTCTTTTCACCGGCACACCGCCCCCCAGGGGGTAGGTTTCACTAGCACCTCCGTTTTCCAGATCAGGAAACCGAGACCGAGAAATGTCGAGTAACTTCCCCCAGTTTCAGAGCCGGGAAGTGGAAGAGCAGAGACTCACACCCATGTCTCTCTGTCCCGGTTGTCCACTAACTACGCAAATGACTCACAAGTTTCACCCTGTGGCCTGCGGTTGAAGAGATGTTCCAGGTGCACTCCCGCCGGCTGGGGTACTTGTCAGGCCAGTTGGGGCTTGCCAGGGTCCCCTCCGCACTGCTGATCTTGTGCACACAGCCAGCTGGGGGCGATCGGGGTGCAGGCAGAGAGAGAAGGAGTTCACTTGGAGGTGTCACAGGAGGCTTTCTAAGAAGCCATCTGCCCCTCGCTCTGTTGGTCACATGGTCATTAGGAAACGTGGGAGCAGGGGTCAGCCTGAATCAAGTGTCGCCTGTCTTAGAGATGTGTTGATTTACTTGGCTTTGCCGCCTTTCTCGCAGTGGCTCAGGAGCCGGGTCATCTTCCTTACTATTACCATCCACGTCATGGTTATTACCGGGAATACGGTGGAGTGAATGGTGGTGAGGAGCCTAGGCCCTGGGATCCAATGGACCCTGGTTCCGCCCCCTTCACGTTGTGGGACGTTGGGCACTTATCTGAATCTTGATGTCCTTGTTTGTAAAAGGGGTGCCAGCCTCACAGGGAGGTGATGTGGCGTAAATGAGACAATGCTTGTAAATGGCTTAGCAAGTAAGTGCTAACAAAGGTCTTCATCGCTATGCCTTCACCTCTACACGACTTCTGCAGTTTTTCAGAGCAGCTTCGTTTGGAGGCGGCAGCTGTTGCCCTGGTTACAGTGCTGTTAGCAAAGAGCGGCCCCATGGCCAGCTCAACGAGGAGCATTTTGGCCAATAGGTAGAATCTGTCTCCCTCTGCGCTGGGCACTGTGCTATGCATTCAGAACGCGTCCTCTCATTTTATCTTCCCCACTTTCCAAATGAGAAAAATAAAAGTTCAGAGCAGGTAAGTGACCTGCTAGGAATGTGTGGAGTCAGGACTTGAACCTGGGTTTGCTTCGCTGTGACTAGGAAATAGAGGGAGCAGAGGAGGTGGGCCTTGTACCACCGTGGTTTCAGGCTGAGGTAGCTTGGGGGCGGGGAGGATGGGGGGGGCGGGTGAAGTGGCTGCAAGGAGGCTCTGCTGCTCACTGATCCTCCGCCCTGGCAACAGGTGACCACAGGGGCAGGGGCTCAGCTCCCAGGACATGTACTCGGGCACCCCCTGCACCACCTGGGAACCCATAAGAAGGCAGCAGCTGCTCAGCGGGCAGAACCTTCGTGGAGTTTATAGCCCTTGCGGCCTCCCCAACAGCACACAAGGCAAGCACTGTTCTGGCCCAGGCCCGCCTCGCAGGGGTTTGACAACGAGTTTTTAAATCCCAGATTGACAGTTTCTTCCTAGTTCCTCCCACCCGCCTCCCAACCCCCCAATCTGTGACCGCCCTTGTCTGCGTCACAGGCTGGGCTTGGAAGGGGCGCTGCATCCTGCTTCTAAGGACATCTTAGCTCATCCCCTGACAGTCTAGGAAGGCTCTGACCAGACTGTGAGCCTAGCCAAGTCTCCTGACTCTCAAATGTTTATCCCTCACCCTCGATGTCCTTTGCAGGCCTTTGTGGTTGGGGCCAAGGCCTGGAGGCCTGTGTGTTTATCAGACATGTTCAAACTCCCTTTGCAGGGTGGAGTAAGAACAGAGGAAGGCCTTTCCCAGAATGACTGGAGAGCGAACGCCATCTGGCCCTGAAGAACTCCCAGTAGTGAACAGAGCAGGGAGCAAAGTTTTCCCAATTCTATTTTACTATTGGATCTGAATATGGTAAATAATATTATGACATAGGTGGTTGATATTTATTAAAATTTCAAGTACTTATTATGTGCCAGACTGTCTGAAATACTTTCTAGGCATTCTCTCATTTAATCCTCAGAAAAACTTTACGAAAGGGGTATGCTTAGTCCCCTTTAAACAGAAGAGGAAACTGAGGCTCAGAGAGGTTAAGTCACTTGTCTGAGGTCACACAGCTAGTAAGTAGGAGAGCCAGGGTTTAAACCTAGGTAGTCCGATCCTGGAGCCTGAAAGTTTAGCCACTTGGCCATAATAACAACATGCCCTCTGAAGGAGTGAGCTGCCCTGGGGAAATGACTCTTCAGCAGCAAGAGGGCGGGAGGAGGGAGGTCAGATGCGGAGCCTCGGTGGGGCCCAGGGAAGGGCCCCTCGCTGTCGCTCTCACTCCGACAGCCGGTACACCCCTGGCAGCCCCCCGCCTCCGCCCGCCCCAGCCATGCTCCAGCCTCACCCTCTTTACAATCGTGTCCGTTCTCGTGGAGCCGGTAGCCGTTCCTGCACCGGCACAGGTAGCTCCCGAACGTGTTGACGCACTCGTGCTGGCACCAGCCGTTGTCCTTGGCACACTCATCCTTGTCTGGGGAGATCAACAGACTCTCCTGAGGGGAGCCGCCAGCTTGGGTGGACCCTCTCATCTCAGAACTCAAGCCAAAAGGAGCCTCCCCGATCGCTCTGGTGCCGATTATCCCTGCATTGGTGCGTGTTACATGGCCCCAGTACATAGCGAATCCTCCATGCTCCTAAAGCACTTCAGTATATACATGTTCTCCCCCCTTGTTCCCCACCAAATACAAGGAGCTCCTTAAAGGATAGGCTAATACTGATAATAACAGTAACAATAATAAAACTCACTATCATGTATTGAGTATTTCCTATGTAATGGGCACGGCCCAAGCACCTTCCATCTGATCTAATAACATATCTAAGTTAATTCTCACACACCCTTAGGAGGAAGGCGCCTGCACCCTCATTGTACAGGTAAGGAAACCGAGGCTGAGGATGCCAGTGTACCCCAAGGTCACTCACTGAGCAAGTGGCTCATAGTCCATGACCTCACACTACCTCCTGCCTGTGGAGTAAGTAAGTGTGGGGCCACGGGCCAGAGGGCCAAGTGCCAGCCTGCTCCACCAGTTCCAGCTGTTGTGACCTTGGGCAGTCCTTGACCTCTGTGCCTCAATTGCCTCATCTTTAAAGTGGAGTCAATCATGGTTCCTTACCTCGTAGGGCTGTTGAGAAGAGGAAACGAATTAGTACAGGGAAAGCCCGTAGAGTGGCGTCCAGCTTGGAATAAGTGTTAGCTCTTATTTTTTATTATGTATGAACTCAAGTGGTAGCAGGTGTTATTGTTATGGTTCTTGCAGCCCAAGCCAGGGCCATGTGCAGCCCTCTCCTGAGCCACCCCCTTCCTGTAACAACAGAGGGCCAGCCTCCCTCCCCAGCGGCCTGCCGCCCCCGCACCAGGGTAGCCGCAGGGGTCAAGGCGGTTCCCCCTCTCTGCGCCGTCTGCCCACCGCAGGCCACGACACTTGATGTTTCACTTACACCCTCTTGCTTCACAAGGACAGCTAAGAATCTTTGGGCAACGCTTAAAGAATAGACGAAGACCACCGAACACTTAAGCACGGGAGCTACAGCCAGGGAGAGGCAAGAAGGCGCCTCACCTAGAGCCCGCAGAGGACACAGCCCTGCCCCCGCCTTGATTCAACTTCTGGCTTCCAGAAATGGGAGAATATATTTCTTCTGTTCTAAGCCACCCAGTTGGTAGTCATGTGTTTTGGAAATGCTGTGAGGCAGGGGCACTGGGCAGAGAGGGGTGGCCCAGGACCCCGGAGGCCAGGAGCTGGCACAGCCATGTGGCCCTCAGCACTGTGACCTCGCCTCAAACCGCCACACCTGAGAAGAAGTGGGCCCGGAAGCCACGTTTGGAGACCGTGTTGTCTGACTTGAACTCCACGCGCATGTTGTTGCTCTGCGAGGTAATGACCTCGGGTGTCTCAGCGCCGCAAAACCTGCCGTGCAGCCTGGCGTCGGGGGACAGGCCACTGCGCACCTCCACGAAGTCGTACTTACAGACCTGCAAGGGAGCACCATGGGGAGCTGCCCAGTGCCCCTACGTCCCTGCCCCTGACCCCGGGTACCGCAGGACCCCCTGCCTGAGATGTGCTCCCTGCCCGCTGGCCAGACCGGCTCAGCCAGGTCCAGCAAGAGGGTCCTCTAGATTGCCACTGGGGGCCCTCCAGCACGCCTGACCATACTCGGGCTGTGGGGCTCTGCTTGGCCTTGGCTGACTGGGTCACCTGTGACCACTGCCCAAGGGAGGGGGCAGGCTGCTTACACCATCCTGGTCTCCAGCTGCACCTCGCCCTCTCCATTCCCCTCGGACGGACACTAAACCCCCCGGTTCCTCCCCCAGGGGACATACCTGTCCGGACCACCTCCCCTCCCCCTCACCCAAGACTGCCTCCTCCACTCCTGTCCTGATTCTCCTTGGATTTATCAGTGACGAGAGGACCCAAGCACTCTGTCTGCAGACGAGGTGCAGCTGAAACTGCCGCACAAACAGTCCCTGGATTCTGCCCAGCGAAGGTGCCTAGGAAGCCACCTCTCTGCTGGCTGACCCCTTACCGGGTCCCAGCCCTGAGCCGCCTCCCAACACAATCCCACTCAGTTCGAGCGCAGAGACATACATCATTGCCTTCCAGTTCAAACACTTCAAACTGAAAGGAGATCTGGTACTGAGCAGGGGCCACCACCTGCCAGACACAGTTTTTGTTGGGAGGGTAGTCCTTCGGCCACCCGGGGCTGGTGATGGTTCCGTTCAGCTTGGTAATGAAGCCGCCACAGGCCACTGCTCGGGGGAACAGAGCAAGATTTGTTTGGCGTTAGTTCCAAGTGACTGTGATTTCCCCAAAGCAGCAGTAAGCCCTGTTGTTCTTTAATAACAAAAAAGAAAAAAAAAAGAGTTAACACAATCTGAACTGATGAATTCTGTTTCAACAGAGGATTTGGAGGGATAAAGTTGAGGACAGGTCTTTACTGCTTTTAAACATAATGACAATGCATTTGTGCTGATGTGTCACCTGGTGGGGTCGTTGGGGACTCCACACGACATGGACCAAAGGGAAATTAGAAATGTTTGCACCAAGCTATGCTGTGTCCCTGGCTTTCATCAATAAGCAGAGTCGTGCAGGTGGGCAAGGAAGACAGGGCACCGGCCAGCTGGAAGGGGAGTGAGTACAACACGCCAATTGCTGAGTCACACCAAAGGACGCATCTTTGCTTTTATTTTCGACCTTAATAATCATGCATGCGAATTTTACGTGGTCAGAGAAGAAAATAAACCAAGGCTGCACTTACAGGATGGACGTGTGATTTGGACAGTCCTCACACATTTGTGACTTGACTGAGTCGTTTTTCCCTCTCAGAAGGAGGTGGATCATCCGCCACCACGTCCGTGGTGTCCGTGTTACTTCAGTCAGCCAGCGCCCCTCTCTGCCCACTTCCCCTAAGTCTTGTCCCCGATACCCCGTCACTCCAGCTTGGCAGGTCCCGCACCAACCTTCACAAGTCTTCTTATCGGCAGCCAGCTCGTAGCCAGGGTCGCACGCACACTTGTAGCTGCCCAGAGTGTTCACGCAGCGCTGCTCACACCCGCCGCGGTCTGGCCAGGAGCACTCATCCACCTCTGCACGGGAAAAGGCGACTCCGGTTAAATCACCGCAGGGCTGCCTGGTCTGTTTCCCGCCACAGTCCACATCCCAGGGTCCCCAGCAAGTGTCCCCCAAGAACAAGAATGGCTCCTGGGGACACGACAAAAGTAACATATTAGCCAGAAGCAAGGCTCTGCTGGGGACAGATCAGGCCTGGATACTTTCATTCTTTGAAGGGTTCAGTCAGCTGCAAAAATCTCTTGTGGTTTTTTTTAAAACCTCAAGGATTCCATACCAAGGACTGAACCAATTTCAACACCACGAATTCCCCTCAGCCCCAAATATGGAATTTCTCAGGGACATTCAATAAAGGGTAAGGACAAAGGGACACATTTCTAGATGAAGATGTATAAGTATTCTCTAGAGATAGAACAAAAACCTGTGATTTCACATATCGATAATTAATCTGAAGAGGTGCACACAGGGAGATCTTCAAGGTCACAAACCTCGCCGGGCCCTTCTGCTGGCCCGCGCTCAGGAAGCAGCCACAGCGGCACAGCCAGCAGGGAGTCGGATGGGATTCAGCACTGAGAGTCTAGTGACATGCTTGGGGCACAGGGGACAGCAGGAGGGCCACCCAGGAGACCGATCGAGGGAGTCATTGGAGACTCCCGGACACATCAGCCCGGGGAACCGCTGAAGACCAACCAAAACAAAAAACAAACAAACAAACACAAACACACAAACCCCCCAGGCAGTGGGCATCTCCAAGAATATCAGGAATAAAACGAAAGATCAATTATTTCCTGTTGCCGATTTGTGGTAGCCTAGCGAAGGGAAATCTGACCACTTAGACATCTTAATTAAAAAACAAACAAATGAAAAACCAAGAAGAAAGGGGTGGGCCAGGAAGGAAAGTGTTGGTGGTTCATCACACCATGGAAGGCAGGAAGAGAGCAAGCACGGAGGTGTCCACCAACTCTCAAACGACCACATTACACAGAAAGTAAAAGTAAAGTAAAAGAAATGAGTTAGTTGGTAAAGACCTGAAAAGATTCTCAATCCTCACACCTCAGTAGGGATTCTTTTGATAACATTTCTGATAGATGGTCTTTTTCAGATCCAGGTTGAAAACACCCAGAAATAAGGCTCTCACTGCTTTTCAAAGTATTTCTCATCCCTTGCAGTTTGAATTGTCTAAGTTCAGATTCCTAGCAACTTCTACCCATTGGCCCTCCAGAAAACGCAAACCCTTTAACCATAATGCCTCCCTCCACTCTGTCCTTGTCCAGCTCAAATAAACCCATTTCCTTCCAACCTTCCTTGTTTATGACGCACAAAATCCTCATCAACCAGGCTGCTCTTCACTCGGTATAAGACAGTTTGTAAATAGCCCATCATTTCATATATTAGACAGCAATCGTAACTAACTCTAGGAGTTATGTGTTCCTGGGCTCAAGAAAGTTGGTCAGTAGGGGAGACATATTCTAGGCAGGGGGGTAAAGTTGTCCTTGGCCTCAAATAAATGTGCTAAAATAGTAACAACCCTGAAATTACCTATCACTTTACAACATAAAAACCACTTTCTCCAAGGTTTGCTAGAACGTATAAAAGGAGGGGAATCGGTGATAAGAAGAAAAGGAGAGTCCAGGCTTTACAGTGAACCAGACAGACCTGGGTGGGGTCCACCAGTGGATCTTCTTCCAGTAAACTGGTGATTCAACCCCTCTGATCCTTCCTTCTGTTTATTTATAATGAGAAGCATAATAGTAACAACTGATTTTAGAGTTGTGGTGATTGAAAATGATACATGTGAAGTAACCAACCTATAGACATAGAGTTAGTGTACGGTGGTTATCACTATAGACAGCAGCGGGGTTGCCTTGGACATTCCAGTGGGCGCAGAGCCACAATGATGGGGATAGTGAAAAGAATAAGGGTACCTGGCCATACCTGAATCAGGTGAGAGTGGAGGAGTGCAGGCCTGAGGAGGGGAGGGAGACAAGGCAGGAACAGAAAGAAGGAAAGGATGGGCCCATGAAGACTAGATGGGCAGCACAGAAGAGTCAAGAAACTGACTGGTGGGCATAGGGAAAAGGCAGAATGGACCACAGGGAAAGGCCATCAAAACAGACTAAGATAAACAAAGGGCCAAGGCCAGGCTGAGGGAGGAGACTCTGACTCTATGGTTGTGGGTAGGACACGCCTGTGTCATAGGCAAGAAAGGGAGGATCACAGATGGCTGAGCTTCCTGGTACCATCTTAGCTATGTAGAGGGAGGGAGGCTGGGAGAATGGATTTGGACCTAAAGCAAAAGGAATATAGTTCCTCCACAGAGCAGAAGAGCAGGCTGTTTGACAGAGGCGGGTAAAAGGTATGCATTCACACCTGAGCTCTCTCCAGCAAAAGCAGTGGGGCATTTGCTCATTTCCAACTCTGCTCAGTCTGGGTGGATGGCACACAAGGGGCCCTGCTTTCAGTGGGAGCCCTGGGGTCCTCTGTATCACCTCCACCCACCCTGCGGCGAAGTAGCGTCTGCTCCAAGCCCATGGGTTTGCGCTTGTTCTGGGCTGCAGTGGCCAAGGTTAAGCCTGCCAGAGAAATCTGGGGGAGTGTGAGGGAGGGAGAAGAAGCCGAACCAGGAATCAGCTTTGCATAGCGGGAGCTCTGGCTTCTCTGCCTTCTCCATGTGGTGTAGGTGAAGGAGGGAACCATTCCGTGGTTAGATAATGAGATGACTCAGGTTAAGATCCCAAAACTTGTTTCAAAGAGGGTTAGGAAAAGAGAAGGCAGGGCACGTCTCTTGAGATTTTGAAGCAGTACTCGGAAAGATGCCAGTCCCCCTCATCCAACACCCCGCAGGGGTCATCAGCAATGGGACAGTGGAGTGTGGGGACCGAGGTGGGAATCCTCACAGACTTTTGCGGGGAGTGTGTGACCACAATGGCCCTGCCAATCCGCGAATGCTGCTGCCATCTCCGGGAGTAACCAGAAACGCGCGGTGCTCTGCCGGCTGCCATCTGGCACCAGGGGAGGGATGCAGAGGCCAACTGGCCCCTCGGTCAGTGTCATGTGCCAGCTGGGCCCTGAGCAGAGCCTCTTGCCAGCTGGCACCAAGGCCAGGGCTTCTTTGACTTGGTCCAGATCTTCTCCACGGCCTTTGTAATTACTCTTCCAGCTTTTTTCACTGGACAAGTCCTGACACACGCACTGGGCACCATGTTCACAGGACATTCTGCTTAGGGCCTCTTGGGAAAAGGCTGCTCAAAGAAACCGACTGTGCCCAGTCTCCAGGCCTGTGGTGACCAATACGGGAGCCACCAGTCGCATGCCATTCTTAAACACCTGAAATGCAGCTCGTCAAAACTGGGATGTGCTGTGCGGAAAAAACACTGGACGGACAAGACTTACTATGTAAAAAAAAAACAAAAACCCATAAAACATCTCATTAATATTGTGTGTATTGATTACTTATTAAAGTGATAGTGTTTTTTCATATATTGGGTAAAATAAAATGTTAAAATTAATTTCATTTGGTTTGTTTTGATAAAATAGCTAAAAAGTTTAAAATTCCATACGTGGCTGGCATTTGTGACTGCCCTTTTGTATCTGTTGGACAGCTGTGACCTAGACTGCGGTCTCCATCTCATTCATCTTCACGGGAACCCCAAACGGTTGGCAGCACAGGTAGCGGGATGCCCAGTCCACAAATGAGGAGCCTGAACCTCATCCATCCATCCATCCATCGTCCGTCCATCCGTCCGTCCATTGCCCAGTGAGTATTTACGGAACCCATGCGAGCCAGGCACTGGGAATAGACTGGAGAACAGAGCAGGTATGGTCCAATCTTGGAGAGGAAATCTAGCTGCCTGGGAGTGGACAGCTAGTTAGCAATGAGGGCAGCACTAGAACCAAATTTCAGGCGCGGAACCCGGGGCCCTTTTGCTACACCCCCACAGTATCAAGACAGGTGACCAAGTGTCAGAATCCAATCACAAACATGAATTAAAAATTTACACCCCTTCACTTGACTTGCCTGTGCCTTTAGGTCTCCATCACAGAAAGAGAGTGCACTACGGAACCCTGCCGGTCCCAGGTCTAGTTCTAGCTCCGCCACCTGAGAACTTGTTTCCTCAGTTTGAAAATGGCAGTAATCATAATGCCTAGCTAGGGTTCATTCTGAAGATAAAGTGAGATAACTAATGTCACTCCTAGCACATTCAACAGATGTCTTTTCTTTGCCCTTTAATAGGTTCCACTTAGTTTCCAACAACCCTGGTTCAGGGCCAAGGTCATTCTCCTTGGTATTGAAAAGATGTCAGACTAGGCCCATGCACTAAGTCGGTATAGATGGGCCTCAATGAACACCTTCGTGGGCATCTTTAAAGACATTTGCAATTGAAATGCCCTTGAAGTGGCAGCCTGGGGAACCTGCCACCACCCCCAGGCCGAGTCTAAAGGTTTTCTGGTCTCCTCCCAGGTTCACACTTCGGTGGCAATACGAGGTCCATCCAGAAGGTATCCAGCCATGTAATGTTAAAAATAGAGACATTTATTGAAGAAGACACAAAATATAAGAAACATTGTATATAGAACAATGATGCTTCAGTCCCCTTCAAAGTAGGCCCCTTGAGACCTCACACAGATCTCTCAGTTGCTATCAGCTGCTCCATCATATTTTCCTGACTATCATCAACGGCCTGAAATCTCTTCCCTTTCAAAGGTGATTTTAGGTGATTTTAGTTTTGGGAAAAGCCAGAAGTCACAGGGCGCCAAATCTGGGCTGTAGTGGGGGCTGAGTCACCTGGGTGATTTGACGTTTCATAAAAAATCTCTGCATGAGATGTGATGCTTGTCGTGATGAAGCTACCAGTCACCAGTTGCCCATAGCTGAGGCCTTCCAAATCATCTGAATAGTTTCCATGGCGGAATGTTCAAGCTTAACACAGAATTTGATGCAGATTCGTTGCTCTACTCACTCAGTCATTTTGAATGCGACGGCCACACAGCACACATGCTCATTCAACGGCGTCTATCACCTCTACAGACTAATACAGTGAAGTCATCATTGTTCACGCATGCTCATTCCAGTCCACTCTCCTTGGCTGCCAGGTTACATTGGTGTCACACAAACCATTCTTGTTTTGTTAACAATGGCTGGACTTTTTCCAGACAGACCTCGTATCATCACCCATTTGTTTGCAGGTCTTTTTCACCACCTTAAACCCTTGAGAGCAAAGGCTGTGTGTCCCTTTTTGTCCCCAGCCTCCAGCACAGTGCCCAACACTTTATTTGATGACTGCTGAGTGCACATTAAATGGGGAAGAGGGAAAAGATGAGATCTTCTCATCAGCGAACTGAGCTGGTTATCATGGCTACCTAAGCAGGCCCAGGCTCTCATCTCACTCCCTTAGAAACCAGTTCAGCATCATAGAGAGAAATATTCCTTTCTACTGCTCTGACTGGCATCTCCAGTAGGGTTACCACACAAAATGCAGGAAGCTCAATTAAATTTGAATTGGGACATACTTAAACTGAAAGATCATGCTTCATCTGAAATTCAAATTTAACTGGGCATCCTGTTTCTTTCCCCCTCTAAATCTGGCAATCCTAATATCCAGCTTTAGCCAGACCGCTCAGAAAGTGCATCACTGATTATCAGCAGAACCAGGAATGAGGGTGGTGGGCCAGTGCCAGCTGGTTACGTTATCTCACTGGAAAGAAGCCCCGATACCTAATGTATAGACCTTGGGATGGAAGTCAGGGGAGGTGGAGGACAAAATTAAAATAAACAGAATTAGAAAAAAACCTCATAATCATTCATAGCATGTGGTAAACAAAAGAAGGCCTCCCAAAAATGTCTATGGCTTAGTCCCTGGTCAGGGTCACATGGCTTGAACTGGGTTCTTCTGACACCCATCTGCTTATGCACCTGGGAGAAGGGACTAAGAGGGGCAGATGAGGAGACTGGGAGTAAGGGAGGGACCAGGATTTCTGGGTTGGCACAGCCAGGAGTCCTGGGAGAGGAGGGAAGAAGGGAAAAACAGCCTTCTCCTGGGTGTGAGTCATGTTGCTGATCAGTTGCAGACTGGATGTCTCCACTCAGTGGCTGCAGGTGTGCTATTAGTGCCCAATCACAATGTAGTGGGGCATGTCCAGTATTCCCTTATGGGGTGTGGTCTGAGGGTCTTGCAGGGCCCTGAGAACAGAGAAGGAAGACCTACCCATTAAAGGAATCCTGGGAAGCCTGCTGTGCTGGGGCCAGGAATGCGGGTCTTCCCACACCACTCTGGGTCTGGTTTCATCAAGACCCTGCAGAGCAGTTGGTCTCTAATGTGACATGGAAGTGTGTTCCCTGAGCACCACCCCCTCACTCTCCATCCCTCCCCCACCAACTTGTAGGCCGGGGGCTGATGCTTCAGGAGCGGACAACCTGGGCTGCCTCTCCGGCCCACACTAGGTAATGCAATGTAATGTCACACTTGCTGTGTTTGGAGTTTTGACCCGCCACTTAACTATCTGAATGACCTCGAGTAGCCTTTTTCAACGCTGATCAAACATAATCCAAATCCAACTCAAGGGGCTATTTTGAATATTAAATTACATCATGTAAATCAAGTACCTTATACAGTTCCTGGCACACGGTAGGTGCTCTACCTGTGACTAAAAATGGAAATAACTGCTATTCATACCCTTGAAAAAATTGGCTGCAAAGCCTGCTTTATTGATGGAGCCATCGGACACAAACTTCATCCACATTCTGTTAGAGCTCGACTTCACATCCTCTGGTTTCTCATAGCCACAAAAGTGGCCAATCAGGGCGCTCTCTTCTGTGGGGCCATCGCGGATTTCCAGGTAGTCATATGCACAGCTGTCATGCCTTTCGATCTAAATAAAGAAACAGAGGCAACATGGAAGACTACGAATGGCTTGGTCTTAAGGTTTTTGATTTAAGGAGGGAACCTCAATATCACTCTGAAAAATCTAACCAAGAGACCATAGGACCCTAGTGTGTCCTGGGCTTCTCCAAGCTGCCTCCTACTTGCAGAAGTCAAGGGTGAATGAAGCTGCAAGCAGACTAAGAGGTAATAAGTGGGGCAAAACGATTCCACAACACTTTCTGGGATCCCATCCTAGACTTCAACTTAGATTACTCCCTTGCCTCTCCAGTAGCCTTTGGAAAGGAGGCAGACATGATTTCAAAGTTGCAAAGCTTTTGATAGCGCATGTCTGGGTACAACATATCATGGGCCTGGAATTGCCTCCTAGGTTCCTATTTTCAACCAAAAAGTGGAAACCCATCTTCATAGAGCAGAGTGTGTCTAGCGAAAGTTGACATTTAATTCATTCTTGGAGAGGCTACCTGAGCAGTACTTACCTCAAAAACTTGGAAGGTGAGCCCCACATGAAACCCCTCTGAAACCGTAATCCTCCAAACACACTCCTTGGAAGGTCTGTAGTCATCGGGGTAGTTGGGAGATTGAATCTGGCCAGCGTCTTTGTTAATGTCTCCCCCGCAGGTAGCTTTCGAAAGAGAAACAGAACCAGCTTTAGAAAGAGAAGGAAAGGGGGGTCCCTGGTTGGAACTTACAGAGGAAGTTGGCCACTTGTCACCACTAGGTGACTCCACTTGCCAAATTTTCATGTCCATCCAACCAAAGCTATGCCTACAGAAAGACATAATTTCATGTAGGCAACTGAGAATTTTCCTGTCATATGCAGAAAATAACCAGGTAGAGCAGTGGGCCTCTACCTTTGCTGTGCATCAAAATCACCTGGGAGATTTTTGAGCTATAGAAGCTGCAGCCACATCCCCATAGGTTCTGACTGAAACGGGTGCGGGGGAGCTCAGAGCAGCAGTGATATTGGAGCTCCCCAGGTGACAGCAATGTAGAGGGCACAGGGTACAGGGCTGCTGGTGCAGGGACATGGGCGTGTGTGTGCACATTCCTTCTTTCATAAACATGAAACATTGACCTCCAAAATTAAAATTTATGACCAAAGGGGGCTTTAATAACTATCTAGTGTTTTCCTGTTGGGGGTGGGGTAACTAATATGTGGAACAAATAGGAGCAGAACTGTCCTGGTGGCAGCTGCCTAGAGCCCAGATCTGTTGGTTCTCTCAACTCAAACATCATGGTGGTCTCAGTGGCCTTTCCAAGAAATCTATTTGAAAATTCCCTGATATTTTCCAAAGTCCTCTTTCCACAAATGAAGCACAGAGGCTTTGAGAGGTTAGATTTTTTTTTCCCTCAGGCTCACACAGTTATTCAGAGGCTGGTTTCACTCCCACAGGGTTCTGTATCCCCCAAACCACCCCCATGGGACTGGAGTGAGGGTTCAGCAGGGTGGTGACAGGTAGATGATGTCTGCCCTGAAGTGAGCACAGCTGGCCCCTTGCTTCCGGAATGTGGAGGAAAGGGCCAGTGAAACACTCAGCCCGGCCCCGGCTGTGGCGCCCCACCGTCGGGGCTCGGGCAGCTGCCACGCACGCCTGGGACACAGCGGGCTGCATGTCAGGAGCTACCAGGTTCCCTCATGAACAAACCTTCATACACCGCGAAGAAACCCTTGCCCAGGATGTTGCTGCTGCTCCGGAACTCCACCCAGAGTCGGCTGTCGGTGGAGACAAGGGGCTCTGGGGCTTTATCGCCACAAAACCTACCTGGGAAGTAGAAAAGAACGGTGAGGCTGCCGGTGGGCAGTAAGGAGGGGCTCGCTGCAGGCAGAGAAAGCAGGGTTCCAAACGTGGTTCGAGGTGATCAGTAACCCCCGCTGGGTCGACTCCTCCTGTGGCACGTACAGGATTAGCACATGGGGTGGAAACAGTCACCCGGCCTATGTGTCTTCTTCAGACGCCAGTCAGTCCAAGTGCCAGAGTCCAGCCCAAGCACCCCTCTCTCCTGCCGAACGGGTCTCGCTGAGGTGCTGAAGGCGTGGTGCCGTGTTGGTCTGAGGCGGCGATGACTGCGCGCCCCCTGGTGTTCCCATTGCATTACGCCCTTCTCGTCGGGGGCGTGCCCGTGGGAAGACAACCTGCCTTCTTTGCCCCAGAGAAAAGAACGCCAGAGATCACACGACAAAGAAATGAAATCTTCTTGGCTTTTGAATATCACGAGCCTAGCCACAACACCAAAGATTTAGAAGAATACACAATGAGTAAGAGCCCGTTTTCCCATCCTTGTAGTCTTAGAAAGTTTCCCAGGATGGAGAAGTGAGGGGACCGGGGAGAGAGGGGATTGGAGAGGGCACCATGGAGCCTCTAAAAGGACTCTGTGCCCTGTCCCACCCCAAGCTGAGACCCTGTGGGGAAAGGATGACAGAGACACTAAGTAGGTTTGAGGATCTGGAAGAAGCAGAGAACCACGCCCCCAGTCCTGGGCAGAGCCCTCAAAACTCTAGATCCCCATGTCCCACCGGAGGTCAGATTAGAAGTGTCTGCATGGTTTGCCCGGACATGAGGCCAGGACATACACACGCAGAATTCTTCAGGCAAGCCATGGCGTGATGGGAGCAACTGCATTCCAGGCTCCTGGGAAGGATGTGGAAGTGACTTTCCCATACTCCAGAGGAACTGGGGAGCCACAGAACATCTTCCAGGGAGACATCGACTTGGCACCAATCTGAGCTTGCCTTGAGTTGAGACAAAGAGGAGGCACAGCAGCCACTTAGGTGGACAGATGGCTGGAGGCCAGAGAGGAATGAGGACATCCCAGCAATGCCAGCCAGTGTGGCACGGCGCTCTGGAGGCCTCCCCTGGCACCGCACCCTGACACAAGGCCTGCCCCCCACCAGCACCTCTATCCTGGGGAAGAAAACACAAAAGGACTGCAATTAAGTCCCCACTACCTGATGGAAAGGGGCTCATAATTGTTATTGAACTTTTGTTACTAGAAATTTTAAATAAATGTGTATTTCTTAAACACTAAAGTATGAGTCTAAAATTTGGATCCTCTACAGAGGCAAAGGGGAAAGGCCATGCCTGTCTGGTAATTGGTCATCCTTGTCCATGTTATTTGTCATGCCACGAAGGATGGGTAGCCGGGCAAGGAGAGGGATGTGGCAGGTGGAAGACAGCTGTGTTGTACTGACCAGTCTTCGGTACAGACCAGTCAAGGCCTATTTGGACTGGGAGTCATGGTTCTGATGGGTCATCAGACTGTGTGGGTCACTCAGAAAATCCATTTAACATGGAGGGACATGGGGAGTGACCATTAATGTGTGTGGCTTTATTTTGGAGGTGATGAAGGTGTTCTAAAATGGATTGTGGTAATGGCTGTACAGCTCTGTGGACATGCTGAAAGCCATTGATGTGTACACTTTAAATCATACGGCCAATTATATGGCATGTGAATTATATCTCAATATATATTTTTTAAAGCCCACATTTAGTGAACACTCTCTCTTATCTACAGCACCACGTTAAGTACTGAATCAACCCCTTGAAGCTATAACTGTGCTTTGCCTTTCTGAGAAATGGGGGAGTACAAGGTGGGGGGAGGCATCATTTCCTAACGGCCAACTGCGGTGTACATGCCTTGGGGAGACATGGTGGGTAGAGGCCGCTAATCCCCCTTTGCTTCCTTCCGACTCTGGCCACCTGCAGCCTTTTGGATTTGGTGAGCTTAATATTAAGTGAAATGAGCTGAAACTGCTGCCAAGAATTCAGCAAGGAAAAATCCATGAGAAGCCTATAAATTTTCGATAATGGTTCGTCTGGCATGGCCAATTAGTGTCAATTAGTTCTTGGAAAACAACACATAAGCATGGGGAAGCGTAGCTTACCAGTGAGGAGAGGAAGCTGCTGAACCTCAGAGCAATGCCGATTCACAAGAAATTCCTTCTTAGCCTAGCCCGAGCATCAAGTCCAAATTCTTATTTAAAACCCCAGCTGTCACAGCCACTGGGGACGGCTATCAAAAGAGAGAGAGACTGCCACTGTCTTGCTGCCTAAGAACCTAACTGGAAGTGATAAACCATCCACTCCAGGGCCATATACAAGCCATCTCTGCTCAGTATTCCGGCGGAAGTCGGAGTTACAGGCTAAGGTATATTTAATGCCTTGGCAGAGCTAGACTTGGTAGAACAAATTACAAATAATTTCTAAATAGGACCTCTCCCCAAACCACTTTGTAATTCTAAACTAGAATCCTCTACGTTGTCCCCGGACTAATGTCTCCACATTCTGATCTTCACCATAATGGTAGTAACAAAATCTGTTTTTTTATTGAGATGTTGATACCAGACACTGTCCTAAGCACTTTAGGTGGATTTCCTAATTACATCCCCTCTGCCCCCTGACGTAGGCATTACCATTAATTTCATTTATGATAAATCTGAGGATCAGAGAGTTCGAGTTGAGTTACACTCAAAGTTGTAAGTGAAAGCAGGATTTGAACCTCGGCAGTCTGAGATCTTGACCTTCACCGTCAGTCTTACCTTCTTCACCATCATCACCATCACCGCCAGCACCATCAAAAGGAACTTCGCGGTTTAAGGTGCAATTCTGAAAACTGGATGTTTTTGAATTAACGGACATCAAATCTGCTCTGAGAATGTAAACATCATTTCCACTTCCCAATTTGGAAATACTCATAGGAATGAAGATCAAAGCCTCAACCATAAAGCAAGTCCGCGGCCATGCCAGGCTTGGCTGTTTGGCTCGTTTCTGCTTGTTTGGGAGGCTGCCCCTGCCCAGGGAGCCCCAGCAGTGGGGCCACGCGACACTGATTGGCCGGCCTGGCCTCTCTGAACTTCCCTCCCCGCTTCAGGGAAAGGGGGAGAAAGGGCTTTTGTGTGCATTGTGGCGGTAGAGAATACCCAAGGACAGTTCTGCATACAAAAGTGCATTGTTAGAGTCACTCCTCTGCAGAAATAAGGGAGGGGAATCCAATTAACAGACCGGTATTTCAGATTACTGGACGAGTTCACTGTGCAGCCATCTTCCTCCCCCCTTTAGGCGCAATCTCGTAAGTGACCCCTGAAACTGAAAAACCAATTTGATATCTTTAACCAGCCGTGAAATGTTCTCAATCTACTTACATTCCCTTTAATCATGCTGTGAAAACCCAGGTCTCAAACAGCCTCCTACCAAGGAGATCTAACAGGCTGGAGGGAAACTGGACTAGAGAAAAGGTGTCAAATTCCTAAATTGAAATCTGGTTCCTGGCTTCGGAGGAGGAGTTTAATAAGGATATCAAGAGAGGAAATGCAGATGAGGGCACAACAAGCAGGCTCCATGGGGAGTCATAAAGGGTTCATTCATAAAAAGTTATGCGCCCATTATGCCTGGATTTTCACACACTGCCCTGGGAAAATATGCAATGCACAGTTTTTCAGAGCAAGATGCATACTTTCACAATTCGCCCTAATCCGCTCTCCCTCCTGCCAAAGGGGCATTGACCTGCCTCCTCCCGGCAGATTTCACGGCACTGACCCCTCCCAGGGACCAGCTCAGCCCACACAATGCACTTGTTCCAAGCACAAAAGTTCACTAACAACTGCATTTGGAAACATCAGAGCGGGCCAAATAGTTGGCAAAGGAGATTCCCGCGAATGAAGAATGGTTGCAGGCGCCAGGCCATGTCTTGGCTGCGAGATACACACACACACACACACACACACACACACACACACACACGCTGCAAAAGTGTGTAAAATATAAGCCAAAAAGAAAAAAAAGAAAAACCACAAACCAAAAAAACCCCAAAGAAAACAAACTGCCAACTACAATGAACAGCAAAGCCCCATCTAATCTATGAAAGTGCAGCCAGAGAGACCAGGACCTGGAGTGAGAAAACTCCTGCTTCAAGACCAGGGAGGGACTGGCAATGCCCCTGCCCCGCCGTCCTCAGGAGCGTGCCTCCGCCCTCTCCCGGGAGCTCCCGTATCAGAGCGCTTCCTCCTCCTGAGTCCTTTAAGTCTATCACATTCCTGGGGGAGTATAGGGTTGCCAGATTTAGCAAACAAAAATACAGGAAGCCCGGGTCAATTTGAATTTCAGATAAACAATGAATCATGCATTTTATCTAGCAATCCTAGGGGAGACTCATCTCCTATTCATCCTCTCCCCATCACCAGGAATTCTACTTTCTGATCTGACCTCTGCCACGAGCAGGCTGTGAAGCCGGCCCGGGTGGGTTGGTCCACACTCGGGGAGCGTGGTTTTCCCCGTGAAGGTGCAGGATAGGTGTCTCTAAGGTCCCTGCCAGGCTGAGGGGTCTGTGATGCCATGTTCTCATGTAACTTCTTCTACTGTTTTAAGTATAAAATAATACCAAATGCATCCTTGTAAAAGAGTCAAATGATCCAGAAGTATACAGACCCACCTATGAAGCGGCCCATCACAGCTGGGCTTCCTTCCTCAGAGGTAACCACCTTCTGGAGTCAGATGAGCACCTGCAGTCCCCCTTCTGTGTCCTTGGTACTGGGGAAGTTCACGTGTATGTACATTTGTAGGTAAGTGGGATCATTCCCTGACCCAGCTCATAGGGATTCCGATTCAGTAGCCGCTCAGAAATCTTCCCAGGTGATGCTGGTGTTCAGCGTGATTTAGGAACGTCTGCTACCAGGAACACAGCCCTCTGTCATTTTGCTGTACCGAGTCAGTGCTACCTGTAAAGCCATGCCTCCCTCTGGCTGCTCACACCCATCACATCTGCTCGCGTGAGGCTGGAAGCAGGAATCCAGGGCAGACAGCCTCCAACCTGCCATCAGGGGGCACACACGATTTGTCCTGCAGTGCAACACTCTGCCTACGCTTGGTCCAGGGATCCCTTTCTTGGCTTGTTTACCTGGACTGCTAACTAACGGATTCCTCCCTGTGGTAGTAACCTGGGACCCCCACTCAGAGCCTGCTGTGGCTTCTATCTAGAGAGCCCATGGATACAAATTCATACCTGTTTGTACCTCTAAGAGTTTAAACCCATGCCCTGCTGGACAGAGGGGGCTTACGTGCCGTTCCAGATGGCAGCTGACCTGGCTGAGAGCTCTTGGTTGTATGGAAGCCTAATGCCTGCCAGGTCCTCTCAGCTCCAGCCAGAGCCTCGGCTCAGTCTCTTCTGACCTACCCCAAAATCTGGTATGAAATCGGGCGTGGTCTGGCCGTGAAACTCCCCAACTTGGTTCTCTGCTTCCCAGCAGCAGCTCACACTTGGGCCATTCACAGCATAACAAGGTGGCTTTCTGTCCACGTGAACATATGGCAAGGACCAAATTCTCACTGAAAGCTTAGACTGGAAGCTCACTCTACAGACCACTCAAAAAATAAGGATGGCCGCCTCTCAGCCAAGACCCCTCCACCTGGCTCCTGGTAAGCCTGCCTCTCTGTCTCCACCACGGCTGTCACTCCCGGGAGAGTCCTCATGCCCGCTCCCTGGGCACCGAAGCCATTGGTCCTCCTTAGGACAGGGATCATCCTGGGTCACCTGTGAGAGAGCTTTCTTCTGGTCACCAATCCTGAGTGAACTGACCTTTCTTTTATGCCGCCTGCCCACCGTCTCTCACTCAAAGGTCTGGCGCTGCCTTTTCATGTATGAATTCGTGTTCATCAACCCAAAATAATGCATGCTCACCAAAAAAAAAAAATTAGAAAATAGAGCTAAACTAGGAACAACAATAGAATACATTTTAAAAATACTCCGTCATCTTGAAATAACCACTGTGTATAATTTATTTATATTTATAATTCTACTTCATATTCATAGCATAGATCACAGAATGGTTTCTTCTGGTTGAGTTCAGCACACACAATGATTTAAGTAATTTTGGTCAGGAAACTCACTGGTCAGTTTGCCACACTCCCCTCCACTCCTTGTTTTATCACACCAACCCCATCTCATTCATTTACACCTTATCTCTGAAGGCATCTGAGCTTCATCTGAGTAGTGTGTGCACAATAGACGTAGAAGTGTATTTTTGTTAGAATGGAATCCTACTGCATATTCTATTTTGTCACACCTTTTTTTGGTGTAACAATGTACAGTGAACACCTTTCTGTATCAATAAAGAGTCACCTCCAACTTTATTGTTAATGGCTGGATAGTTTTCCATTGAAAAGACGTATCATAATTTATTCAGCTAACCCCTACTGTTGAACATTTAAATTGTTTTCAATTCTCCCTGCTTCAGTGAACATCCCTGTGGCTAGAGCTTTGCACACTTCCTTAATTAGTTCTCCAGGATAAATTCCAAGAAGTGGAATTGCTGGGTCAAAGGGTATTCACAGTTTTAAAAGCTTTTAACATGTGTGGCCAAATGGAATGTTCAGAGTTTTACAATGACACAGACCCTTGAGAGCTTCCTGTGACTGCCGCCTGGATGGGTCCTCCGACCATTAACGGCATCACGCAGACCAGCCAATCACTCCCCCCTCAAGGCTTTCTTAAGTCAACTCACCCAACAGGGGGGCTTTTCTCCAATACCCATCCCGGACCTCCACGTAGTCGTACCAGCACAGGCGGCTTTTAAACAAATCCATGGATGTGAAGTTTAAGATGATCTGCAAAGAGTTACCATAAAGTAAGTTTTGGCAACAAAGCCTGAGGAGTTTTGAGAGATACATCTCTCATACCGGGGTTCTCACGTTACTCTTTAGCATACAGAGCTCTCAGACCACAGTAGGAGTGTCCTCTCAAAAACACACTCACAGGAAACCTCGTGACATTAAATAATAAACCTTAAGCAGGATGGGGGGTAAACAGAGGAGATGGGTCCTTTGGTTCTGCCTGGGGAATAACTTGAGCTTTTGAAGTCACTAGGTGGTTTACAGAAAGCAAGATGCATTAAAGACGAGCCAGGATGCATTGAGCCTGGGGATCTGGAAGGAGGTAAGGGGTCAGTGAAGTTCAGAGATACGAAAAGATCTTATAACATCATCAATCATCCTAAAGGGCCCGGGGTTAGCCTGAGTGCATCTGAGCACCTCCGTGATCAATGTTCCCTCGGCCATGACCTCACTCTTCTGAGGTGTGGTGTGTCTAAGAGCCTCCCTACAGTTCGTTCGTGCATTCATTCATTCATTCGTTCTACCATTGTGTGCTGACCACCTATTGTGCGCCAGTCTGTACTGGCCTATCAAGATAGAAAGGTCAGAAAGACAGGGTTCTTGCCTTTAGGGAGCTCAGACAAAGAGGGAAGGGCAGATGTGCCGAGCCAATTAGAACAGTATGGTATAAATGCTGAAAAGAGAGGAACAGACAGAAAGGGTGTTGAGGAGCCCCAAGGAGAGAGAACTGAATTCTGCCCGGTGATACTGCGGAAGGTCTCGGGGGAGGTGGCATTTAACCCAAGGGGAACAAGGGTCCAGGGGGCAGAGAAGTAGGATGGAAGCATTTTGGTGAGAGGGACTGACATGAACACAGGCGAGGACATGTTTGGGAAACTGTACTGTCCCCCAGCCTAGTCCACTGTGTGTGTTTCTGGAATGAAGAGCCAGGAGGGGAGAGGAGAAGGAGCAAGCACTGGGGAGGTGGGAGTTCAGCTGGACTGGGAAGGAAGGTTTCAGTTCTCTGGACATCCTGAGGCCACTCGGTGGATGCGCCTGTCCCACCCGGGGGAGGAGGACCTGCAGAGTCGCCACACAGGCACTGCACCCATGAGCTGGCCCCGGTCCCCATGGCAACTCTTCCAGCTCGGGGCTCCCCGGCAGATGACCGAGACAGAGTTCAGATTCTCCCCTCTCCCTTGAGCCCCATTCAGCCCCCCGCCCCCCGTGCAAGGTGCCCATGCCTTCTCCTGCCCTGAGCAGCCGTGGCTCCTCTCCCCGCAGCTCTCAGGCTGTCTCCCTGCCTCTGCTCAGCATGTCCCCGCTCCCTCATTTCTCAGGTCTTCTTGCTCTGCAGGGTCCTGCTGAGGGCAGCCCTGCACCAGCCCCTGCACCCCTGAGTCTATTCCTCTTCCCACCTGCGGGGACCTTTATCTCAGTCAGTTCAACTCTCTCTGGCGCCTTCACTCTCCTGCTTTCATTTAAATCCTAACAGCCCCAGCCGGGTCCCTGGTCTCCAAGTAAACCCTTGGGCCCAAGGGCTGCAGGTCAGAGGTCCCGGGTCCCTGCTGGCCAAACAGAAAAGACTGTTAAGTATTTGTCCTTGTTCTCTGTGGCCCCTCTACTTTGAACCTCTCCCCTTTGGTCTTGCTACACTAGCCTGTCCTTTCTCCACTGTCTCTCTTCTCTGCTGGCTCTTGTCCTCTCCACTCCCCAGGAACTGTGAGGTCACCTCAAAACAAAGCACTTCCCTCCCAACATCCCTGTCTGGAGTTGACACGCGGTCCCAATCACTCAGGTGCAACACTGCTGCCCCTGTTGTTTATCTCAGTGCTGACAGGCTCTCTTCCTTTAAGATGCCTGTGCCCCCTGCTCCAGTCAACAGCCCTTCCTGCATCGCTCCTGCTGAGATGGCTCCTGAACTCCGCCCTGCTGCACCATGTGCACTCTGCACACTAGGGCTTCCAGATCAATCTTGCATTTTATCTCATGTTTGCTAGAGCCCTCTTCTGTTCAAAACATTTCAGTGGCTCCCTTTGCCCCAGTCTCATAAATTAAACTCACTGCCTACCTTCTGGAGCCCCCACTGCCCACCCTAATAGGTGGCTTTATCTCCAAGCGCACCCTAATATATTCACGCAAATGGAACCCTCCCCAGGCCAACTCAATGGGCCCCTCCCGCCTCCCCAGGTCCTTCTCTGATTGCCCAGATGTATACGATCCTTCCCTCTTTGGAATTCCTCCCTCTCTTTCTTATAGTGAGTCCAGGGCAGGTGTTTTTAGTCAGGCAGATAGGGCTTTCTTCTTATGGCTCTCACCACTCACTAGCTTTGGGATCTTGGGAAAATACTGGCGTGCTTTGGACCGTTAGTTTCCTCATCTCTAAAACAACACACCCACCACTGGGCTGTGGAGGGGACTGCGCAAGAAACTGTATAGAATGTACAGTGCTCTGCCTGGCACGTAACAGCCACTCAATAAAGGGCAATTTTAAAAACCAAGCCACACCGAGTGTACGTTTAGTGTACCACAAACTAGACATACTAAGTGCTCTTCGCAGGCTGCCTGTCTTGACTGAGAGTGCCCACCCCTTCCCTTGGGACAATGCCACTCAGTGTTCAGGTTTCAGGACAAGGAGCACCTATCTCCACAAAGCCCTAAGATCTTCTAGGAAATGAAGAGTCAGTACCAGAAAATAATAGGCCAGCTCATCTCCCATGTTGTAGAGTGTGAGTGTGTGATAATGTCGCTCATCAAAATGCTTTGAGTAGTTATCAACGCTACTTGCACATTAGAATCACCTCAGAAACCTAAAAAAAATATTGGTGTCAAACAAATGCTCCTCCTTCAATTAAATCAGACTCTCCAGGGGTGAGGGGGGACCCTAACTAAACTCTAAGTCTCCTAAATACAGACACTGTACCTTCAAATCCCCTTCAGTGCTCACACTCATGTGGACTGGTTCAGGAATGCTTGCTAGCCAGTTGCAATACAGTTCTTTAGCCTTTGCTTTTTAAAATTTCAGAAAGGCAATGTTATTACAAGTTCCTTGGTAACACATTCATGATCTGAATGAATGGGATAATTATTCAGGCTAATTACTTTAAATATGTTAGTGAGCCATAAAGATCATAGGGGGAGAGGTGATGAACGGGAGGTGATAATGCAAATCAATCAAGTTTGCTAATTACTAGCAGCTCTGGGGAAGGCTGGGTGAAGCAGAAATTGAAATAATTGGTGCAGGAATTTCAATGATATGTATTCTCCCTGCCCCCAGTTAGCAATAATAATTAAGGCTGGGTGAAGTCTTATACAGTTCCAACATCTCACAGAGCCTCTGCTACGCAGGGCAAGTCAACAATTTAGGGATTAGCAGAGTCCTTCTCCTTTCTCCTCCACCTGCTGCCTCCCTCCCACTGCCACCTCCTGTGGGCACAGGGGTGGCACATCCACCCGAGGCGCACAAACCTAGAGCCTCTCAGGCTCAAGATGACAACCACACTGTCATAACTGCTTTCAGCCAGAGGAAGGGTGTGTGCCTACGGGTGCTGTTCGTGTGTGCATGTGTGAGCGCGCACGCGCGTGTGTATGTGGGGATGCATGTTCAAATGTCTATTTGCCTGTCCCTTTTGTGGAATAATATAGGATGATGGTTACACATCCAGGCTGTCAGAGTCAAATTTCCTGGGCTCAGATCCCAACTCTTCAACAAACTGAGTAGCCTTGGACAAATCCATTTCCTTACCTGCAAAATGAGTGTGGTAATAGCACCTATCACACGAAGCTGTTGTGAGAATTAAATAAGAGAATCCACATAATATGCTAAAAACAGTACCCAGCCCATAAAAAATGCTCCCAATGTCATTATTTCTCTGTAGTGATCACACTATGTTTAAATTGACATTTATGTGGAAACCTGTAAGTTGACTAGGCACCTGAAAAATTCCAGCACCTCTCACTGCACCCCAGCTGCATGTTTTTCACTCTGCCACTCGTCCATCCACATGTTCATGCAATAAATACTTATTGTGTGGCTCTGTGCCATAGACTATGTCCTCAATGAGTCTAGAAGAGGGACAGCCAAATAAAACAGCGTCATGATTTCTGAGACAAACTACAACAGGTACAATTGTAGGGAGCTAGAGTAAACATTTCAAAGACAGCTGAATTATTTTGAGACAACCTGATGATCTGCTGGATCTGTAGAGAGGTGTGGTGAAGAAAACAAAGGTCTCGAACGGCAGAAGCCCCAGTTCTCAGTTCTCTATCTTACTGTGTATTTGGGCAATTTATAAAATGCCTGAGCCTCAGACTCCTCATTCACATAATGGGTATAAGGAAATGTGCATTGCAGTAGGATCAGGAACATATTCCCCTTGGACAAGAGCAAGAGGGGCCCCTGCCCTGGGCTTGGCTCTTGAGAGTCTTTGAATCTTCAGAGCCAAAGGAACAAGCCCACCCAGAGCTTGCCCAACGTCTAGACCTCACACTAGGAGCCTGGAGCCCTGGCATTCCCTGTCCCAACAGTCCCTGAGCCCACTTCCAGGACACGCAAGGCCCTCTGCACCGGGTCCACCCTCCCGGGAGCAGAGAGCACACTGGGCAGCCCACTTCCACTGGAGGGGCAGCCAGGCAATGGCTGTTTGCGAGGCAGGAGTAGAGGGTGTTCAGGAGCGTGGGCTGGGGTGTCACCATGGGTGCTCCTGAGGCGGAACTGGGCCTGGGAGGAGAGGGAGAGGGAGGGGCCCGCTGTGCACTGGTAGCTAGCTCTCCCCACATCGTCACCTGCCAGAGCCGCACTCTGAGGTGCCCAGAATTTCTAAATCGGATCCCTGCCTTCCAGGGCACTCTGACGGTGTGTTTATCGAGGTAGAAGGATAACACCTACTTTGCTTACAAACTGTGAGCTGGATGTGTAATTCATGTGGACATTTAGTACAAAGGCTTCCATCTGCATGAGGGAGACTGGCTGAAAAATCCAGAAGGAAATACCATTAAGCAAGCTAGCACAGTGACTGGCGCATAGTAGGTGCCCACAACATAACAGCTGTTATTACTCGTATTAAAAATAACACCTCACACGTCAATCACTCCCAATCAAAGACTGTTACGTCATTTCCGGAGGTGGTCGCACACCTACCTTTTCCCCTGGAGTGACCGATATCCTCCAGACGCAATGGGAATAAGAAGGATAGCCGTTTGGAAAACCAGGTGCAGAAAAGTTTCCCGTTGTGTCCTGCAGAGTCTCCCCACATGCTGCACGAGCAAAATGACAATCATGATTCAGGCACATGCATGCACTCCCGCCCGAGAGAGCCTTCTACAGGGCTGCTGAGCAAACACACGCCTGTAATAGCCGCAGCCTTTAGAAGGTATGGCAAGAAGTGTGCCAGGCTGGCTGATATTTTCCTGGCTTATAAAAGTGAAAATAACGTCTGAGCACCAAAAAGGAACAAACACCCCAGAGGTTCTTCTGAGGCTCTCAGGATTGAGCAGGATCTAGAGCCAGGTTTGAATCTCAGCTCTCCAGCTGCGTGTGTGGTGGTCACCTTAGTTTTCTTATCTGTTAAATGGGTCGGGCCTGCCCAGAAGGTTAATTAAATCACCTGCACTAAATGGAATGAAACAGCTCCGTGCTTGGCACATGATAAGTGCTCCACATAGAGCAGCCTTATAATTACCAATAGTAATATCTGTGGCAGAGAGAACATGGAAGCCCAAGTAGATAGTGCAAAGAGGAAAAATGCTTTGAAACTCAGTATCAGCCGTTAGTTTGAATCTTGCCTCTTCTTTTTCTGCTACCCACCTCTGAATGAGCTACCACATAGCCAAGGTAACAGAGAAAAATGACCGGAGACACAGGAAGCTAGGATGCTCTCCACAAATCTATCCTGGCCATGAATGTCTGAGGGTTGCTGGGTCATGTGACTAAAACCTAGACCATATGTATATGAAAAATATTTCCCTAATTTGTCCTCATACCTGCAGGAGGAAGCTTGGAAGCCGCAGGTTTCATATTCCCCTGACTCCCCGGGACTCGGGCCCCAAAGAAAAAGACACTGGGTTGCTGGGGGCCCTTCTTTTACAGGGCCACCCCCCAAAATGCGGGAAAGCATCCTCCTTTCGCACTTTTTTCCTGAGTGCAATTCAAACTCTTCACAGCAACTACCTTTGCTTTCGGCTACTACTTCAAACCCCTGGGAGCTGCTGTCTTCGGAGATGCAGGAAGGGAGGGCTGGAGAGTGGCCCATCCTTGGCCTCAGGAAATCCTGGATATCGGTGCTTCAATATCATGTTACCGAACAACTGCCAGGCATCATGAGGATTATGCCTGGCAGTCAACACCCCCAAGGGTTCCATGGAAATTATTTCAGAATAATCATCAACATTCTGCAGGAACAGATACGTTACTGTATGGCTCTGTGGTATTTACCAGCTGCCTTGAATCCTTTTGGGAAGTAAGAGCCATATACATTTTAACTAAATAAATACTATGGCATTTCCCAGGGAATGCTATAAGGTTTCTCTTTCAATTCAGCAAGGTCATATGATATGTGTGTCCTGTTATTGCAGCCCTAATGCGCCCCCAGATGACTAATAGCTGTATGAACGTATTTCCTAGAGGTTCATGACGGAGGAGAGCCTCACATGGCCCTTTGCAGGCTGCGTGAGCCCGCTGAGCAGGGCGGTGTGATAGCCCAGGTATTCTAAGATGACCCCTATTTCAAATATTCTGTCCCGTGATCCAACCATGCACCTGGTCTAGGGGTTTAAAAAGGCACTGGACCTGTTGGTAATGGAGTTTCTTTTTTCCACCCCAAATGCTGAAAAACATTCTGTCCCATCAGTGGTAAAAACTTGGTTGCTGTAACCAATGTTTTGCATTAAAGTTAAGCAGCTTAAATGGGTCAACAAGAGCTCAACCCCAGCGTAGCAGGGGTGTGATAATGCTGAAGTCAAGGGGACAAAAGGCAAAAAAGAGGGCAGCTTCAAGGGAAGCAGGCTTCTGAACTGTCTGAGAAGCGGGCATCTGCTCAGTCCCCCAGAACACTGTCCAGACTTCAATGGCAGGCTGGTGGCCACTGACCAGCCCCTTGGATGGCTAGAAGAGCCCCAAGACCATAGGAAGGACCTCATTCACAATCCTGAGGCTCCTTCCACTTTCCACTGTTGGGGAAGCTGACTCCAATCCCTCTAAAAGCATTCACCTTCAGTCTTTGTCCTCCCGCAAACCCCCTGCCTCTTGTTTTGCCAAAGCCCATCCCTTACTCCCACAGAAAGGAGAGGTGCTTTTGCCATTACGGGGCACACTGTTGTTTTGCTACGACTTCTTCCTCTTCTGAACATCAGAGCTTCGCCAGAGAGCTCTGCAGCTCCCCACAAGTTAAGCTGTGGGCTCCAAAACCTACCATTCGCTTCGCTGCTGGCAGTCACTTCACCATTTGGGCTTTCTATACTATCTGACACCTCCTAACAGCAGCACATCAGAAGTCACAGTTGCCAGGGGGTAGTCTCTTCAGGTTCTCCAAGTTGTTTTCCCAGCCAAAGGGAACATTTGTGAAGGGCAGTTGAGTCATGTTCCAGGGGTGCACTGGGGGCCCTGGGACTCCCCAGGGTTCAGTTACCTGGGCATTTGTACAGCTTCCTGGCTTGAGCTATGTCTCCTTGACTGAGCCGCACACGCTGGCCAATGGTTGGTCTGACGCCATTGTCGTCTCGACGGGGGAGGATGGTGTCTAAGAAAACTCCTCTATAGAAAGAAAAGAGAGTGAGAGAAAGGAGAAAGAAAAGTCAAGGCTGTCAGGCCGTCCATGCTGGAATTTACAGTCTTCATTTCCTTGCCCATAACCCCATCAACATTCCTACCCCCGGCCTGTTCTCGTGCTGGCATTTGAGCATTCCATTTCATCAGCTGCCTGCTCACTTTCCAATGCGAAAATGATTCTGCCAAGTTTAAAAATATGCCCTGGCCCAGTGGCCTAAGGGCTTCCTCACTGATGTCTATGGAGCATTTCCACAAAGCCCTTCACAGGATCAGGCCCCAGGGCCACTGTGCTGAAAAACTGCAGGGAGCACCCTTCAGAGAGACTACTATGATGTGAGTGGCGCCCCCTGGAGTTGTGCAACAGGCAATACTGAGCATGGGTAGGTCTTGGAGAAGCTCCAGGGGACCACGGGAACCACGACAATGTGAGACTGTGAGAGGCTGGTCAGGAAGTGCTGGATGGGTTGCCGAATAATGGAGATTGGAGTTTGGGGGCCTGGCTGGCAAGAGGAATGCTCAGATGGAAAATGAGATGAAAGCAGAGAACTAGGGGTAGTCAAAAGAGCCCTGACCTAGAGATTTCTACGTAAAGCCTGGCTCTGCCACTTGAGTGAGCTCGGACAAGTCCCTTCCTGTCTCTGGGCCTCAGATTACTTCCCTGACCAATAAGAGACTGGCCTTATGGTTGTGGCAGTCAGTCCCTTTTAACATTAATGTCTTCTACTCCATGCAAATAAAGTCTAAAATGACCAAAACAGACAAGTGGATACCAGGAGGCCCAGCTGAGTATGAGCCCTGTTCACAGCTCCGAGTTGTGGGCGTGGTGTACCCTTTGCCTGAGCCTACCCCCTCTGTTTCCAGACCCCTGACTTCGGGCATCTCCTGGAGCGAGAACCTTCTCTTGAATGGGCTCCTCCAGTTAACACCCTGTGTCTTTCCTTACCTTCTTAACCAAGTTTCTGGAAAGAATTGTCTCCATTTTCTGTCTGCCTGCTCACCTTAACCTGATTTTGATCTGACCATACAGCAACAATCACCAGTTGCTGACCAACTGTCAATTTGATAGACACCTGTCAATCATCACCTGCCCTCTCTGCAGAACCCACGCCTCTGCCATCCCCTCCTTCCTCGGATTCTTCTCCCTGGTTCCCAGGGAACTGCTCTCTCTGAGCAGGAAGTTAGGCTCCTCCTCTCCTGCTTCCCCTGGGACTGCTGTCTCTCAGGTTTCTGTCCCCTCTCTTCCCTCTTTGCTCTTTGCTCTCACTTTACCTGCTCCTCTGGCCATGAACCACCAACTACAGACTCACAGACCCAGAGCCACCTGCAAGCCAAATGCCCTGGTGAGCTTTCCACTAGGCTGTCCTATGGGCCTCTCACGTCTGACACATTCAAAACCAAACGTGTCCCACTCTTCTCCTTCCACGAACCTTCTCTCCTGGGACTGAAGCCCATTCTCTCACACTCCCTTGTCAAAAATCAGGAAACAGGTCCTGTCCATGGCACCTTCTACACATGCCCTGAATCCGTGCCTTCCTTCTCGTTCCAGACCACTGCCTTAGCTTGGACAACCAGCATCCCCTTCCCAAGCCCTTCCCAGTAGCTCCTTAACGGGTCTCCCTCCCTGTAGACTCAGCCACCTTTAATCTAGCCCTCATACCGCTGCAATGTGATCCTATCGAAATGCCGAAATGCCGGGTCAGGAGTGTGCCCTCCCTGCTCAGACTCCTTCCCTGACTCCACCTGCTGATCACCACCTGCATCTCCAGGCGCTGGGGTCGCTGCTCCCGCCTTCCTCGTCAGCCACATCCCCTGACGCCTCCACCTCACTCACTATCTTAAGCAACAGTGAACTCCTGCTAACCCCCAATGTGCCCCTCCACATGCTGTCTTCTGCTAAAGCTGTCCACCACCCATCCTCTTGTCCCCAAAACCCATCAGATGGCCTTCCCTCGTAAAAGTCTTCCGAGCCCTTTCTATCCTGAGTTAATTGTGCCCTGGGCCTTCTTTGTCTTGCCGCTTCTTATTATACTGTATTGTCTCTTTCTGAGGGGTGATAGCAATTGTTTTCTCCGCTAAATACTAAGTTCCTGCAGCAGAGAGACTTGGTCCTTCATGTCTATGTCCTCATGGACTGGAATGTAGCAGGCCTTGAGAAATGCTTCTAGAACTACACAGCCAAGATAGGACAGTCTTTGAAAGATTTTGCAAAATAGTTATTTATACCCAAAACGAAATGCAAAAATTCTCATAACTTAGTTATTAGCTGCACTCTCTCTTTTCTCTCTCTTTCAAACATTTACTTTTCCCTAAATTCGGCACTAGCTTGGAAAATATATATTATCCCGATTTCTCTTTTTTGTTTATATATATATATTTTATATATTATATATAATTTACATATGTAAATATAAATAATTTAATAAATATATATTTTTATTTATTACATATTTTATATATAAAATATATATTTATTTATATTTATTAAATATATAAATATAGAAATATAAATTTAAAAATATATATTTATTCATATATTAAATATATAAATAAATATATAATAGTTTATATATTTAAATAAATATATATTTACATATAAATAATATATAATATTTATATATATGTTTTATATATTTTATATATATTTTTTCTAAATTAGACTTCAAGCTCACCTTCTTTCCAACATTAGCATACAGAAGCCTAGATCATCTGCTGATATCCCTTTTAGTACCCCTGCCCGCACCATGAACCATCTGTCCTAATGTCCCTAACTCCCATCACCTCATCTCTAGGTCCGGAGTCCTCTAGAGACACTGTATCGGAATCTTTGATCTCCCTCACTGACTTCACCAAATTTTAAATCACGAGTGACAACGCTAAATAAAATTCCAAATTCAATCACCTACTAATCAAAAAATGGGTACTTCTGCTCTAATATAAAATGTGCTCATTCACTCTTATTTTCTTGATTCCCCTGAAGAAAGCAATTTAGCTGCACAAAATGCAAGGCTCACCACAATCTCTTCGCAGTCTGGATTAGCTGGCCCTGCCGATGACCCCACTATATAAGCCACCTTCCTGTGAGCTGGGCCCTGGCTGGACACTTGACATGCACAACCTCATTTCATCCTCATGATACTCTTGGGAGCAAGCACCATTACGGGTAGGGTTCCTCGCTACAGGTGAGAAAAGCAAGCTGCAGAGCTTAAGTGACTCACCCTGAGCACAGAACGAGTAATGGAGAGCCAGGCCTGGAACCCAGGCCAGCCTGGAGCCTGCCTCCTGGCATCTTCCAACCAGCGCTTCCCACCGCCCAGGGAACAGGGCGCCTTCATGTGGATGAGACAGACCATAGAGTAAGGAAGTCACATTGGTGACTTCAAAGCAGCAGGAACAACATGGGATCACGCTCATACAGCTCTTCGGGGCTGGGGCTCCCTCCCCCAACCCAGCACATCCTGAGCCTCCAGCAAGGCGGTGGGTTCTGGAAGATGTTTACTACAAGAGACGTCCCTTGTGCAAACCACTGTAGTAATGTCCCTCCTTTTATGTAGGACAACTTAGAATTGACATTCTGCTAACCTAAGAAAGGGTTTGGCAGATGCCTTAGGGAATAAAACTGTCAGCTCCAAGTTCTCCAAACAAAGACGACACTGTACCAGAGAGCAGTCTCCTCATCTCCTGGACCCTTGCCCGATGAATCTCTCAAAGACACCATGACCCTCAGCCCAGGTCCAACCAAGGGGAGGGGGAGGAGCTGCAGTAAACTGGAGGGAATAAAGTTGGAAAGAGACAGCTCTGTCGTAAAGACACACGAAGATTGGGTTTCCCATCAGCAGGAATAGCATTTGCCTCCAGAGGAGTATATGTTCTATGGGCCATTTTCTACAGAATCACAGACCACGTGCAGGCCAGCTGCAGGGGACATGTGAGCAGAAGCAATGGTATGAAATTAAGGAGTGAGAAACTTCTGATAAAAAGTGGGCCAGGAAAGCCCACCAGGCAGGAGGCCATGGATAAACATCCCACTGAACAAAGCAGTTTTCTGAAATCCATGCAGACAACTGCAGATGGGACAAGGCTGGTGTCTACTTGCTATGAAACAGATTTGCCAGAACCATTCCGAACTCAGGCAGAGGTGAGAAGGTAGTTGTGGTAGATTGCTAAAACAATGAATTAGGCCTCCTAATACTGTCATCCCTTAGCAATGTGAAGCTGCCACTCCCTACAATAAGAGGCAGAATCTATTTCTCCATAACTTGAATCTGGGCTGGCTTTGTGATTTGCCCTGGGCAATAAAATGTGACAGAAGTCATGCCATACAAGTTCTAGAGCCTTGGTCCAAAGAGTCTTGCGGCCTGCCAGCTTGTCCTCCACTGGAACTCTAAGCTCCCATGGAGTGGAAAGCCCAGTCGAGCCCACTGGAGGCTGGGAGGCCACGCGGAGGCAAGCCAAGGGACACCAGTGGGCGGGCAACACAATGACCAGGCACGGCGCTGGCCAGCACCCAGCCCAATCATGCTGTCAAGTGATTACTGCTGCAGGAATGACCAGAGAAGAACAAGCCAGAATGACCCACAATATCATTAAAAAAAAGTTATAAGGCGCTACATTTGGGGGGTAGATTGTTCTGCAGCAATAGATAACAGCATGGTAGCAGAAGGGAAGCTTCCTCCCTCCGGCACCTGCAGGGAAGCTGCTCTGCTCCTGCACCCCCGCCCGTCCACCCTGTGCTGCCTCCTTGCCAGTGTCCCTCCCAGGGGTCCTGGGCACTTGTGAAGAGGAACTGTACTTTCCTGGGTTTAGTCCGTGGGCTTCCACTGACCTATGCTGATAAAATGCTTTCAAATAGATAACACTTAATAATGTTTATCTCCTGAAGGGCAAAAGGGCTGGCACTATAAGCCAGAGATCACGGGTGGGGTGGGGGGCGGGGGGCGGTGGGGGAGAGGTGCGGGAAGAGGGAGATTAAAAAAAAAAAGACAGAAAAGAAATGCCGGTGCCAGAAGATACTCTGTCTGCCTTTTTGCCTTGGCCTCTGGCTTCAAAGCTTTGCATAGTAACTGGCACTCAGCAGACATGGAGAAGGGGGTGTAGTTCCCATAACCCATGGTTAGTAATTTATCCAAAGTACCCTACACAGTAGAAACTTACAGATTTTCCTTAATGAAGTGAGCAGTGCATTTGTGAGTAAGGAGGAGGGATTGCAATGAGGGTAATGGAAATTTCTTCCCTCATCTCATCCCAAGCTTGGCAGATCTCCCTGTCTCCTTGGATTCATTCATTAATTTATTCATTAAAAATATTTATTGAACACTGCCCTGGCCGGTGTGGCTCGGCTGGATGGAGCATCGTCCTGTGCACTGAAAAGTCATGGGTTAGATCCTCGGTCAAGGCATATACCTAGGCTGCAGATTCGATCCCCAGTTAGGGGGAAGGCAAATGACTGATGTTTCTCTCTCTCTCCCTTCCTTCCTCTCTCTCTAAAATCAATAAATGTATTCTCAGGCAAGGATTAAAAAATTTAAAAAAATTTATTGAAAACCTACTCTGTGCCAGGCACCATGTTGGGTGCTGGGGATTAGAAGAGAATGAGATAGTCCCTGTCCTCAAAGATCTCAGTCTAGTGAGGGAGAGGGAAATGCAATGGATAAATATTAATAGATAAATTTATAATAATAATTAATAGATAAATTATAAAGCAATACAAAGTTATGACAGCTACAGAAACAAGACCCAAGTTACTACCTTCTCACTTGGACCAACTTGATGCTGGTTCCCTCATGACATTGATGTTTTGCCTCCACTTAGCAGCCGGTAGCCCCTGGTGCTGACATGGTGTGACCCAACTGTCCCCTGCACTATTTCCCAACACCCAAGTATCCCCCATGGACTTTGACCTCCGCAGGACATCTCTCATCCTGCCTCCCTCACTGGCTTCCTGAGATCCTCCTTGTCCCCACAGTAGGTCCCTCAAACTCCTGTTTCCCCACCTGGAGGAGGCAGGTTTCCATCTGGCAACATATGCGATCATATCTGTCAATCCTTCACCCATCTGCACCAGATTAAGGAGTTATAAAACGAAATTTCTGAGCTGGAAGGGGCTCAGAGAACATGCAGTCCAACCCTCTCAGAAGGAAACTGAGGACCAGGAAGGTAGAGATTTGACCCAGCACATAGCTGCCGCTGATTACGGTCTACACCTCCCTCGATCCCAAGTTCCCTGGAAGAACCAGAAGTAGAGCCCAGTCTTCCGACTCTCAGTTCAGCAATCTCTTCATTACACCACGTTGTCTGTTGTATCTTCTGATAAAGAGCCCAGACAAGAGTAAAGAGAACAGAGTAGCTCACTCCTAAGCCACCTGTTCAAAGATGCCAAGTTACACCAAACTGCCCATTCGAGCTCCTGCCGGGGTGCAGGATGGAGACCCTACTCAATTAGCTGTGTGGCCAGAGGAACAGTGCCCCCTGAGAACGTGGGCTGCGGAGGTTTGGAGGATCTCTCCCACACACCTGTGAAGCCATCAGCAGAATGCTTTCAGCAACCTTACCCAAGGCTCTGGAGCCCTGGGGTAAACAGCTTCCCTCTCACTCCCAAGAACTGCGTGTCTCGGTCATGGATGATTTTTTTTTTATCTCTACGGTCATGCTGACTCAGGAAGTGAACCCTTTCCCTCTTTGCTGTGACTGTTAGGAAGCACAGGGCAGGATTTGCAGCCATGACTTTATGGCTGTGTCTTCTGAATATCAAATGGATTCCAAACTTCAACCTAGCTATCTACCCTTATTTTCTCTCTCCCCCATGCTCAAATTTCCTCGCTTTTTTTTTTCTTTTTGTCCTATGTATATATTGGGAATCACCTCAAATCTTTTTTTAATGATTACATAAATAAGTAAGTAGCAAACAAGCTAGTTTTAAGAAGAGACTGTAAAAAGTACCAGGAGAAAAAAATATTTGCATGGTGTCTCCTTTGACTCAAGGTTGGAAAGACCTACAAAACTGAGACTAGCGGAGGAAAAGTTCTTTATACAAAACACTTGGATGATCTAGAAGCAAGGGCAGTACCGAAACTATTTAATACCTGGTCCAGCACCACATTAACTCATCAAAACAGATTCTGCTGACATCAGCCATAAATAGTGGGTCCGGCAATACTTGGGGTTCCAGCTACCAGCATGTGTGAGCAGCAGGCAGGAGACCTGGATCTTTGTTCTTACTCCAACTCCAGCTACCTGTGTGCCCTCAAGCTGGCTGGAGCCTCAATTTTTCACCTCTCAAATGAACCCATGACATGGCACCCTCCCAGCTCTGACACGGCCTAGCTTCCAATAAGCCAAACCTCCTCCAGGAGAACTGGTAAGCACCACCATGCCCACTTCAAGGACGTGCTTTGGAAGATCCGCCACCCCCTGGAAATTTGACACAGCACCTCTAAGTTATTATTGCAGCCAACCTCTCGATAATGTCCCTTTTCCAGTTTGCTGCTTGTGACGCTAAGGCATGATGGAACACCAGCTTCACAATGGGATTCAATCTTATTAGCGGGGACCTGATTAGATTATATTTCACTGCAGCCCAGAGGCCAGTGTATTTCAAGGACAGACACGCCAACTGCGCTAGGAGCATGCAGAGACCCCCTCTCTGCAGACCTCCAGGAATCCGACCCAAGCCTGCGGCAGGCACAGTGAAACACAGAGGAGGCATAAGCAAAGATTCCGACCTTGAGAAGGTGTTCCGGGCGTAGTGCATGATGCTGTCAAAGTCGTACGTCTCTCCCAGAGAGCTCACTTCCCCAGCTTCCATTTTTAAGAAATTATACTCCTGACCTGTGACACAACACTCTGTTAAGGCCTTTGAAAACCAAGGCAGGCACCTGAAAGGAGGCAGAGCGGGGAGAAGGAGGGCCCATAGCAACTTCCGAGAGCTCTGGTAGCTCCATCAGTCACACAGCCAGGTCGGTGGGGGTTGTGGTTGCTGTTCTTAAGATTGGAAATTTGAGACAGAATAAGCCCTGTGTTCTCCCAACCCCACTACCCAACGCCCCTCCCCAAATGCCACTCCAAACTCTTCAAGTGTGCAGACAGGTTAGTTATCTTTCAATTTGAATGGAAAAAAACAACAACTCTGTTCTTGCTACTAAAAGAACAAAAGAAAACAAGTCAGAAATAAGTTCATTCCCAAATAATTCACAATTCAGACTCTTGAAAGCATTTTTAAGGCAGCCATTGTTCCACCAGATACTTTCATAGTCAGTATGAACTGCTATATAAAATCATTTAACATGAGAAGGTATTTCTTCAAATCTGGGCAATTTATCTGCCTTGGGGCAGAATGCTTCTAGAGAGAGATATTATTTTTATATGTACTCATGTCCTAATTGTATTTCAGCTTCAAAAAGACATGTTGCCTAAGTCAGCAAAAGTGACTTTATAAAAGCAACCAGGAGAGCTCTTTTTTTGGCTTATCAGCTGTGATGCTGCAACTGTGTTCTGGTCGATGCTGTTCCTCTTAGGAAATGGAGTTGGATTTCATTGTCCTCTACAACACAGAAAGTCATATTGCTTTTGCTCTAAACTACCAGCTATGGCAGATGGACAGGGACAGGCTGGGGACAAACCCCTGCATGGTCGTCACTACCTCAACACTTACAAATGGGCCTTGGTCAGCTCCCAGCAGCCCCTCTCCTTCAGTCCTGCCTGACCCCACCCTCAGCCCCCACACCCCACCCCCCGTGGATACCACCTCCCTGGCCTTTAACTTCTAGACTCCACTCAGGCTCCTTACCTGGCTGGATATTTTCTCTGATGATGGTGACATGCTGATCTCTGTCTGGCCGGGTGTGTTCATGCCAGAATCCAACCACGTGGCCCAGCTCGTGAGCCACAATGCCAAACTTGTCACAGTTTTTCCCAATGGATATGGCCTGTGGGCCTCCTCCTCGGCGCCCAACATAGGAGCAACAGCTAGACAATGCGGAAATATCCAGGTCAGCAGGTCAGGGAATAGCAAGAGTCATGCGTGTGTGTGTGCGTGTGCGTGTGTAAAAGAAACACAATTTTAAAGCTGAATGTTCTCTCGTTATCCAACTTTCCTCCCAATACAGGAATAATCTCCTAAGGTTCTTAACCTTTCTGGTAGTCAAGACCCACTTCAGAATCAGAAGAAAGATGTGGCCTCTCTTCCTGGAATAAAGCACATAGCCCACCCTTCCACCCTGAACCATCACTGCGTCTGCTGAACCATCGCTGATGACAAGGAGAAGAGATAGGGATGGAAGTGGCTGAGTTTCTGTAAAGATACATCTTGATACTATTATCAGAGAAGCCTTGGGGATGGCTTGCCTTCTGGTCACAATTATTTTTTTCAAAGAATATTTATTCATTATTCCTAACATAGAAAGGTATAAAACAAGAAATTAAAATGACCATAATCCCATCATGCAAATTTTATACATAGGAAGCCAAGGATCTATCCTTGACATCTATTCTTGTGTTATTTTGGCTACTTTTTTAAAAATCATGTTAAATTGTACAAATGCCTCTTTAGCATCTATTGAGATATGAATGTGGCTTCTTTCCTTTGATCTATCAATATGGTGAATCAAGAAAATAGACTCCCTGATGTTGAGCTAGTCTTGCACTCCTCAGCTGTGCCTTCATGGCAGCCTACTCCTCTGTTCTCACACTGCTTTACACTTTGTGCTGACACTTTAGTCAGGACTTGGCATGACGATTCATGTTGGATCAGTCTATAATTTTGTCTTTTTTGGTGCCATCTTTGTCATTTTGTGGTAGCAATGCCATGATAGTTCCTGAAACGTAATTGGGAAGGAAGTGTTATTTTTCTATGCTTTAAAAATCTTAAAGTTATCAGAATAATCTGGTTTTTGAAGGTTTCAAAGAACTCATCTGTGAAACTCTAGATTTGGTGCTTTGAGGGAGAGAGTGTTTTCCCTCAATTTTTCAATATTTTTTCAAAGTTACTGGTCTGTGCCAGCACTTTATATTTATCTTGAAGTCATTTACATTATCCAGATTTCCACAATTCTTGTCCTGGAGTTTTGCAGAGTATTCTTTTATGATTCTTCTGAATCCTTTTTCACTTCTGATTTTAAGTATTTCTGCATTGTCCTGTTTTTTGTCTTAGTCTAAGAAGTAGATTAACTCTGGGTTTTTTTTTTTATTTTGTTCAAAAGTTCACTCTTCAACTTATTAGTCCTATAATGTGTTACCTTGTCTATTTTCTTGTGCTCTCATTCAGTTTATTTTATAATAATAATTTTGTGAAGTAGACTTTGTGTACTTACTTTTGCTAACTTCTTTGAATTAAATATCTCATTGTCATTCTTAATAACATTATTTATTTTTATTAAATATTAAACATTTATTATGTTACTATGTCTAGTTTCATTGCTTTGTGATTAGGGAATATTTTAATGCTCGCTCTGCCTTTTAGAATTCACTGAGGTGTCCTTAATGCTAAATAGATGGACAACGTCAATAAAAGTTCAATAGCCACTTAAAAAAAAAGATGTATTATCCAGTTATAGAACCTGATAGACCCAAAGGATCAACTCTATTAATTATATTTTTCTAATTCTCTACTTATTTTTTGGTCAACTTGACAGTGATCTATGTGCGTTGACAGAAATGAAATAAAGTCTCCCGTTGCTGGTGTTTCTGTCAATTTCCCCTTGAACTCCCTGGGGCTTATTTTATGACTCTTAATGCTCTGTTATTTGGTACATAAAGATTTATGACAGTTATATTCTCACTGGAGCTTGTGCCCTTTCTCATTACAAAGTGTCTCACAGTTTTTTTTAAAACATTTTAAAAACAAGACAAAAAATGCTTTGTCTATAACAAAAATTGTGATCCTAGCTTTCTTTTTTGTTAGCATTTGCCTGTATGCCTTCTTTGCTTTTACTTTTGTACCTTTCTGTGTCATTTTCTGCAGTAGTTATCTAATTTATACAGCATGTGGTTAGGTTTAAGTTTTTGAACCACTATAGGAAACTTCTGTCGGTACCAGAGTATATCACACTGACATTTATTGGCATAACAGATAAATTTAGGTATAATCCGGTTATCTTTTGTTATGTTTTCCTGAGGAAATCCATAAGCTCATAAAATTACAAGCAGAATTTTGCATTTATAAGGAGCCCGTCAGATTCTTTGGTTGAAAACTGGTCGAAAACCAGTTCTCCATACGAAACACCCCCAAATCCTTTTGCCACTCCCAGGAGAGGACACCCAGACCTCTTGTCTTCCTGGAGTCTCCCTCTTGACCCACCTATTTTATCACTGAGTTGTGAGATCACTGAGGGCAAGGGGCGTTTCTGACAAACCCTGAGCTCCTCTATGTCTTCTAGCTCCTTGGAAATGCTTGGTTTCATAGAGAAAATTCAAGAGTCATGAGCCATTATCTTTGTCTGCGTCTGAGTCCACTGAGGTGGCCCAGCTCTTGCTTGCTTACCCACAGGTTCTGTAACTGAACACAATAAAGCTTTCTTCATCCGTCCTCTCTATGAAGGTCACACAGGTGTGCTTCTCCCAGTGTCTCATAGCCTGCTTAAAAATGGCCCTCTGGCTTCCTGTAAGGACAAGGCAGGTAAATGCTCATCACCTCACTCATGGGCCCACGCTTTCCTGAGACGCTTTAAGGCATATCAGCTTACAATGGAGCTTGTTTCAATGATTTTTAAAAAACCCCAAAAAACAAACAAAAACACTCATTCGGGTGACTGAGAGTAGAAATGTACTAGGAATAAGGATTTACCTTGCTAAGAACACAATACACCTTTCCTGAATTATCAAAACACAGACTGTAGGAGTTTGTGAATTGGTAGAGAGGGGAAAAAAATAGATTTTTCAAGCTGTCTGGCTTTGTCAGCTCTTCCTTTGTATTGAAAGTACTTTCCTAAAGGTAAAAAAAAAAAAAAAAAAAAAAAGAGGAAAGGAAAAAAAAGAATTTTACCCAGGTTGTCCAATTTGGAAATTTTAGGCTTCTGAAGCAGCTCACCAGCATGTCATTCCACACCCTCATTTTATTTTATAGCCATAGGAGGATGTTCCCATACACTCTAAAACCTCTATTTGCATTTACATCCATGCTACCTTTGCATGGGAGTTCAGTATTTTCTGGAGTAACCTTGAACCTGATTTTCTAAAATGCCTTTAAAAATAAGTGAGTCTTTCTCTGAACCTGCCTTCATATTTTCTTGATTAGAAATGTGTTGAAACATAAAACAATAAGTAAATTATCTGGGAGCAAAAATAAAGTAGTTGCAAACTCCAGGCTGCTAGTTATGAATAGGAAATAAGTGTTCTTTTCAAAATCTACCAATCTGAGATAAAGAAGATTATTTTGATTTTGCAAGAGGTAATGAGGGGCTAGAAAAATAGTTTGGGAAGTGCAGGGGTTGGTTGAGCCTAGGGTCTGAATTCTATAGTGACTTTGTCACAAAAAACCAATCAACCAATCAACCAACCAACCAACCACTGGGGAGGCTGCCAGTCTAAAAGTTGGGGGTGTGGTGTCATACTGTTGTCCCTAAAAACATTCATATAGAATAAAGAGGAACTTAGCTATCCAATTTTTTTTGGACTTTTTGATACTTTTGGTTCAAACTGTTTATAGCTCAATCACTCACAGAAATAGCTGCCCTACTCACTGCAGAACAACAAAAATTTCTGTGTAAATGAAGTTCTCTATATAAAATTAGTTCATTTTGATGACGTTTCTATAAAAGCACACCAGGTCTGAAAGGAGGGCGCACGGGCTGCCTGGAGGAGGGCTTTGGAGGCCGTGGCTGAAAGCCTCTGCTGCGTCGGTGGTGATGAGAAGCCACTGAACGGCTTACATATTTTAAAGATAATAATACCAATAGCAAATAATTACTAGTTACTATGTGCTAGGTGCTCTTCTAAGTGCTTTATCTAAATGAACTCACTTAATTCTCAAAACAACCCTACAGAATGGAAAATACGATCCCATTTACAGAAGAGGGAACTGAGATTCAGAGAAGTTAATTAAGTAACTTGCCCGGGTGTAGGGCTAGTAAGTCCTGAAGCCAGATTGGACCCAGGTGGTCTGACCATACCTATTGGCCATTCTGCTGACTATACTGCCGCTCCGGGGTGGGGGGTGGGCTGGGGTGCTCATCCAGGCAAAGGCCAAGTGAGCCACCACGTGCAGCTGATCACACTCTTCCTTTTGCCTAGAGGGCTTTGCTCACGCATTGATTGTGCAAACCCTTTCTAGCCTTTAAGACCTGGGTCATATATCACCCCGACATGGAGCCTTGGGGGTGAGGCGACCACCTTTGTGGACGTAGCCCCAGCAGAGACTGCAGTATCCCCATGCCTAGTGTACGAGGCCCCATATGCATGAGAGAGCGTTAGCAGGTAGGGCTGCTGTGACCCCACATCTGCTCAGCCCCTCCTGAGTTCTTCCTGGAAGGACTTAATGTTAACCTACATAGACAAAACACCAAACCCCAAAGCAGGCCTCATCTGGGGCTACTGACCAGTGAAGTTCCCTCCAATGACATATGGGATGACCCCTCCGGGCCATATCCTCTCTGTCCTTGAGGTTGTGGCTCTTCGGACCCGGGAAGAGAAGGTCTCAGCTCCAGCATTCGAGGTCCCAGGGTTCTGCGGAAGCATGACGTTCTCCGTGCCATCTGCAAGAAAGTCACATGGACATTTATTTTGCCTTTAATTCCTCCTGTGTATTATGGTTAATATTATAGTATCTATGAATCCACCAAACATATGTTCTGAAAGGGGGCATTTAGTCTGGTCAGGGTTCTGAACCCCTAGGAGGTAATTTTCCAGACAGGGCAAGAGTAAGTATAGTAAGTGTACCAGGCCTATGAGAAGAGCGGATCTGACTTGCTGGAGGCCTTGAATGAGGAGCCCCCATGGGGCTCAAAGGCGGCCTGTGGGCCACAGAATTAAGTGGGCACAGACAAGGCACAGCCCTTTGGGATGGAGCCAAGTGAGGGGTGTGCACTCTTCTAAGAGCCACCCACATTTGAGGAAACAGAGTTTATCCCTTGCCTTGACCAAATTCCATCGATGTTGCAAATTTTGAAAAGAATTTGGCCAGTTTGACAAATAAAGTGAACTAGTCTATGATGCTGGGGAAAAAAAAACCTCTTTGTTAGATAAGCCCCTAGGAAAAGCAGAGCCTCATAAAACCTCCCGGCCCTTCCCAGTCCCTCAGTACATCCGGGTGCCTTAGCGAAGAATGTGGGAAAGAAGTGAAGGCTCTAGTTAAGGTTGTGGGCCCGAGGTATGGCCCTAGCAACAGCAGAGAGATGGGGTGGGGGTGGGGGGTAGAACCGCTGAAACCTGTGACAAGCAAATAGTTGAATCCATGTTCATTTTATTCATCATTCAGACGATTTAAGATTTTGTTTTCAGTCTGCTTGCCTAGAATCTCTCATTATTCTCACTGAGAGCATTTTTTTTCCTGTAGATTCATATTTTTCTCCTAAAAATCAACTTTTGTTTTGTTGATTCTTTTTGTTTTTCTTTATTTCATTAATTTTATTATTTCCTCCTTTGATTTGTTTTATTCTGATGTTTCCTTTCTAGCTCCTTTTCTCCCTTTAAAAAAAAATTGAGATATAATTTACACACCAAAATAATCAGCCTTTTTAAGTGTACAAGTTAGTGGTTTTTGGTATATTCACAAAGTTGTGTAACCATCACCACCATAGAATTCCACATTTTCATCATCTCAAAAAGAAAAGAAACCTTGTATTTATTAGCAGTAACTCCCCATTTCTCCCCAACTCCCACCCCCCAGTTCTTTGCAACCAGAAATCTACTGTATATCTCTATAGATTTGCCTATTCTGGATATTTCATATAAAAGGAATCATGCAACATGCAGCCTTTCATGTCTGCCTTCTTTCACTTAGCACATACCAGTGCTCCATTATATTTTATGGCTGAATAATATTCCATTGTATGGCTATACACATTTTGTCTACTCATTCCTCAGTTGGTGGACAACTGGGGTGTTTCCACTTTTTGGTTATCATAAATAAGGCTGTCATGAACATTAATGTACATGTTTTTGTGTGGATGTATGTTTTCAGTTATCTTGGATATATGGCAAAAAGTGGAATTGTTTTGGGTCATGTAGTTACTCTATGATTAACCTTTTGAAAAACTACCAGACTATTTTCCAAAGTAACGACGCCATTTACATTCCCACCAGCTATGCATCAGAGTTCTAACATCTCCCTATCCTCATCAACACTTGTTATTGCCACACTTTTGGATTATAGCCAGCCTAATGGGTGTGAAGTGGCATCTCATGGTGGTTTTGATTTGCATTTCCCTAAAGACTAGTGATACTGGGCATCTCTTCATGTGCTCAATAGTCATTTGTACATCTTTGAAGAAATGTCTATTCAAATTCTTTGTCCATTTATTAATTGGGTTATTCATTTTTATTATTGTTATAATTACTCTTTATATATTATGGAGACAAGACCCTTATTAGGCATATGATTTACAAATAGTTTCTCCTATTTTATACGTTGTCTTTTCATGCTTATGATAGTGTTTTTTGAAGTGCAAAAGTTTTTTGAGCCAATGTATTCATTTTTTTGTTACTTGTGTTTTTGTTTCAGATCTAAGAAAGTATAGCCTAATCCCATCTCACAAAGATTTATATCTATGTCTTCTTCTATAGTTCTATAGTTTTAGTTCTTATATTTAAGTCTTTGATCATTCTGAGCTAATTTTTGTATATAGTGTGAGGTAGGGATCCAATTTCATTCTTTTGCATGTGGATATCCAGTTGTCCTTGAATCATTTGTTGAAAAGACTAGTTCTTCCCCCATGAAATTGTCTTGGTACCTTGTAACAAATCAATTGGCCATCCTTTCTAGCTTCTTGAGCTGATTGTTTGGTACATTAATTTTCAATCTTTCTTGTATTCCAACATAAACATTATAAGGCTAAAATTTCTTGAGTTCTTCTTTACCTTCATCCCATCCTTTGACATGTACATTTTAATGTTAGATATTGATACATTCTGTAAGTTCGATTTAGACTTTCTTCTTTGGTCCTTGAATTATTTGAAAGTGTGATTTTTAATTTCTAAACATTTGTCTCTCTGTGTGTTATTGATATCTGACATTGTTTGGTGTTCCATGGACCTATTCTCCAAGGCATGGGTCAGCAAACCTTTTCTGCAAAAGGTCAGATAGTAAATATTTTAAGTGTTTAAAAAAATATTTATTTATTTATTCTTAGAGGGAAGGAAGGGAGAAAGAAAGGAAGTAAAACATCAATGTGTGAGAGAAACATCAATTGGTTTGCCTCTCACACATGTCCCTGACTGGGGGTACTGGGCCCACAACCAAGGCATGTGCCCTGACTGGGAATTGAACCAGTGACCTTTCACTTTGTGGGACAATGCCCAACCTGCTGAGCTACACTGGTCAGAGTTAAATATTTTAAGTTTTGTGCTTAATATATTCTCTGTTCAAGCTACCCAACTCTCCCATTGTAGTATGAAAGCAGCCACTGACAAGGTATAAGTGAATGGGTATGGCTCTGTTCCAATAACGCTTTATTTGCAAAAACAGATGGCTGGCTGAATTTGGCCATCTGGCCATAGATGGCTCACCCACGCTCCAAAAGATCAATTCTTTGGTACTATATTTTGACCCTTCCTTTGTAGCCCCATACATGATTGGTTTTTATAAATGTTCCATGTGTCCTTGAAATAATATATATCAATTTCCATAATTGATGGTTGAAGTGTGCTATATGTTGTTCAAATACTCTATTTACAGATATTCTTGGCTCCTTGTTGTATCAGTTACTGAGAAAAAGTGCTTTAAACAACCTTGAGAACTAAGATTGTGAATTGTCACTTCCTCCTTTATTCTTAATTTTTGCTTTATATCATTCAAGGCTATGTTGGTTAAGTAATACAAGTTAAAGATTGTTACATGTTCCAGGCAATTTTTTTTCTCTATCTGTAATCATGTTCATCTATAACAAAGATTATTTTGGCTGATATTAATATTGCTATGTCAGTTTTATTCTGATTAGTGTTTGTCTCATATAGCTTTATTGCATCCATTTCTTTTCAATGTTTTTGTGTAATTATGTTTTCAAGTCATTCAATGGGTGTTATTCTTTGAGTAAATTACATCTCCCACAACAAACAATAAAACAAGCTTCACAATGATAATAATGCTGAAGTTCAATTTTTTTACTGTATATTAGTTATGTAAATTGAAATTCATATTGACACAATTGTAGATTCATAAGCAGTTGTGAGAAATAATACAGAGATATTTTGTGTACATTGTACTCAGTTTTTCTCGATAGTAATGTTTTATAAAGCTATAGAACAATATCACAACTGAGTTATGGGCATTAATACAATCAACTGGTCTCATTAAGGTTCCCCTAGTATCATATATTCGTGTGTGTGTGTGTGTAGTTTGACACACACAGTTTTACCACATATATAGGTCTGTGTATCAACCACCACATTCTAGATACTGAACCATTCCATCACCATAAGGATCCTTCATGTTGCTATAAACATATCCACCTCCTTTTCCCTTTCCCCAACCCCATCCCTAAATTCCCAACCACAATTTGGTCTCCACTTGAAGTGTTTTATAAAAATGGAATCCTATAGTATATAACCTTTGGGAATTGGCTTTTCTCACTCAGTGCAATTCCCTAGAGATTCATCCAAGTTGTTGCATGTTACCAATAGTTTCTCTTTATTGCTGAGGAGTATTTCCTAATATGTATGTACTAGTTTGTTTAAGCATCATCTGTTAAGGGACTTCTGGGTTGTTTCCTACTCTTACAAATAAAGCTGTTATGAACATTAATGTAGAAAAGTTTGTGTGAAGAAGTTTTTATTTCTCTGAGATAAATACCCAAGAGTGGAGTTACTGGGTCATATAGTATATGTTTATTTATGGGTCCTCTATTCTGTTCCATTGATCTACATATTTATCCCTCTGCTAATATGACACCATCTTGACTATTGCAGTTATATAGTAATATAATACCAGGTAGAGTGACTACTCTTACTTTAGATTTCTTTTCCATGATTGTTTTAGCTATATGTTACCATGTAAACTTTAGAATAAGCTTCCATATGCCAACAATAAAACTATGCTGGGATTTTTTTTTAAATATTTTTTAAAGATTTCATTTATTTATTTTTAGAGAGAGGGGAAAGAGAGGGAGAGAAACATCAATGGATGGTTGTCTCTCATGTTTCCTTTGCCAGGGACCTGGCCTGCAACCCAGGCATGTGCTCTGACTGGGAATCGAACTGGCGACCCTTTGGTTTGCAGGCTGGCACTCAATCCACTGAGCCACACCAGCCAGGGCCAAAGCTGGGATTTTGATAGGAATTACACTAAACCTATAGATCAATTTGGAGAGAACTGGCATCTTTACGAAATATCGAGTCTTCCAATCATGGGCATGGGTGTCTCTCCTTTCATGTAGGTCTCTCTTACCTCTTTTCACCAGCATTGTATAATATTCAGTGCAGTCACATACCACTTAATGAAGAGGCTACATTCTAAGAAAAGCTTTGTTAGGTGATTTCATCACTGTGTGAACATTATAGAGTAGATGTAAACAAACCTAGATGGTATAGCCTACTGCGT